TACCAGAGTAGATCCTGGGTTACGATCAACTTCTGATCGCAGCAGATCTCGCTCGAAGGACAGTTTGGCGGGAAAAGGACGGATTCTTGTGACGGATTGTAGACTCTCAAGGTTGTGAACGGGAGGCCCCTAGGAACTGCTGAGAGAAGTGCTGTACGGAGCTATCTAGGAATGTTCTACGAGGGGAATGGGAAAGGAGAAAGGGAGGGTCAATGTACTCTTTATTATTGTACAACACTCCACTTCGCATGCTGTCGGATATTAAATTTTCATCCAGCGACAACATTGTTATCAAACTCATGTGTCTCATTTCTCATGTGTGCTTCTAGCATATCAAAATGCTGTCGGCCTCTGAAGATGCTACCATAAGGCTAGGGGATCCATTTCTGGACGCCAATCACATTCTCCATTACTGCAATGTGAAAACCTAGACGCTTCATTCTTGACCGACCCACACCTAATTTGACCAGTTGCATGCAAAGCAAGACTTAGCTAGCTCGAGTATGAACTATTAGACCTTGTTGAGATTTGAATCCGTGCCTGTCTTTTCCCCTTGAAGTTGCTGCTGTTTGGGTTGTCAAAGCAGTGAGCCGCTTTGTGCCCTTTCTTCCCATAATAAAAGCAGAGTCCATATCTTTTCCCCTTAGCTGTTGCAGCGCTATCCATCTCGGGCTTATTGTCCGTACGCCTGGCCTCTTCTTCCCTGCTTTTTCTGTAGGCTTTCATAGCCTCGAAGTCCTGCAACCTCATGATCAAATCGGTCAAACTTGTTGGCGGGTTGCAAGTAAGGACAATACTCGCAGTCTCCCACTCCTTCGGCAATCCATAAATGATGCAGCATATCATATCTTCCTCAGTTTCTGCTCCTCCCATAGCCTCTAACTCACTGTTGTAGAGCATGCCCTACGATATCAGGATTTTTTCCCTGAAATTCCTGATTTTCAGGGATTTTTTGGTACATACACTGATTTTTCAGTGTTGAGAATTTTGTGACACTGATTTTTCAGCCTTTATTTCATAGTTGACACTGATTTTTCAGTCTTTTATCGAAGTGTACACTGAATGCACATTCCGAATCCTTCCTGTCAACCAACATTTTCAGGTTTTTAACGTACAAATAGGTAAGAGATTGTCGATTTAGAGGATCATTGTATCAGTGGTTAGTGATGATCTACCGATAGGTGAGGGCCAGGTTCGAGCCTTCCAGCTGACATTATTCATCAAGCCTGAACTAGTACACATGGCTTTCATTTGCTTGAAAATTCAGGCTTTGATTTTTAGGAACCCTGAAAATTCAGGGTTTTTTTTTTAGGAACACTGAAAATCAGGGTTTTGTTCACAGGGACCCTGATGCATCAACGTCCCTTAAAGTGAATCTGAGGACCTGTTGTAGAGCATCGCCCTATGTATGTAGTCCATTACGCTCTCATGAGGATCCATGCTCAGAAACGAAAGCTTCTTTCTCAATGACAGCCTCCTCCACAGGAACCGCATCCCATCCTTAGAGCTGACTGCTTCCATGTAACATCTCGATATCCCAGCCAGCCCAGAGTCTCGATACATTGAACCTGGGTTGGGAAGATGAAAAGGGAAATGAACTGGTTGAAAAGCGGGGAAACGGACTGGTTGGCAAGCCAACCAATCAGAACACTTTTATACAAAGTGAGTCGAGAAGTTTCTCGCCGCTGGTTGGAATTACAGCCAATCACAAACATTCGAAGTCCAACGAAACTCTTGCGTTGGAATTGCAACCAGTTAGAACATGACAGGTATGGATAACATATTGCATACACTGCATTTTATTCCTTTGTGCCATGTCATTGAGTAAGAAGGATCAACCTTTGCCACATGGGCAAGGCCCATGGTGGTGCACCCTTCCTTGCCATGGGGAAGGTGGCTGCACCCCGAGGGGGTCTAGGGAAGGGGTCTGAGGCCTTGGGGGCTCATTCTTCATTTCCTACTCCCAACTAATCAATTGGGAAATAGGATTGCTTTCTCTCAACTCACCTTCCACAGTTTGTTACTGCATCTCCTAGCATTCTCCAGACTTAGTGATTTCCAGGAGCTGCTACTCTCTGTTTGTGTTAGAACTTATCTATATATGGGTAAATGCCCTTTTTCTTACTAGATCCGTTACATTCCATCTGGGCTCCCATAAAACACTTGCTCCGTGTGTAGTCTGGTGGCTGGAAGAGCAACTGAAATAAAAAACTCTGCATCAGAAAGAAGTGGCTGAATTTGAAGTCAAATCTGGAAATATGCATTCGGAATACCAAAGGCGCGGCTTACCCAACGTGTGGCACACGTTGCGTCTCGGGCCGCAGACGCAAACACCGAAAATTGCGTTATGAATGAACCGAAATCGAACTTCCAGGCATTGTGGACGACCATCTGCGGAAACAGTGGTCGTCTAGTCCGCGCGAATCTGGGAGGCATTCGCAAGCCTGAGGCTGACGACTGGTACCACGAAGTTACAAATTGTGTAACCCGCTCAGAATTCCAAGTTCTTCCGCACCGAGCTAATGACATTTTCAACGAGATGGACGAAAACTAGAACCCGGATGACAGCTCGAATGTGAGATACGAGCCACCGCACCTTCCGAACTTTCTTTTCTCGGCACCGACTCTGGTCCGAGCCTGTCACATCTTGTTCAATCCGAGTCATCCGAATTTCTCCCTCGCTGCCAAAGTTAGGGTGTGTTACATTTTCGAATTTTCCGTACGGTCCGGACATTAACCACACTGAAACAAACTGAAACCCACTTGAACAACGCGTTTAACAAAAAACCGATTTTAATCGTTTAGACGGTCCGGTCCGTTTGGAAAAAAACCGAAAATGTAACACGCCCTTAGGGCGCGTAGCGTTTTCTGAAATCCACCGTCCGGGCGGTGGCCCGCAAAACATGGTCACCTCTAACTCCGTGAAGTTTCGCATAGCGCGCTACAAAGGAACTCGCGAGTGGAAGGCTGCTCACTCTCGCGAGAGATTTTCCGCATTTCATCGCATAACGTTTCCAAGGACCGAGCTTCCGCGAGACTCAATTTCCCAATTCGGGTTACCCAATTACCCAATTGGGCTCGAGCCTCAAGCATCGAATCTGAGCCCAATGTACCATCTCTCCCATAGCTTTCACCATTTACACCGATTTCGGCCGATCGTCAACCCGTTTCATTCAGTTCAAGCCACGGAATCGCCCGCAGCGGGTTTTATGCCTCCCAGCAATGAACCGCGCTAGTGGTCCAGGGCTGTGCGTATCGTGACGCGGCAATGCGTTGGGTGTACGCGTTTGAGGCGTTGACTCACATCCGGGTCCTTCGTCTCTATGTGTTCCCACGCGAGTCCCATGCTCCTAAGGAGGGACCGGCAGCGGGAGATGCGGAGTGGCTGAATCTAGTTTCCTTCGGCGTGACGGCACGGCTGGATCTTGAAAACTCTGTGCGATTCAGAGACCGCGTTGACTTTGGAAACCACATTGACTCCGAAAACGGTTTAGATTCGCGTCGCTCTGGCTCGGAACGCTATTATGGCGCCCGGATCGTCATGTTTTTAGGAACCCCTACTTCTGACTCACCTGACGAACAGGCTCGGCATGCCGAACCGGCTGAGATCGGCCAGCAGGTTCGGCAGAAAAATCTGGCGGGGTTTGCTTCGGTAGAAGACCCCGAGAGGATTGGAACGCCGCTGCTATCGATCGGCATTCCCTTTGCTCTGCCTGTCAATCCCTCCGGAAATAGCAATGATGTAGAAACCACCACATTTGGTGACTCTAGCGAAAGTTACAGAAAGGAGCGGGCGAAGAGATTCATTACCGTGCCTGTGAGCGTGCGAGCAGGGCACCTCGAGGTTACCGTTCCGCTTGAGCAGCTACTCGGATCGGATCTCGATGGATTCTGGCGGACGGTGGGGGAGTCCGCGGGAGGTGCGGGGAACGGGGCTGTGCGCAACGGTGGAGGGCGGTTGGGGGAGAGCCGAAAGGAGGCTACCGACTTCAGGGCTGGTCACGTGCGTGAGTAGCACCTAGTACTTTTCACTTCATCTTTTTTGTTTTTCCCCGCTCCGTATTGCCTCGTTGAACCCTCCCTCCCTGAACACCCAAAACCCGAAACCCTTGACCCATCTACTAAACGTTGGAGGGATTGCTCATCCAGCCTTCCAGCCCGTCTGCCTCGCTGCCACGAACCACCTGTACTCATGCATCCCATACTCATGCATCCCAATCAATTAAGTTGAAATCACTTTTGAAATTTCTCAAAGTGAATCCAGCCTATCTGCCTCGCTGCCACGAGCCACCTGTACTTATACATCCCATCAATAGGCGCCTCAATAATCGTCTTTTGAGGCGCCTCAAAGATTGTCCATCCAGCCTTCCAGCCCATCTGCCTCATTGCCACGAGCCACCTGCAGTCATGCATCCCATACTCGTGCATCCCATTCAAATCAACTCCTTCCCCCCGGAATCATATTTTCCTTTCCCCTTTCATCAACTAATTTCCCTTGTTCGCTCTCGGCGAGACTCCTCGCGTGCCTGTCAGCCAAGGCACCGGACCGGTTTATCTGCACTCATCTGCTCACACTCCCTTCGATCCTTATCTCGGTTTGCCTTTTCTCCCTTCACAGCGCATCTCCTCTCCTGCCTCTCTCCCTGGAATCAACTCCTTCACCAATTCATCTCCTCAAATCTGCACACGACCTTTTCCATCCCCCACGCGATAAAAGTTGGGTTTGAGACGTCTCAAATCCAAGACTTCCTTTGCAAGAGGCTATCTCAAAACCCAACTTTTATCACGAGGCTATTCATCTGCTCAAATCTGCAACAAATAACTTTTCAATGTAGAAACCGCGTGTAATGAGTCTGCTTTTGAGTCGACTCAAAAGCAAAACCCAACTTTTATCACGAGGCTATTCATCTGCTCAAATCTGCGTGCGACCTTTTCCATTCCCCACGCATTTGACCCATTTTGTTCACCTCACAGCCTCACTCCTCGCCTGCCTCTCCGCCATGGCACCACTTCATCTGTACTGCCGCCACTGTCGCCACCAGCTGACTGCCAAACCACTTAGGTAAGCGGCAGTAGTCCACTCCACTTAGACATCTCTTACTTCTTGCATCCGCTCCCCTCGACCTTACCCCTTTTCCCCTCTTCCTGCAAGCAGCTTGCTCATGCCACCCCATGCCCCCCTCGCCCGATGCCGATGAGATGGCATGGCAGAGCAGTGGTTCTTGTTTTCTCGTGAATTTCCTTTCTTCACTTGCTCAACCCCACGCCAACGTCCCTCCCATTCTTCCCAATTAACAACAAATTCGCCCCCATGCCATCTCCTGATGCGGATGAAATGGCAGAGCAGTGGTTCTGCACTGCTCAGTGCTGCTTGGTCCCTCATATTATCTTCTCCCCATCAACTCTCTCTTCCCTCTTCCTTCCAAACAGCTCCTTCCACCCCATGCCGTCACCGGATGTGGACGAGATGGCAGAGCAGTGGTCCTGTGATGCAGGGTGCTTCTTGTGTTCTTGTGATGTTCCCTTATTCACTCCCTCCCCTCCCCCTTAACCCCCCTCCCCCATCTCCCCACTCCATTCAGCTCCTTCCACCCCATGCCGTCACCGGATGTGGACGAGATGGCAGAGCAGTGGTTATGTGGGGCAGATTGCTTCTTGTGTTCTTGTGATGTTCCCTTATTCACTCCCTCCCCTCCCCCTTAACCCCCCTCCCCCATCTCCCCACTCCATTCAGCTCCTTCCACCCCATGCCGTCACCGGATGTGGACGAGATGGCAGAGCAGTGGTTATTTGGGGCAGAGTGCTTCTTGTGTTCTTGTGATGTTCCCTTATTCACTCCCTCCCCTCCCCCTTAACCCCCCTCCCCCATCTCCCCACTCCATTCAGCTCATTCCACCCCATGCCGTCACCAGATGTGGACGAGATGGCAGAGCAGTGGTCCTGTGATGCAGAGTGCTGCGCTGATGCTGCAGCCCGCCACCTTACCCTTATGTTTCCCCTTTGGGCCTGCCTCTCTTCCCTTCCAAGCAGCTCATTCCACCCCATGCCATCACCGGATGTGGACGAGATGGCAGAGCAGTGGTTCTGCGGAGCAGAGTGCTGCGCTGATGCTGCAGCCCACGCACAACACGTGGCCAACTCCCTCCATCTCCGCTGCTCCCTCTCCCCCTCCTCCTGCCTCCTCTCCCACACCTCCCTCGCCCTTCTGTCCTCCCGCCCCAAGTCCACCGAGTCAACCAAGTCAAACGAAAAATCTCCTCTTGATCCGAGTCAGATTCTGGTCAGCAAACTTACAGTTGACAACAACGGCGCACAGCGCTCGTTACAAGGAGAGTCACTGTTCAGTGATGAAGCAGGTCAACAAAGTCAACCGAGTCAACTGGGCCAACCAAGTCAATTGAGTCAACCGAGTCAACCGGGCCAACCAAGTCAATCGAGTCAACCGAGTCATTCAAAGGAGGCAGCACATGCAAAGGAGGAGCATGTGACCAGCACTGCTGACATCGCTTCCCACATGCAGAGACTCGCTCTCGACAGCGGTGACTCACTACAAGCATCTCCATCCTCACTACAAGCAGACTCGCGGGGCCGTGGTGAAGCAGGTCAACCGAGTCAACGCAGTCAGCAGGCAGAGGGTCATGAAGCAGAGGGCTATGCGGCAGACGGGCAGCAGTTGATGCCTAATCTGGTGCCAGAGGGAGGGCCGTGGGAGGAGGTGACATGTGGGGGATGTGGCATGGTGGTTGGGGCGAGGGGCAGGGGCAGCGGTTTTATCACTGAAGCAATGGGGACCTGGACAAATGGGGAAGAGGGCAGACGTGCAGGGGAATGGGTTCAGGAGGGAGGGGAGAGTGGAGCTGCAGAAATAGTAAGGAGTGAACGTGTAAGAGTAAGGTCAGTACTGGCAGGACAAGGAAGATCCAAGGCAGCGAGGGCTAACAGTGTGGAGCATTTGTTTCTGCACAGGGTGGATGCAAGGCCTCTTGGTGCAAGGCCCCTCGACGTGGTGCATGCATGTGTCCCATCTGCAGAAGAGCGTACAGTGACGTCATCAGCTGATGCCGTGCTGACATCATCATCAGTCGTAGCAGCAGCCGCTGCAGCAGCCGCTGCAGCAGCTTCAGCAGCGGACCGCCCCGCTGGGGTGGGGTTGTTGAGGGAGAACGAGTTTGAGGTGCCTCAAACGCAACTGGCCAAGGGTGCAAGTGTCAATGTAACATGGTAACATAACAATATCCACTTCCTTTGCTCTTGTCAGTCAGATAGAAACTTGTTGCCTTTTGTGTTCTTATAATCCCCCTTCTGTGAATGCCTCTGCTCCATCTGCTCCCAACACCCACTCCTGCTGCTTCTTGTGCTCTGGGTGATTTTACTGCTTGTTGAATCACCACCCTTTTCTCACTCCTCGTTGCCAAAAATTGAGGTGCCTCAGAAAGCATTTTTGCAAACCTGTTCTTGCCTCCCCATTCCTTCTCGTCCCCATCTCCTTACCCCTCTCCCCAAACAGGCTCGCCCCTTCCCTCTCTGCCCGCTTCTCGTCGCTCCTCTCCGCCCATCTCGCCACCCCCTCCGCCCCTAACCGTTTGGTCCTACGCTCAGTCTGCTATATCGAAATCACTTTTGAGAATTCTCAAAAGTACTATGCTCAGTCTGCTCCCACCACCACCCCCTCCTGCTGCTCAATGCGAATCCCTCTCCGCATTCCTCCCATAAGACTCGTCTCCTCTTCCTCCGCTCCTTCCCCACCCCCTCTCCCCCACCACCACAGGCCCTCCCCTTCTCTCTCTGCCTGCTTCTCCTCGCTCCTCTCCGCCCATCTCGCCACCCCCTCCGCCCCAAACCGCCTGGTCCTCCGCTCGGTCTGCTCCCACAAACCCGTTCTGCTGCTCGTGCTGCTCAGTGCTCACACGGCCATGGGGTGGGGGGTGTGTGGGCACACTGAAAAGGGTCGGGAGGAGTTAGAAGGGAAGCAGGATGGGGTGCTTAGTGCTCACACAGCCGTGGGGTGGGGGGTGTGTGGGCACGCTGAGAAGGGTCGGGAGGAGGAGGAGGAGGAAGTGTTAAAGGGTGTGGATGCTGGGAAGGATGGGGAGGAGGAGGAATGGAAGGAGACTGAAGGGAAGGAGGGTGGTTTGATGCGAGTGGTGAAGCTCATGTGCAAGGTTGTTGACTCAGCCAGCGATGCCACACGGTGAGTTGCGGTGCGTTCACCACACGGCTTGACTTACCGGGTGAATTAGAAATTGATTGGGCGTCAGTGGTGGTTTGATGCGAGTGGTGAAGCTTATGTGCAAGGCTGTTGGTGCTGACAGCGATGCCACACGGTGAGTTGCGTTGCGTTCACCACACGGCTTGACTGCTCAGTTTAATCCCCACAATCAGGGCTTGAGGGGGCTTCAGTGGAGGCTCGAGGCGAGTGGTGAAGCTCATGTGCAAGGCTGTTGGCGCTGACAGGGATGCCACACAGTGAGTGAGTAAGATCCGCAGTGGAAGGATCTTCCTGTATGAGGGAAATTTCGAGACATCTCAAAAAAACCCTCATTACACGAAGCTCATGTGCAAGGCTGTTGGTGCTGACAGCGATGCCACACGGTGAGTAAGATCCGCAGTGGAAGGATCTTCCTGTAACGAGGTTGGCCTGATATGAGGCCGTAGGAATACGCTCTAAGATGCACAGTGGAACGATCTTCCTGACTCATAATTTGAAGGGCTGCAGAACGTGATGTTGACGCTGTTTGTTTTAGCTGTTGCTCCTGTTGCTCCTGTTGCTCCTGTTGATCCTCTTGATCCTCTTGATCCTGTTGCTAAAGCGTCAACATCACACACTTGGCTGGCGCTGACAGCGGCGATGCCTCACAGTGAGTGAGAAAGATGTGCAGTGGAAGGAATGGTGGGACGTGTGCGTGTGTTGAGCACGTGTGTGATGCTTGTCAGTGAATGCATGTCACAGCATTGGAGCTTCAGAGCTGTCCGCAAGAGACTTCTCAGTAGCCTTCCCCCTGCTCTCCTCTTCTACTGTGTTGAGCTGTCAGGGGGACGCCAGGGGCCATGCAGAGGACGTGTATGTGATGCCGGTGACTGCTTTCAAGTTTTTTTCCTCATTCTGCTCACCACTTCCCACAGTGAAGCAGTCACATGCATTCCATACTTTCAAGTGTTTTTCCTCATTCCGCTCACCCCCCTGCCTCACTTCCCTTGCTCCAACTCTTTCATCCCACAGTGAAGCAGACGAATGGGGAGCTAGAGGCCATGCAGAGGACGTGTATGTGATGCCTGTGACTGCATCGGAGCTTCAAGGCTGTTTAAACGAGAATTCTATGCTGCTGCCGCCCACATGCCGCGAGTTCAATGGCTTCACAGTCTCGTTTCTGCAAGTGTAGGACTGCGTTTATGTTTCCAAGGTATTGGATTCCATGACCCGTCATGTCATGAATCATGATCCATCCAGGCTTTATAATGTGCAGTGAGTGTACAAAGAAAGTGTACGACTATAGCACTATGTTTAAATACAGTAAATGATACCCATCCCAAATCTTCATTCCAATATGATTTTTTTCGAAAGTGTGTAACACTTTCTAAAAATGTGTATTGTGAAAGCGCAGCTGCCTGTATCGAAGCAAAGCAACGGCGAATTACAATTCGCCGAGTACATAACGAGAGTTGGAGGCCATTCGGCCTCCACCCACGACTTCATTTCAGAACTTTGCAGTTTCACTCCCCACCCACCCGCCCTAGTTGTACCAATATTAATATGATCCATAGTTGGACGAGAATGTTGTATTACTGCAATTGTAATGAAGCCAGTTGCCTTTGCAAGAACAGAAAGCAAGCTTTCTCAATTTGACATTTTAAAGCAGCTGGGCTGAAGTCGCTTGGGCTGGCATCGTTTAACAGCCTCTGCCAACCAGCTCAACCCGCTGGTAGGCTCTGCCAGAATTTTGAGATACACAATCAGTACTCGGGCAGTTTCCCTGCCCGGAAAATGCCAAACTTGGTGCTGCTGCTGTTATTGAACGGAACGTTATGCTCTTGCAAAAAATCCCCCCTGCGAACCATCCAATACGAGCGCACAAAATCAGTACAAAAAAAGGGACATTGCGAAAAAAGGGACATTGTGAAAAAGGGAGAGGTCAGTGGGGAAGGTGGGTGGTGGTGGCGGGGGGGGGGTTGTGGGGACGTATATGAGGGGGGGGGGGGGGGTTTGAGGTGTCTGGGGAAATGGAGGAGGGGGTAGAGTTTAAGGGACAAGGGGGTGATGGATACAATACAACAAAACCGGGAGGTGGGCAGGGGGCGAGAGTGGAGAGGATATTGAGGGCCCTAAGAGAAAGGGAAAAGGTATTCAGTGATATGGGGAGTACAAGGCCTTGGGCGAGGCCTGGTGGAGGGAAGAGGGGAGGGGGGGGGTTGTGGGGCCAACTCACAGCTCTGCTTTGAGTTGTTCTGGTTTGCTGGTCTCGCACTCAATCTCGTACTGTGACGCGAAAAAAGTTAGTTTTTGAGACGTCTCAGGAACTCACTTTCTTTCAGGTGGGGAGAGGGGGGTTGTGGGACCAACTCACAGCTCTGCTTTGAGTTGTTCTGGCTGGCTGGTCTCACACTCGATCTCGTACTGTGTGCCAAAGGCAAACTGCATAGCCAGGGCAAGGGGCACAACAAGGGCGAAATGGAACCCACTCGAAGCTTTTTCGTGTAAAGGCGAACACAGAATTCGAGCTGGGTGCCGAACTACAGGTGACAGAAGCGAGCTACACAGCCAGAGCAAGGTCAAGAGGCACACCAAGGGTGAAACCTGTTTTTGAGACGTCTCAAAAGCACCCTCCCTACACGTGGGTACTCAAAAGCGACTTTTGAGTCGACTCAAAACTCCCTACACGTGGCTACTCAAAAGCGAGCTACACAGCCAGAGCGAGGTCAAGAGGCACACCAAGGGTGAAACCTGAGGGACTGTTTTTTAGGCGCCCGAATTCTTGTGCTGCGTTTCGAAGGCGAACTGCTACTTCAGGCACGGCTTGTTATTTTTTTCCTCTTCACTAAGACGTTCCCAGAAACGAGCTGCAATTAATGGAACGGACAAATGCGTGCATGCATAATGCATTGCACATGCTCACGTGTATGAAGAAGTGTTTTGAGACGTCTCAAAACACTTCTTCATACAGAGATGAGCTGCAATAAACGGAACGGACAAATGCGTGCATGCATTGCACATGCTCACCACACGAGCACACAGCGCAGACGCACAGCACACACAAGCAATAATTCTTTTGCAAAGATGCAGCTGTTTGCTTGCCTTTTTGGTTGTTTGCTTGTCTGTTTGTTCGCTTGTTAAAATATTATTTTAATTCTCTTCTTTGGGTGCTCTGCACTCCCCACCTTAGTCACGTCGAGCTCAATCGTGTTGCCCTGCTGCTGAAACACGCTGCAATTTCAACTGCAACGCATTCCACCCCCCCAGATAAGCACATCACCGCATCCCACCTGAGTCTCATCGAGCTCGATTGTGTTGCCCCGCCACTCAAACACGCTCCTAGTGTTGCGAAACCCCCCTAGGCACACAAATCGCTGTTCTATCCGCACCGCACTCAACCCCTCGATTTCGCACATCACCACATCCCACCTGAGTCTCATCGAGCGCGATTGTGTTGCCTTGCCACTCTACCACACTTCAAACACGCCGCAATTTCGACTGCACCGCATTCCACCCCTCCAGATAAGCACATCACCGCACCCCACCTGAGTCTCATCAAGCTCAATCGTGTTGCCCCGCCACTCAAACACACTCCTAGAGTTGCGGAACCCCCCCAGGCACACAAATTGCTGTTCTATCTGCACCGCACTCAACCCATCGATTTCACACATCACCACATCCCACCTGAGTCTCATCGAGCTCGATTGTGTTGCCCCGCCACTCAAACACGCTCCTAGTGTTGCGGAATCCCCCCAGGCACACAAACTGCGGGCAGGAGAAGCGGGCAGGCTGAGTGGGCGGTTGGAGGAGGAGGGGGAAGAGGGGGGGAAGAGTGATGGGGGGGGGGGGAAATAAATAAATAGGAATATCCCCAGACACACAAATTGTGGGCAGGAGAAGCGGGCAGGCTGAATGGGCGGTTGGAGGAGGAGGGGGAAGAGGGGGGAAAGAGAGACGGGGAGGAGATGAGGAAGAATGAATTCGCCGAGACACACACATTGCGGGCAGGTGAAGCGGGCACACTATGTGTGGGAATGGGTGAGAGGTGGTGCGGAAAAGGGGTTGTCCGTGGGGAAAGGGGGAGTGAGATGAAAAGGCCTCCAAAAACTGGACTTGTGGACGAGGTGACTTTTGAGTTGACTTTTGAGTTGACTTTTGAGTCAACTCAACTCAAGAGGGGTAGTGAGATGAAAAGGCCCCCAGATACACAAATTGTGGACGACAGCCAGCCAGGCACTCAAAGAGGAGAACACTCGATAGATAGGAGACGCATTCAGCTAGACACTCAAATGGGTAGCAGGAGAAATGGTTGGGGAGGAAAGCGAGTGGTGAAGCAGTGAAGGAAGGGGGGAGGGATGGACCGATGATAATCCAGCGAGCTCAACAAGGTTGTGAGAGAGAGAGATAACATCTCTTTTCAATCAAGTCGAGGTTTGAGTCGACTCAAAAGCCACCTTGTTACAATGGCACACGACACATGATAAGCCAGCGAGCATCAGCACGGTTGTGAGAGAGACAGATAACATCTCTTGCAATCAAGTCGTTGAAACCGCCTACTGAATGAGGAGGCAAGAGAGTAAGAAACAGCCAAAGTCACCTCTGCCCTCCCCTGTCGAAACTGTAATGCACAACATTACAGGGAGGTGAGGAGGACTCGGAACAGAGAAGAGCCCGTAATGACGAGATGAGGAGGACTCGGAAGTCGTACGGATTGCAGGGAGAGTTTATTACCAGGGAGGAGAGTGCAGATGCAGATTGCAAGGGGGTGAGGTGAGGGGTCCTAGACAGACACACACCCTGCATGATGTAAAGTTGGGATTTGAGACGTTTCAAAATCCAACTTTTATCATGCGGATGCAGATTACAGCGGTGAGTTTTGAGGCGCCTCAAAAGTCTTTTATCATGCGGATGCAGATTACAGCGGTGAGGGGTCCTAGGCACACACCCTACAGAAGGTGAACTTTTGATTGCAGTGGATAAGGTGAGAAGCAATGAGAAGTGAGAAGCGGTGAGAAATGAGAAGTTGTACCAGGGAGGAGAGAAGCGGTGTGGTGGCAGATTGCAGAAGTGAGAAGCGGTGAGAAATGAGAAGTTGTACCAGGGAGGAGAGAAGCGGTGTGGTGGCAGATTGCAGAAGTGAGAAGCGGTGAGAAATGAGAAGTTGTACCAGGGAGGAGAGAAGCGGTGTGGTGGCAGATTGCACAAGTGAGGGGTCCGCCACACATGCCCGGCCAAAGGCAGCTTCGATCTCCTCCTCCTCCTGTGAGTGGGAGTGTGCGAGGGAGAGACATCAAGAGGGGGGGTTTTAGGAGCTTAGGAAATTGTGCGGGTTGCAGCATCGAGGGGTGCTTCACAGACGCCCGGCCAAAGGCAGGTTCGATCTCCTCCTCCTGTGAGTGGGAGTGTTCGAGAGCCAACAAGAGGAAATTCTTTTAAGCCCTCCAAAATCATTCAAATTGCAGCAACGCGGGGACACCCGCACATACGCAGCCAAAGGCAGGTTCGGTCTCCTCTTCCTCCTGTGAGTGGATGTGCGAGGGGCATGGAGCACGAGGGGGAAGGAAGGCAGGAGAGAGGGAGGGAGGGGGGTGGGTTAGAAAAAAAAGGAGAGAGGCAACAGGAAGAGATCCGAGGAGACAGAGGAAACAGAAGAAGCAGAGGATGCTGCTTCAAGAGAAATGAGAAAGTGACAAAACTAAACCGCTGCTCTTTATACAACTTGCCCAGATACACAGAACCTGCGGTCATGTTTACCTCAGTGGAGTGCCCAATGCCATCCGCCAGTATAGACTTCCCCTTTACAATCAGAAAGTGGTGTACCGTGTACACCACTTATCTGTCACTCCCAGGACCACATAAAACTTGTCCAGATACACTGAACGTGCTTACCTCAGTGGAACGCCTTTGAGAATTCCCAAAAGCGACATCTCCAAATACACTGACGTACCTCAGTGGATCGCCCGATGCCATCCGCCATAATAGTCTTCCCCTTTACAGTCACAACGCACTTGGAATCACTGTTGTAGAAACGAAGCCGCAACACAATGCGGTTACGACTCCTGCATGAGAGGGGGAGGGTGAGAGGAGGAGAGGAACAGGCAAAAGAGGGGAAGGGGGGGAGAGAAATGGATATCCCCTATCGAATCGGCAAATGTAAAATATCTTGGATTCTTAGTTATGAAACCGCGGACGTGCTTGTAAGGCTGATGAGCTTGTAAGGCTGATGTCTTCGCAACTGAGAATTGTTACAATCGCCACTCACAGCTCGCCGTTCGCCCCGTCGAAGAACACGTTCTCCTGCTGATGTGTCACACGGTGATTGGCCGCCAGCAGCTCCGCGACGCGCGCGTGCGCCTCCTTATTCGCTAACCGCAGTTTTACCTCCACTTCCATCGCCACTCCCGCCCCCGCCGCTACCGCCGCTGGTTCCGCCATGGATTCACCTGCGGAAGCCGCGGAGGCGGAGACAAAATGTGCGGGCCGGCGGCGACTGGGAGCGTGCGGAAGGAGGGCTGAATGGACTGCGACGGAAGGCGGAAATCGAGGCGCGGTGGGGCCCGCGGGGCCTGGAGCAGCGGGAAGAAGCGCGTGAGCGGAAGCTGGGCGGAGTGGGCGGACCGAAAAGTGGCGCGGGGAGCGGAAATGGTAGTAGGGAGCGGTAAGGCGAGGGGCGAGGAGAGGCGACGCGATGCCGGCAGCGGAAACGGCGCGCTGCAGCATGAGGCCGGGGGAAGGGCGCCGACGAGTGGGGGTAAACAATCAGCGAAACAGCGCGAAAGACGGCGAGACGAAATGGAAGGAGAGAGCCGAAGCTAAATCTAGTAGAATCCAGGATGGCAGCTGCTATGATCTTCGGCATCCTCGTTTGAAAGAGGGCTGGAGATAAGCTACAGTTGGGTGAATGAATGTCCTGCTGTGGGCACTACAGGTTCCCAGAGAAACGTGAACAAGTTCTAGACCAAATTTATTTCCCTATCGTGCTGGTCACATTTGGTTGGTGCCCAGATTCTCCATCCTTAATTTATATCTTTCTGTATCTACATTTTCTTGGAGGATTAGCACACGAGAGATTTACCATTCGTACCATGCAACCCCCTCCCACTGCACTTATAAGCAGTTCCGCTACAGCCACATATTTGTGTCTACATGTACTTGTATTCCAGCTCTTGTCGGAACTTGGAAGCCATGAATTCAATCTCGCCATCGCTGAGGTCCACAGGCGCTTCAGCTTCGCCTCCCTGGTGCAGCGACATGTAGCGGCGGTGCATGTGCGCTGGAACCATGGACTGTACCCAGCGCTGCTCATAACGAGGATGAGAATTTGGGATGTGCCATGGGGAAAAGTTGGTGCAGAATCATGAACTGTGTTCAATGCTGCTGAGGAACATCTTTGGGGTTACAAGGGATGCAGAAAAGGTAGATGATATATCCAGAGACATGTAGCTGTATATATGAAGTATGGCGCGAGAATGAGAAATGAGCAAGTGGGATCGAGGAACGAAGCTGCTTGTGGGGAGGGGTTTTGAACGTGGAGTGGGTAGGAAGCTACCTGGAAGGCGGTGGTGGGGGCATCATCCATGAGCCACTTCCAGAGGGTGAAGGCCTCGAGCAGTGATGCGATGATGAGGAGGAGACCAAAGGGAATACCGTACAGGAAGGACCACACCTGGTCGAGAGGAAAGTGACAGGGGGAACAAGGGAAAAAAGGCAACAAGGTGGAAGGGGAATCGTCCATGAGCCACTTCCAGAGGGTGAAGTGAAGGCCTCGAGCAGTGATGCGATGATGAGGAGCAGACCAAAGGGAATGCCGTACAGGAAGGACCACACCTGCGATATGATGGGAAGGGGGGAAGCAAAAAGGGGAGGGGCGAAGAAGGGGGGATGGAGATGTAAGGAGTGATGCGATGATGAGGGGCAGGCCGAAGAAAATGGCCATCTTGAGGGGGTACACGAAGCACCACACCTGGCAACAGGGGGAATACGAGGTGACCTTTGAGTCGACTCAAAATTCACCTCGAAGAAAATGCCGTACGGGAAGCACCACACCTGGTGACAGGGGGAATAAGGAAAAAGGTAACACCGGCAGTAAGGGTGGCAGGGGAGGGTTGGGGATATGGGAGCAGAAATTTGTGAGGATGAGGAGAAGACACGAGAGAACGTTTTAGGATGAGGAGAAGACACGAGAGAACGTTGTAGGATGAGGAGAAGACACAAGAGAACGTTGTAGGATGAGGAGAAGACACGAGAGAACGTTGTAGGATGAGACATACCATGGAGCGGGGGTGGGGGGAGCATTGATATGCCATGCCACACAAACCATGGAGTCGGAGCGGAGCAAACCAAAGGCAACGCCAGAGAGGAGAACCATTCCGGAGGGAGGGGGTAATACCATGGAGTGCGGGTGCAGCAGCGAGATGCCATGCCACACATACCAGAGCCGACCAAAGGCGACGCCGAGTGGAGAGATCATGCTGGAGGGAGAGAATAATACCATGGAGTGTGGGTGCAGCAGTGAGATGCCATGCCACACGTTGATCACTCCCAGCAGCACCACCAGGCGTCCGTTCCAGTGGTGCAGGAGGTTCCACCAGGGGCGAAGGAGGGCGTCCTTGTGGGGGATCACCATGAGCGCAGTCACCTGCGGGAGGGGAGGGGTTGCATATGCAAAGTTGACTTTTGAGTCGACTCAAAAGTCAACTCGTTCCAGTGGTGCAGCAGGCCCCATTCCACCAGGGGCGAAGGAGAGCGTCCTTATGAGGGATGACCATGAGAGCAGTCACCTGAGGGAGGGCTGCATAGGCAAAGTGGGAGCATGTGATCATAAACTTTTGAGTACACATGGACGTGACAGCCAGCAGGATCAGCAGTCACCCGTTCTTATTGCTGGGGTCAAAACACCCACCTGGAAGTAAGGGTCAAAACACCCACCTGGAAGGAAGGGTCAAAACACCCACCTGGAAGGAAGGGTCAAAACACCCACCTGGAAGGAAGGGTCAATCAAAACACCCACCTGGAAGGAAGGGTCAAAACACCCACCTGGAAGGAAGGGTCAAAACACCCACCTGGAAGGAAGGGTCAATCAAAACACCCACCTGGAAGGAAGGGCCAAAACACCCACCTGGAAGGAAGGGTCAAAACACCCACCTGGAAGGAAGGGTCAAAACACCCACCTGGAAGGAAGGGTCAATCAAAACACCCACCTGGAAGGAAGGGTCAAAACACCCACCTGGAAGGAAGGGTCAAAACACCCACCTGGAAGGAAGGGTCAAAACACCCACCTGGAAGGAAGGGTCAATCAAAACACCCACCTGGAAGGAAGGGTCAAAACACCCACCTGGAAGGAAGGGTCAAAACACCCACCTGGAAGGAAGGGTCAATCAAAACACCTACCTGGAAGGAAGGGTCAAAACACCCACCTGGAAGGAAGGGTCAAAACACCCACCTGGAAGGAAGGGTCAATCAAAACACCCACCTGGAAGGAAGGGTCAAAACACCCACCTGGAAGGAAGGGTCAAAACACCCACCTGGAAGGAAGGGTCAAAACACCCACCTGGAAGGAAGGGTCAAAACACCCACCTGGAAGGAAGGGTCAAAACACCCACCTGGAAGGAAGGGTCAAAACACCCACCTGGAAGGAAGGGTCAAAACACCCACCTGGAAGGAAGGGTCAAAACACCCACCTGGAAGGAAGGGTCAAAACACCCACCTGGAAGGAAGGGTCAATCAAAACACCCACCTGGAAGGAAGGGTCAAAACACCCACCTGGAAGGAAGGGTCAAAACACCCACCTCGAAGGAAGGGTCAAAACACCCACCTGGAAGGAAGGGTCAAAACACCCACCTGGAAGGAAGGGTCAAAACACCCACCTGGAAGGAAGGGTCAAAACACCCACCTGGAAGGAAGGGTCAAAACACCCACCTGGAAAGAAGGGTCAAAACACCCACCTGGAAGGAAGGGTCAATCAAAACACCCACCTGGAAGGAAGGGTCAAAACACCCACCTGGAAGGAAGGGTCAAAACACCCACCTGGAAGGAAGCGAGCACGACACCCACCTGGAAGGAAGCGAGCACGACACCCACCTGGAAGGAAGCGAGCACGAACAGCGTGATGCCGTACCGCTGCTGCGCTGCGCCCCTGGGTCAACCTCCCTCGCCCCTGGGTCAACCTCCCTCGCCCCTGGGTCAACCTCCCTCGCCCCTGGGTCAACCTCCCTCGCCCCTGGGTCAACCTCCCTCGCCCCTGGGTCAACCTCCCTCGCCCCTGGGTCAACCTCCCTCGCCCCTGGGTCAACCTCCCTCGCCCCTGGGTCAACCTCCCTCGCCCCTGGGTCAACCTCCCTCGCCCCTGGGTCAACCTCCCTCGCCTCCTCCCCCCCCACACCCCTGAGTTGCACATGCGTGCCCCGGCCCGGAGGTTACCACAGCGACGGAGGATAAGGGGATGAGGGTAAGCGGAAGGGAACACCCACCTGGAAAGAAGCGAGGATGAAGAGGGTGATGCCGTATCGCCTGTGAGCCCCCGGGTCAAACTCGCCCGCCTCCTCCCCCCCCACGCCCCTCAGGCGCACATGCCCCTCATGGGCATCCCCCCACATCAGCAGCCCGAGAAAAAACCCAAACGCGCCCAAAGCATACCCCCCCGCCTGCACCATCCTATGCAGCTTCACCCAGGAGGGGGTTCCAGGCCCACTGGTTACCACCGCCACGGAGGATGAGGGGAAGGGGAAGGGGAAGGCGGAGGAGGGGGCGGAGGAGGCGGAGGCGGAGGAGGAGGAAGAGGAGGGGTCGAGTTGGGGGAGGTGGCGGGCGAGGAGCATGCCGATTGGGAGGATGAGACCCCAGGCGAGCAGGTTCACCAGGCCGTGTGCTGCTTGCAACCACTGGGGGGGTCCGGCACCTGTAGGTAGGGGAAGATACGGGAATGAAGGAAAGGGAATTGATGAGTCTGCCGGGCGAGTAGCATGCCGATGGGGAGGAGCAGGGCCCAGGCGAGGAGGTTGACCAGGCCATGCGCTGCTTGCAACCACTGGGGGGGTCCGGCACCTGAGAGGGGGCAAGGGCAGGGCAAGGGGGAGAGAAAGCAGGAGTGAGAAGGCAAGGCAGGGAAGTGGGTAAGGGGAGGTGGCGGGCGAGTAACATGCTGATGGGGAGAAGGAGACCCCGCCCCAGGCAACGAGGTTCACCAAGCCGTGTGCTGCTTGCAGCCACTGGGGGGGGTCCGGCACCTGAGAGGGTGGGAGCAGAGCAGGGGGGAGAGAATGCGGAAAGGGGGTGAGCAAGGGTTGGGGGGTGGGATGGGAGACACGATTGGGCGGTGGGAGAGTCAGAGGCAGGGAAGGAGATTAAAAGACAGGATTGGGAGGTGGGAATCAGGTTGAGCGGGCCAGCAGCATGCCGATGGGAAGGAACAGGCTGCACTGCAGGCGACGTGTTTTTTTGAGAATTCTCAAAAAACACTTCAGGCGACGAGGTTGACAAGGTAAGTTCGGGAGGTGTTGACGGGACAGTGGGGCTCCAAGCCCCCCCCAATGGTGAAGAGCCTATTTTTGAGTCGACTCAAAAATCGGGACAGTGGGGCTCCAAGCCCCCCCCAATGGCGGCATTGCCCCCCTCGGGCCTTGCCCTTGCTTGGCCATAATAATGACATACGGCCCTGGCGTCTGCCCCTCCGGTTGCACCACAGCCAAGAGCACCCCCGGTGCTACCACAGCCACCCCCCCCTCCGACCCCTGTGGCAGCATCACCCCCTTCGCCCTTGCCCATGATCAAATCACATACAGCCCTGGCGTCTGCCCCTGTGATACCACCACTGCGAACATCTCTGGGACCCTGCTGCTAAGGGCTAAGGGCGTGTCTCCATTTTGCTTTTTTGCATGTTTCCGGACGGTTCTCTTTTTTGGCACCGGACGGTCCTAATAGCGAGGACCGGACTGTCCGAATTGCCATTTCGGAACTTTGCCCCGTCCAGATGCAATTCTGTCACTTTTTTCTGAACCCTGAATTTCACGAAGTACTGTGGCTTCGTTATGGGCAATGTATCGTCGTTACACAAATCACGACATTTTCTTTGCAAAACTCCGTGCGCCAATCTGATTTTGTATTGTAAGAATTTCTCGCGCGCCAATCTCTAGTCAGTACTGCTGCACCATCCGTTTGCTTTTTGAGCTGCGGAAGGTGCAGAATCTCAACCGTTGTGAGGAATCCTCATGCGCACGAGGATATGGGTTCGATCCCGTTAGCAAAGCAGAGGTAGCCTCATGCTTTTTGAGCTGCGCAAGGTTCAGAATCTCAACCGTTGTGAGGAGGGAAAAGTGACGCGACAGTTCGAACCGTTGGCGACGTTGCAAATACCTTCACGAAACCTATCACAAAATTGTGCGAAACAGGTAACCTCTTCGCAGTTCGGACCGTCCACGGTTCGAACCATCGGGGGCAAAATGGAGACACGCCCTAAATCCCTAAACCATGAAAACCCTAGAACCCTAAGCTCTCACCTGCAAGGCGCAGGTAGGTGCGGGCGGTGTTGAAGGGGCTGTGGGGCTCCAAAGCCCCCGTGTCACCGTTGCCGCGGCCGCCCTGCCCCTTGGCCATTATCACGTACAGCCCTGGCGTCTGCACCTTCGGTAGCACTCACCTGCCATGCCAGGCGGCTGGGCGTTTGGCCCTCACCTCACCGGCCCCTTGCTCACACCCACAAACACCCATCCTGAACCCGGACCTCTGAGCTCTCACCAGCCAGGCGCAGGTAGGTGCGGGCGGTGTTGAAGGGGCTGTGGGGCTCCAGAGCCCCCGTGTCACCGTTGCCGCCCTGCCCCTAGGCCATTATCACGTACAGCCCTGGCCCTAGGCCATTATCACGTACAGCCCTGGCCCTAGGCCATTATCACGTACAGCCCTGGCCCTAGGCCATTATCACGTACAGCCCTGGCCCTAGGCCATTATCACGTACAGCCCTGGCCCTAGGCCATTATCACGTACAGCCCTGGCCCTAGGCCATTATCACGTACAGCCCTGGCCCTAGGCCATTATCACGTACAGCCCTGGCCCTAGGCCATTATCACGTACAGCCCTGGCCCTAGGCCATTATCACGTACAGCCCTGGCCCTAGGCCATTATCACGTACAGCCCTGGCCCTAGGCCATCATCACGTACAGCCCTGGCCCTAGGCCATTATCACGTACAGCCCTGGCCCTAGGCCATTATCACGTACAGCCCTGGCCCTAGGCCATTATCACGTACAGCCCTGGCGTCTGCCCCTCCTCCCAGTAGCACCACTGTGAGCATCACCCCCGGTACTACTACAACCAACCCCCTCCCTTCCCCCTCGTGTCACCGTTGCCGCCCTGGCCCTGGCCATGATGACATACAGCCCTGGCGTCTGCCCCTTCGGTGCTACCACCACGGTCAACATCGCTTGAACTTGCTGGGGGATAAACCCTCATATCACCTGCCCCTCGCTCACATCACATCCCTGATCCCCACACCCGAACCCCTGACCCTGAGCTCTCACCTGCAAGGCGCAGGTAGGTGCGGGCGGTGTTGAAGGGGCTGTGGGGCTACAAAGCCCCCGGTAGCACCACAGGCAACATTATTTGAAACCCAAGAGCCCTGAGCTCTCACCTGCCAAACGCAGGTAGGTGCGGGCGGTGTTGAAGGGGCTGTGGGGCTCCAGAGCCCCCGTGTCACCGTTGCCGCCCTGCCCCTTGGCCATGATGATGTACAACCCTGGCGTCTGCCCCTCCGGTAGCACCACTGCAAACATCACTCGCACCGTGGCTCCTTGGATGTGCACCTGACACATGGAGCGATGACACAAATGAAGGACGTTTTTGAGGCGTGTATATGTGCGTATCCAGTTTGATATGCTATACAGCATCGCTTGCACCATGGTTCCGTGAATGTGCACCTGAAACGAAAGAGTGACAAGACAAAGGAAGGAGGTTTCTGTCCGAGGCGTGCTTTTGTCCATTTTCATTATAGAATATCACTCGCGCCGTGGAGCCTTGAGTGTGCACCTGACAGATGGACTGACACAAATGATGAAGGGGGACAACGCGCCTCAAATGGGAGAAAAGCAGGAGTTTAACAAATATGGATAGAAGTAGCACAAAGAAGAGGTTAGCGAAGAAGGGAGAGGGAGGGGGGGTGGGGGTTCAAAGAGTTGATGAGCATTGATCGCATCTTGGTTGCGCCCCAGAATTCGCATTTTGAGGCGCCTAAAAAATTGATCGCGTCTTCAGGCGACTCAAAATCGTTTTCGAGAGTGTTCAGAAACCACCTAGGTTGATGAGCATTGATGGCATCCAGTTGATGTCGTTTCGCTTGTTTTTTTCCATTCTCAAATACCACATAAAACTTGGGCTTGAGCGGGTGGGGTAGGACGAGGGGAAAGGGGAGCATGTTGAGCAGAAACAAAATTTTAATGTTTCCCTCAATAAAAAAAAACCCAAATCGTGCCTCTTAGAAACAGTCCCGATCACATCAGAAGCAGCGACTTGATGACATGTTATGTTAGCACCTATGACTGACTCGCCAGAAAGTTTTGTTCTTTTTGGATTCTCAAAGCCACGACGTGATGACATGTTGGCAACTATGACTGGCTCGCCTGCATAAAACGCGCATGGCAGGCAGCTTATCAGGTAGCAATACTGTGAGTGACATGCATGGTGCGGTGCTCTGACCGCCTCCCCTGACATGGTACAGTGCTCTGACCGCCTCCCTTGACATGGTACAGTACGGTGCTCTGACCGCCTCCCCTGACATGGTGCGGTGCTCTGACCGCCTCCCCTGACATGGTACAGTACGGTGCTCTGACCGCCTCCCCTGACTGAATCTACGCCCCCCAGCAGACCTCAACTCAAACCACTCACCCTCCCCTGACTCCAAGGCAGGCACAATAACCCAAACCGCGTGTATGAAAAAGTGTTTTGAGACGTCTCAAAACCCTCCCCTGACTCCAAGGCAGGCACAATAACCCAAACCGCGTGTATGAAAAAGTGTTTTGAGACGTCTCAAAACCCTCCCCTGACTCCAAGGCAGGCATAAGAACCCAAACCGCTAACATTGATGCTGCTTCCGGCAACCATGTTCAGATCCCTTGATGCAGCTCAATCACACTCCCGTTATGATCCCTCAGGTAGTACTGCAAGGGGGAGCACTGTGATACGTAGTACCCCCCCTCGCCTGACCTGTTTACACCACCCCCAACCCATGGTAAGCTACCCTGACCTGTTTGCACCACCCCCACCCCATGGTAAGCCACCCTGACCTGTTTACACCACCCCCACCCCATGGTAAGCCACCCTGACCTGTTTACACCACCCCCACCCCATGGTAAGCCACCCTGACCTGTTTACACCACCCCCACCCCATGGTAAGCCACCCTGACCTATTTACACCACCCCCACCCCATGGTAAGCCACCCTGACCTGTTTACACCACCCCCACCCCATGGTAAGCCACCCTGACCTGTTTACACCACCCCCACCCCATGGTAAGCCACCCTGACCTGTTTACACCACCCCCACCCCATGGTAAGCCACCCTGACCTGTTTACACCACCCCCACCCCATGGTAAGCCACCCTGACCTGTTTACACCACCCCCACCCCATGGTAAGCCACCCTGACCTGTTTACACCACCCCCACCCCATGGTAAGCCACCCTGACCTGTTTACACCACCCCCACCCCATGGTAATCCACCCTGACCTGTTTACACCACCCCCACCCCATGGTAAGCCACCCTGACCTGTTTACACCACCCCCACCCCATGGTAAGCCACCCTGACCTGTTTACACCACCCCCACCCCATGGTACGCCACCCTGACCTGTTTACACCACCCCCACCCCATGGTAAGCCACCCTGACCTGTTTACACCACCCCCACCCCATGGTAAGCCACCCTGACCTGTTTACACCACCCCCACCCCATGGTAAGCCACCCTGACCTGTTTACACCACCCCCACCCCATGGTAAGCCACCCTGACCTGTTTACACCACCCCCACCCCATGGTAAGCCACCCTGACCTGTTTACACCACCCCCACCCCATGGTAAGCCACCCTGACCTCACCTCACATATCAATCCCCCACCCTCAAGCCACTCACCTTGATGCTGTTGGGGATCACTTCCAGCTCACCCGTATCTGGCATGATCAGGCTTGCATTGTGGTCCAGCAAGTTGCACTGCGATATGTAATACCCTGAGCGAGTCTTCCGGCTCTAGCCCGCCCGAGATCAGGACCATTAGACCCCAAGCCACTCACCTTGATGATGTTGGAAACCAATTCCAGCTCCCCAGAATCCGGCTCGATCAGGGCGCGCATTGTGGTCCGCCAGGTAGTACTGCGATACGTTGAACCCCGAGCGAGAGCCCAACGACTCTGGCCTGCCCGAGCTCAGGGGCCCCAATCCCTAATCCACCCACAAACTCACCTTGATGCTGTTGAGAACCAATTCCAGCTCGCCCGTGTCCGGTTTGATCAAGCTCGCGTTATAATCCGCCAGGTAGCACTGGGAGAAGTAATATTCCGTCTCACTTGCCTTCGCTCACTCTCTACGCCCCCAGCCAGAGGCGAGCTCTCGAGCCACCCACTCACCTTGACGCTGTTGGGAACCAAATCCAAGGTCCCTGTATCCTGTTTGATGAGGCTCGCGTTGTAATCCGCCAGGTAGTACTGCGAGAAGTAATACTCCGTCTCGCTTGCGCGGAACGCCACGAGCGCGCTCGCCCCCACCATGCGCACGCCTATGCCCCACCCCACCCACCCGTCCCAGTCCGCCGAAAACGCGCCGTCGAGAATGCGAGTGGGGCGATCATACGTCCACTGGACGGACGGAGAGGGGTATGGGGGGAGGTGAAGGAGAAAAGGGGGAGATCGGCACAATTCTGGAAATTGAATTGTCTGGGAGTATGCCAATGCACCATTCCGCCATTCCTCCTCATCTGCCGAGAACGCGCCGTCGAGAATGCGGGTGGCGCGGTCGCAGGAAGCGAAAGAAGAAAAGAGAATGGCGGAGACGGCGAGAGTTGGAATTAAAGTGAATCACTGAATACGAATGGCCGGACGGGGAAAATCGGTTATGAGGAGAGGCTAGCCAACCCTGCAACGAGCTCAAAGATCACTCTTATGAAAGTAGCAGCCTTTCTGACGAATAGCGGAAAAGAATTTCACAAAGTTTTGTGCTTGAAATGGCGAACAGGAACTGATTTATTGAGAAAGTGATTACATGGAAGGTGAAGCCGCCGCCCGATTGAAGGTACACGCAGTTTTCAAACTCCCAGTTGGTTCCCACATCCGTCTGAACAGACAGCGAGCAGTTCTTTCGGCTAACGGCCGTTAGATCTGCCGGTCCGCCGATTATTGACTGACGCATGGCGTCGGCCGCCGGCAGAGTTCCGAAATCCGCGGGGAGATCGCCGGCGGCTGGGAGGAAAGGGGCTGCGACGGAGCTGGGAGCGGGAGCGGGAGAGGGCGCGCTGGCAGGAGCGTCTGCTGACGTGGCACTAAGAGACGCATCTAGTTGAGCTTGAGCGTACGCGCTACTGAGAACAATAGCTGCTGCTAAAAGCAGCGGCCATAACGGATTCGATGCTCTCATGATCGCAGCGCGAGAATGTAATGCCCAATGTCAAGAAAAGAACGCCGAAGAAAACAGTAAGGAATAAATAAAGTAGCAGGGGTGATACCGCAACTTCTGAATAAGGATGCGAAGAGTTAGCAGTCCAGTTGCCTTCAGCAACAGGCAGCTGCGCGCGACACGCCCCTGAACCTTGGAAACCAGGTAGGTCTAAATCCAGTAATTGGAATGACAAGTACCTGACTGAGCTATATGTTGGTTGGGTTGTGTGCTTGAGCTGAACCACTGAACCAGGGAAGGACTGCCATTCTGGTTTGGCTGGTTGGACTTCACAACAATCTCGAGGGGTGACATCCAGCGAACAATCTCGAAACGGCTACAATTTCGGGGAGGGCATTTTCGAGGGTGTGTTGCGAATGCGAACAAGTTGGTGATGCACCCGAAAAGTTCGCATGTCGTCCACAGCTCCAACCTTCCGTCATCCAGCCAATCAGATGCTGGAAAGGAGAGAATCGGGGCTGTGTTTATCCGCCACCAACCAGATTGTAAAACTGGTTACAAGCGAAAAAGCATGTGCGCTTTGTAAATGTTCGTCGCACCCGTGAGCGAGATTCGCGAACGCTCATATCCTCTTTGGACCCAATTCCGCAAAGGATCGCACCTCTCGCCATCTTTCGCGGAGTCCCAGGGAATTTCCATCGTCAGTACCATCATGCTCCGCGTTCTCTGCCGCAAATCACGGGCAGCGCTACCACCATGCAGCGATCAGATTATAACGCTCTTGCTGTCGCAGAGTCACGCGTGCTCAATCCATTCCATTAGTATCTCTAGTTCCAGCGCGACAGGTGGTTCAGGTGGTAACAGCGAAAGCGACAGTTTGAGAGGCGACGAGCGTGGCAGGGACGGAGTGTCGAACCGCTCATTGCGCGATCCGAATCGAGACAGAAGAACCACAGGCGCAAGAGCAGGCGTTGGGAGCGGAGTCGCGAGCGGGACACGTGGCCCGGGAAATCCAAATCGCGCCACGTCAGGAGAACCGGACCACAGGCGTTGGGGCCCAGGGACAGGAGAACGGGGAAACAGAGGCGGGGGTGCGGGGAGGGAAGAACCAGGGGACAGGGGGAACACTCCGCGGAACGAGCGGGCTGAATCAGCCGGACGGGGAGACCCGGGGAAATGGGGGTGGCAAGATCGCGCCAGGGCGGGAGCAGAGGCGGATCGGGGGAACTTAGGATGGCAAGGCGGGGCGAATGCGGCAGGAGGACGGCGGAACTGGGGGAGGACTGTACCCGCACAGCAGGAACAGGGGAATCCGGCAGGACGGGGGGATTGGAGGAGACGCGTGGAGGGGGAAATCGAGGTGCCGTACTCGACGTTCCCGCCTGGGTCGAATGAGAAGTTTCGCGAGTGCTTCGAGCGGAAGCTGGCATGGGACGTGGAGTACCCGAGCGTCATGCCCGAGGTACGGCAAGCCAGCAACATGCCAAACCTCACGCCGAACTTTTGCCAAGTCCGAGCCTCGTTTATCGGTATGGTAAGCTCGAATATGGAGGGTGGAGTATTCAATCGCCGTGCCTGATGTACGGCAAGCAAGCAACATGCCGAGCCTCGTCCACAGGTTTGGTAAGCTCGGCGTCTGCGCTGTACATCATTCTGCTTGCTACTCCTCCCCCACTTCCCCCCTCTTCCCCTCCTCCTCCCCGGCTTTTACCCCCTCCTTCCACCTTTCTTTCCCCCTTGTCTGTCTCACAGCCTCTGCTGGAGCCCCCTCTGTCCAAGCTCAGATTGGAGCCCAGCGGCCATGAGATGCTGCTGACGCTGAGGAGGGAGAGCGAGGAGGACGGAGAGGAGAGGAGAAAATGAGGGCTCGATTCCCCATACACCCCCTTTTGCCACCACCCAAACCCCAGCCCTTGTTGGAGCCCCCTCCGCCCAAGTTTAGACTGGTGCCCAGCGGACACCAGATGCTGCTGACGCTGAGGAGAGAGAGCGAGGAGGACGGAGAAGACATGCTGCTGACGCTGAGGAGAGAGAGCGAGGAGGACGGAGAAGACATGCTACTGACTGCGAGGTTCGTGCAGAGAGAGGGAGGCCAGAAGGGAAAGAGAAAAGAGCTCATTTTTCCATACCCCTTCTTTTCTCACCACCCAAACCCCAGCCTTTGTTGGAGGCCCCTCCCTCCAAGTTTAGATTGGAGCCGAGCGGGCATGAGATGGTGCTGACGCTGAGAAGGGAGAACGAGGAGGACGGAGAGGACATGCTGCTGACTGAGCGGTTCGTGCAGGAGAGGGGGGCGAGGAGGGACAGAAGGCTCATTTTTCACAACCCCCCCCCTTTGTCACCACCCAATTTCCAGCCTCTTTTGGAGCCCCCTCCCTCCAAGTTTAAATTGGAGCCCAGCGGGCATCAGATGCTGCTTATGTTGCGAAGAGAGAGCGAGGAGGACGGAGAGGACATGCTGCTGACTGCGAGGTTTGTACAGGAGAGGGAGCTGAGCGGCGGAGCAGAGGAGGAGGAGGACGAAAAGGAGGGGGAAGGGGATGGGGGAGTGAGGGGGTTGAGTGAGGAGGAGAGGAAGAAGAGGAGGTGGCAGAAGCAGGGGAGGGTGGAGGGTGTGAAAATGGGCGATCTGGTTTCGGGGCAGTGGAAGGAGAAGCTTATGGAGGGAATGGACACGGATGAACGGACCGAGATTGAGGTGCGTTTGTGACAACAATCCTCTTGCCTTGTAAATTTTAAGAGGAGGATTTTTGTTACAGGGAAGGGCAGTGGAAGGAGAAGCTTATGGAGGGGATGGACACGGATGAACGGACAGAAATTGAGGTGCGTCTGTATAGACCCGTTCCTCACCTCTTCATCTGCAGGTTCACCTTCCACTCACCCCAGCTTTCTGTCTGCTGCCTCATGTTTCAAAATCTCAGTCGCTCTGGATCATCATTCCAGTTACACTCGTCTCTATTTCGCATTGTCTGCTTTGGAGGCCTGAATTTCCACAGTGGCAGCTGTGGATTGTATGTTTATTTTTTTTCTTTTACCTCTCTCGCTTCTGCCATTTTCCCCCTACACTGGAAACACAACAGCAATTTTCTTGTCATGTCTGCAACCCCATTGTTCAGTGGCAAACGAACCAGGGCTTTAACCTGACGCCCATCCATGTGCGAGTGAGCAAAATTGTCCCCGATGCGCAGCTTTGTCTTGATCCTCTCGGCATACCTGCAACCCCTCCCCACCATGTAGTGGCAAACGAACCAGGGCTTTAACCTGACGCCCATCCACGTGCGAGTGAGCATCTGCAGTCTCAAGGCAATGCGCAGCGGCCGGAATCGAACCCTGCACTCCCCTACGGTAGGCGAACCGCATAAGCCACAGCCTCCGTCGAGGCTTGGCAAATCACATGAAAAACAGAAGCAACCACCATCAGCACTGCCAGAAGCCGGGGCTGTAGCTGCGACAACTGCAACATCAGCTGTAGCAGGTGGCGAAATGCGAGCATCAACAGCAGGTGTAGTGCCTGCAGTAGCAGCAGCAGGAACAGAAGCAGCAGCAGCTGGGGGTGAAGCAAGGGCACATGAGGAAGGGGGGGCACATGAGGAGCAATGCCCGATGATAACGGTTGACTGCCTGGTGCTGGGGCACTACCACTGGAAGATCCTCCGGGTGGAATCCGCAGATCCCGAGGCTCCCCCTGGGCGCATACCAGCATATGGGCAGCCGCATCAGTGAGTCTCTACTTTTCGTAAGCATTGCTGTCGTCTTGACTCTCCTCAATTGCCACTGCCTGGTGCTGGGGCACTACCACTGGAAGATCCTCCGAGTGGAATCAACAGGCCCAGAGGCTCCTCCTGGGCGCATGCCTGCGTACCTGCGAATGGGCAGCCGCATCAGTGAGTTGTTTGCCTTGATCATTTTAAGTTGGTGTTTGAGCTCACGTCATGTGGTCCTTCGTTCCCACTCTGGAGGCACAGCACTTCATTCCCATCCCGTTCCCCCTCAGACCACGGTGCCTTTTTCTAGCATATCGTACCTCTCCTTTTTCTCATCCCATCTTTTATTGTCTCTTTCTTTCTGCCCCCCTTTGGCACTTCTTTTTCCGATTTGACTAGTTGTTTGAGCCCAGAGTTACAACAAGAATGGGAGACATTTTTCTTCCACCGGGGATTTACGGGACCGCTTGCGAGCTACGTAAGAATATATCTGGAGTGCAAGGAGCACCATGAAAGTGTACGCTGGTATGATAGGATGTACAAGTGGTTTTCTAACTGAAATGATGCACTGCGCGTGTATGTACCGGTACTCGTCTGAAATCCACAAGATCTGACAGTATATTTCGTCTAAAGAGTAGCAAAAATCAAATAGAAAAATCAGTATGTTATGAATCTCGCAAGTCACAAAAACGAATCATTCCAAAACGACATCACTGGCGGTGTGGAGGAAGCGCCTCATACAGTCGCGCACTTCACCAAGGCGTTGCTTGCGCGTTGCGCGCGCACAGACATGCGAGACGACACTCCTAGCGCACCCCATAACTCGCGCTTGCGCGTTGCGCAAAGGATGGCATTGGCGCGAGGAAAGGGAAACCTGATGGTACAAGGTTAACGTTGACAATTAGGTGATTAATAGTCGTTTGCGAAGGTCGTGCGCTCGCCGCATTCAATACTATCCTCCGCGTGACAGCGGAAGCTGCCCCCTTTGATTCCGCAAATCGCGCGCGCGATGCCCGCGTCCGGCGCGGATATTTTCCGCCCCCGGCCCCTCTCCCAGTGGTCGGCGGGCGGTCAGGACATTTCGACACGTGGCGTGCGGCCATTCGCCGTTTCCTACCTCCCCGCATTGAACGCCAACGCCCCACTCACCCTCATAGCCCGGACCGCGCGTCGATCACGACAGCTCTGCCGGAATTCACGGAACCCCGAGCGGCTTCTATTCGTCGCCTCCGCGGATCGCGCGCGCTCGAATGGGGGGGCGCATAGAGGGGAGGACTGGGGGAGGGGGAGCGGAAGGTGGGTTGGCGGAAGGTGGGGGAGCGGGAGGTGGGATGGGGGGGGCGACTGGGGGCGGAACCAGTCTTCCCCGCGCTCGGCTGGAGGGGCACGGGGGGGGGACGACTGGGGGAGGGGGACGGCGGCGGAGGGGCGGAACTGGGCGAGGGGACGGTGGGGAGGCGCCGATGATTGGGGAAGCGGAAGGACGGGAGGGGGAGGGGGAAGGGGAGGCGAGAGGGGGAGAAACAGCAGGGCGGAATGGGAGAGGGGAGGGCCTTGGCGGGCGAACTGGGGGGACCAATCAGAAAGCAGAAGAAACGAGGGCGGCAGGGAGGAGGGCAGCGGGAACTGGGGTGGAAGGGGCGAGGGCAGTGGTAGCAATGCAGGTGGTGGGGTTGCAGGTGGGGGGGACCACTATGTGACCTTGGGAGTGTCGCGGCGCGCCAGCAAGCAGGAGATAAAAACGGCCTTCAGACGGCTGGCACGCAAGGTACTGTGCTTGCAGTGGTTTGTGCGCTTGTGGGAAGGGGACTGCTGGACCTTGTAACGAGGGCAGAGTATGGCCTTGTAACGAGGGCCTTGGGACGGCTGTGCGCTTGTGGGGAGGGGCCTGCTGGACCTTGGGACGCAATGGCCCTTGCGCTTGGGTCGCAATGTGCTGCTCTTGTACTGGGTTGTGCTCTCATCAGACATCCTCGTGTCCTGTGGCTGACCTTGTACAGACAGAGACCCTAAACCTTGGGACGGCTGGCTCGCAAGGTGGTGTGCTTATAGTGGATTGTGCACTCATGAGACAGCTGGACCTTGTAAAGAGGACAGAGTTTGGCGTTTGTAGCTGGTGGTGCGCTTGAGGGGAGAGCTGGGCTTGCAGAGGGGCGACAGGCGCCTCTCCTTGTCCCGCTCTTGTCTCCTCTCCTTTTGAGACGTCTCAGAAGTCGTCTACTGTCAATCTTTTGCTAAAAGTTTCTTTTAGATTGCTGCTCACCTAATCAGATGGCTGAGGGGGCGATGGACGGCGGGCGCCTCTCCTTGTAATGTTGCTGTTGTGGCAGTGTCTGCTGAAGCTGATTGATGTTAATGTTAATGTTGCTGTTAATGTTGATGTTGATGTTGATGTTGATGTTGCTGTTGCGGTTGCTGTTGCTGTTGATGTCTCCTTCCCTTACACTTTCCCTAACACCGTTCCTTCCTCTTCCCTTTTTCCTTCCTGTCCCCTCCAGTGTCATCCTGACGTGGCACGTCACCACCAGTCCACCCAGGCGTTCCGAGCCATTCTGGCTGCTTATGAGGTGATGAGAGGTTGTGAGAGGTGATGAGAGGTTGTGAGTCGATGAGAGTTTGTGTTGTGAGGTGATTACTTAATGTTCGTCGTGATATGCTACTTCATATCCGCTGTTATACTGAATACTTTCAACTTCACTTAACGTACGTCTCAAAACTCCATTACATGTCAATTGTTACATCCATTTATTCCCCTTGACCGTCCCAACACGCAGGTACTATCTGATGAGCAGCAACAGCAGCAGCGATACGACCTCACCCTGCCACCACCACCAGCCGCTGCTGCATCAGGATGACAGAAATCACCTCTCTCATCCGCTTCTCGTTGCACATTCTTACCTGCCCATCCGTTTCTCACCATGCAGGTACTATCTGATGAGCAGCAGCGGCAGCGCTACAACTTCACCCTGCCACCACCTCCAGCCGCTGCAGCAGCTGACGCCAGGCCCTTCTGGAACCAAAACAGACGTCCCTCCGCCGCTGCTGCTGCAGCCACTGCAGCATCGGCAGCAGCAGCAGCAGCAGCAGCAGCATCACCTTCTTACTCCTCTGCCACACCCCCGGATGATACGGGCGACTGGTGGGTACCCCCGTCCACGTCCTACCGGCCTCGCAACATGCACTCATCCCCGTTCTCTGCACCATCAGCATCATCAGCATCAGTTTCTTCAGCATCAAGAGCCGAGTCATCTGGAGAAGCAGCAGCAGCAGGAACAGGGGCAGCAGGAGCAGCGGCAGAGGATTCGTCCCAGGATTCAGCGGTCTTTTTCCGCTGGCCTCTCAACTATGCTCAGATGCGGTCGCGGGGAAGACGGACACGCAGAGGTGCAGGTCACAGCCCAGAGCAACCCTACTCGTATGCCTGGTCTGAGAGTGCAAACAGCTCCACATGCGGCTCACACACCACTCACCAGGAGGGACAACAGCAACGAGAGCAGCAGCAGCAGCAGCAGCAGCAGCCAGAGCAGGGAGAGGCAGACAGCTGGGAGCAATGGGAAGCGCAGAGATCATACAGATACAGCCACAGCAGTAGCTATAGCTCCGAATACAGTGACAGATATAGCCACAGGTATAGCCACAGGCGTTCGTATTGGCAAGAGCGAAACAACAAGCAAGGCAGCAGGGGCAGCAGCCGCACACGTCCACGTCACCAGGAGGAGGACCGTGCGGACGAATGGGATCGCGCCAGCTGGCAGCAGCAAGATGAAGAGAGAGATCAGAGCAGGCGTGCCGCTTTGGAACCTTTCACCCTCCCTCTCTCCTTCTCACAAGTCTTCCTCGGCCAATGGGTGGACGACACCTGGCGCTTCGCACTCTTCCGCTTCCGCTCCCTCTTCCCCGGCGGTTTCCGGTCCTTCTCCTCCATCCTCTCAGTGCTTCTCGTTCTCTTCCTCCTCGTCTCCTGTGCCTCAGCAATCGGTACAGAGCGGTTGCTAGGGGTGCTGACCTTTGCCCTCATGTGGGGGAACCAGCGGGGGTATCAGATTGCAGGGCTTGTTGCATGGTTCTTGGGGGGAGTGAGAGGCCTGGTGCTGGTTGTGGGTTTGAGTGCGGTTCAGTGGGTTGCCGGGCCCATGTTTTGCCATAGGACGGCGGCGTTGGTGGCGGTGGTGGTGTGGCTGGGAGGGCAGGTGGCGGCTCAGCTCTCGATTTCTCCTCTCGTGTTGGCTCTCCTCGCTTCCAGGTTGACCCCTCTCTGGGACCAAAGCTGATTCCTACGGCCCCTCGAATGTGCACCGTTGGTGAAGGTGGTGGTGTGGCTGGGATGGCAGGCTGTGGCGCAGCTGTCGATTTCACTGCTCGTGCTGGCCCTGCTGGCGTCAAGGTTGACTCCCCTCTCTGAGACCAGGGCGGATGATCCTTCCACAAAAACTTTTGAGGCACCTTCAATGTGGCTGGGAGGGCTGCTTGCAGTGCAGCTGTCAATGTCAACGCTGCTCTTGCTGGCATTGTTTGAGTCCAGGTTGACTCCTCTCTGGGACCAAGGCTGATGGAATTTTTTAGGCGCCTTGAGAATCGTCTCTTGGTTGCCCCGCTGGTGTCAGCTTTGCTCGCGTGTAGGTTGACTGATGCCTCTTTGGTTCCAGAGCTGGTAATGCTTCGGCAGCAATGCTCCTGACCTGATGGTACTTCTGATGTGTAAATATAATCTGTTCTACTACCGTCAGCCCCCGGATAGAAGCGCCCCTGGGGTAATAAAAAAACACTGTTTTTTAGGGGGTGCGCTTATGATTGAGGAGTTTTATAAGCGCCGGCGCTTATAAAATGGCAAAAAAAATATATATTTGTTTTACACCAAACTGTATATCTCGTTCTGCCGATTGTAATCGAGTCGAAAACATATAGGGTCGCTAATCTGATTCTCGCGCAGCTTGGCAGGGAGTGATTCCCTGCCAGCTCACCCTGACAGAATTACAGCACATGCTGACTAGACGCGCAAAAAGTGAGTTCAGAGTGTGGGAAATCGAAATTGTAGTTAATTTCCCTGATTATGTGAAATTCGTTTCTGATATTTGAAAGGTTTTCAAATAAAAAACAAACATGCGCTTATAATATATCATCTTTTTCTAGGGGGTGCGCTTATAATCGAGGACCGGATATAAGCGCCCTCATCCTTTTATAAGCGCCGGCGCTTATCCTAGGCCTGCGCTTCTATCCGGGGGCTTACGGTACCGTATGTTGTGCCTCATGTACAACCAAGGGCAACGACTAGGGTGTTTTCAGTTCGGAGATCATTATTAGCCCAAACATGGGGCTGTGTACTGGTAAGGTAACCCTGAAAGAAAAGAAAGCCCCAACCTCCAATTCACTGCAGTCAATCAGGCTACAAAGTTCCTATGGGGCACCCAATAAAATGGTATACCACGTACGGTAATGTGGCTTCTGTTCTGTCTAAAGTCTGGTTTTGTCATGGGGCTGTAGCCTAGATCGACTGAAATGCCTGAAGAGACATCAATAATCTCAGATTTGGCATTGCCTCGAAATTGTTGTTGCGGGCTACACAAAGTTGATGTGTCTTGTATTATATTTGTATGGAGCACTATGGTCCTTAACAGTCCTGGTCAGATTGACAATGGATATAGGATGTACCCATTCTTAGCGAGATAAAGGCCAGCGGTGTTGAGATACTTCCATCTGAATCGCTCATCGGAATTCGGGGTGACGCACCCGTTCTGCCTGGGACGACGCAGGGGGGTGACGGTCGACCGAGCGTCAGGGCGGCCAACTCCCTCGCGTGAGTCCCCCGCCAGGCTGGCGCGGGGCGGGGCTCTGCCCACGACCCCCGCCCCGGCCCCCCACCCCGATTTCCTACAGAACCCCACGTTGCAGCCGACGGGTGGCGAACTCCCGCGTGAGCGACGAGGGGCCTAGTTACCCCTTCACGGAGGCGGACATTCGCTTCGCGTTGCCCGCGAGGCCCTAGTAACCCTCTCGGCCTGCCCTCGCCGGGCAGGCGGGTTGGTTGCGAAATTCGGAGGGCCCGACCCCACCCTCGTCAACATCGCTGGCCCCTCGAGAGGGGACACGTGGCTCGCCCTCGCCACCCCGACCACCCCCACGCACGGCCCACACAAACCACCCACCTCCGCCGCTCCGAACCCCGCCATCGAGGGCATGCCCGGTACGGGCCGAAGCCGGAGGCTCGCCCTCGGCCACGACCTGCCTCGTCCGCCGAGCTGCATCCTAGGCGACCGACCGACGGCCCACGACCCATTTCTTGATGGGGGGTCCCACTCCATCCCTCATTTCTCCATTCCAGCTTCGCTTTCCGATTTCCTCTGCCTCCCTGTCAGCTCTCCGCGCTCCTCCCCAAACCTTCCGTGATACCGACCGTGGTGTTAGCATGGCGACCAGTAGGAGAGCACTGCCTGCGACTGAATTCCCCCTCCAGGTGCCAGTGAGCGTCGGTGGGTACGTGGTGACGCTGGAGATGAAGGACTACGAAGTCCTTCGCGACGAGAAGGCCGAGTTCACAGAAACTTGCTTCTTCCTCGGCCTCGCGTGAGCGCGCATCCCAAGGTCGCGCTGTCAGTTGTTTAGGGTTCAGCGCGTTTTCGTCGGCGTCCTTTCTAGGTCGACGTTGGCCTTGTCGATTTCCCGTGTGGTCGACGATGTCCATCCGCGATGGACGTTTTAGCTGCGTCGTCTTATCAACTAGTCGACCATTGGCCCTACGTCGGTGACGTCCGTCATGCTTCCGGCGACATCGCCGTCGTGCTTTACCTTCGTCCGGCATGGATTGTAGCTCACCGCGCAAGTGTTTCGCTCCCGCCTTTTCGCCCCCGCTTGTCCCAGGTACGAGCTCGATCGTCTGGGAAAAGGCGACAGCATGATCCTGATCCGCGGTGCGAGTCTTCGCGCCGCCAGGACGGCGTCGAAGGCGGACTATCTGGTTTTCGGGTCGGCCTTCGGCTTCGAAGCCCTCGCCATCCCCCTGTGCACCGGGTGAGTGTTCCGCGCCCGCGAGGTTTGATCCACGCCGACCGAGTTGCTTGTTGTTCCCGGACAGAACCCCGAATGTCTCCGTCGTGCTTGTGTGGGCAGGGGCGGACCTCTTCCCGGCAGGCACTGCAGCGTCCTGCTTGTTGTGCGCCCTGGCGACCTGCTTTTGCCCGACGAGGAGGAGATCGGGACGTTCTACCGCCACCTCGACCCCAAGACCTCCTCCAAGCGGCACGAGGAGGAGGCGGCCAACGTTATGAGGTGGGACAACGTCGACGGCTAGTCGCGCCGCTCTTTAACGGCGTTCATGCCGCCTTATCTGATGGCTCTTTCCCTTCTCGTAGCGCAGGTTTTTCGTCGAGTGCGCGAAGGCGGAGTTGAACCGTGAGGGAAGGCAGTGGACGGCTGCGCCTCCTTCCGCCGAAATCCTCTCCGAACGTCTGGAGAGTCTTGCCGCCCCCATCCGTGATGTGAGTTTCCAACGTCCATGTCCCCTTGTCGCCTGGGCTATCGTCGTCGAGGCGTCGACTCACCCTTTTCGTCGGCGCCATGTGCTTCGGATGTTGATGCAGAAATTGCCCGACATCCTCAAGGAGGAGGTCGCCGGCTCGGGGCTGTTGGCGGTCAACGCGTTCGCGTGGTCTTTGGAGCATCTCGACGACGTGTTTCGCAGCTACGATCCGCTCATCGTCGAGAACCCGAAGATGGTCGGCTTGAAGGCGCTCCGACTGGAGCTGCTGCACCACGCGGAGAAGGCCGCGTCGAACAGAGGGGAGGCCGCGTTGACCGTGGCCCGTGGCGTCGAAACCGGCATCGCTATGGGTGGGGAGGAGGAGCACGAGAGGGAGGACGTTGAGGGGGGCGGGGAGCACGACGGTGGCTCGGAAGAAGAGGAGGAGGACGTGGAGCGTGAGGAGGACGACGTGGTTGTCACCGGCGAAGAGGAGGCAGTGCAGTTCGCCGGTGAGAAGGTTGCGGATATGGGCGGCGGCAGCGGACCCAAGTTGGGCAAGAAGGCCTGGGGCAGCAGTGACTCGACCCCGCCTAGGATGGCGTCAAAGGCGGCTATCGAGCGTCTGAAGGCGGCGGAGAGGGAGATCAAGAAGCTGAGGGAGGAGAAGCTGGTGGCGGAAAAGAGGTTGGAGTTCCAAACGGCCCGGAATGACACGATTTACGGCGTGGTCACCTCGGCCGTGAACAAGCTCACTACAGTCGCCGAGGGCGTGACCCATCTCGAGCAGACGTCGGGGAGGAGCATCCAAACGGCGGTGGACGCTGTGAGGGCGGTCGTGCAGGAGGCGGTGAGCTATCGCGGCTCCACCCTCGAATTCATGAACACGCAGTGGCTGCCCACCGTGCAGGCCCTGCACTTGACGGCTACTGCTGCACAGGGTAGGCGACGGGAGGACGACCTCCTGCTGCTTCGAGGTGTGGCATATTCTCTCGGCCAGAACATCAAAACAGTCGTGTCTGCCGAGGTGAAGGCCGCCATGGAGGGCGAGGCGCAGCGGATCGCCGCTGCCGTGACTGCGAAGGTCGTCCAAGAGCTTAGGGACGACCTGGTGAAGGCGGTCACCTCCGCGACCCAACAGGGCATTGGCACCGCCGGGTTTAGCCTCCTCCCAATTGCTTTCGCGTCGGTGATGCACGGCGGTCGCGCAACCGCCGAGGAGAGTGGGCCGACCCCAAGGCAGTCGGGGAAAAGGGTCGCCGACGAAAAATCCCTGACCGGCGACCAGACCAGCGGCTCTAAGCAAAGCAGAGGACCTGCGGTGAAACGCGGTGTGGGCGTGGATCCTCCTGCCCCTCCGTATGTTCGTATCCCCGGCGTCCACGACTTGCTGAAAGATGGACTTGGCGCGCGACCGAGCGAACATTTTCGACAGGTTGACGTCGCGCTCGAGGATCCTCAGTCGGTGGTCGGGAAGACCGGTGGGCAGCCCGTGGGGGACAAGCAGCCACACGCCCCGACCGATCCGCCGAGCGCACACGACGCGCCACCGAGCTGCGAGCAGGTGAGTCTGGCCGACGAGCTCATGGGTCCGGCGACTGCACAAGGCGCTCGACCGAGCGGCGGCACGGCCCAGACGGCAGACGACATGTACGTCGCAGCGGTGGTCGGCCAGGCGCGCAGGGAGCCCGTTGCGGTCCAGCATGTTCAACCCTCGACGAGTACGCCGACTGCGCGACCGACCGGCGTCACAGCGCAGCTGCCCGACGACCTTCTGCGCCCCGCAGCGGTGGTCGGACAGCAGGGCGGGCCGGCCGGTGCGAGCCAGCATCTTCACCCGTCGACGAGCACGCCGACCGCACAAGACGCGCGTCCGGCTGGCGTCACGGCGCTGGTCGACGAGCTCTTGCGCCCAGCAGCGGTGGTCGGACAGCAGGGCGGGCCGCCAGGTACGGGCCAGCATACCCCCACCGCGACGAGTCCGGCGACTGCACGGGACGCGCGTTCGGCTGGCGCCACGGCGCTGGTCGACGAGCTCTTGCGCCCAGCATCCGTGGTCGGACAGCATGTCCAGCAGGCCGCGGCGGGCCAGCATCCGCACACCGCGACGAGTCCTGCCACTGCACGTGACGCGCGACCGGGTGGTGTCACGGCGCTGGTCGTCGAGCTGTTGCGCCCAGCAGCGTTGGTCGGACAGCATGTCCAGCAGGCTGCCGGTGCGGCCAGCTTACCCGTTCATGGGGCCATGGTCGCCGCGGAACCCATCCCGATCCCAACGGCTGTTGAGTCTCGGGCGGTCGAGGCCCTAATCACTCAAAAGCCATCGTACGATGAGTATCTGAAATGGCTCGAGGATCAGGGTCACAAAACCCCGGTAATTCCTCCGACTCACAGCAACCAGGTGGTCGACCAAAGAGCAGAGGCAGCGAACGTCGCGGCGGCGACTGCAGGGCCGAGTGGCTCAACGGTGGAGGCGGCTGTGTGGAGAGCGGCAGAAGAAGCCGGCGGGGTGGACGAAGAGATCCTCGCCAGCATCGTGATGCCGGACCCGGAAATCGAGGTCATGCGGGAGAAACTACAAGCAGCAGCTCCCACCGTGGGAGCGCAACAGGGTGCACCAGCCGCCTCGACTGCTCCTGCGGAGGACCATAGCGCGGCTGGCGCCAAATCTCCCCCGGCCACAACCGGTGAGGTCGGCGATGGGAAGCAGAGGCGCAAGGGCAAGGACAAGGCGAAGGGCGGCCCGCCGAAGGTCGGCTCTTCCAAGGGGACGTCCAAAGCGGCCGCGCAGGGTCGGAAGGGTTCAGGCGTCCGCGTTGACCCTTCAACTGGGCTGGCCGTCTCGGAGATGAAGTTTGGGAAGAAGAGCCGTTACATCTGCCGGTCGATGGACAAGTCCGAGGCCGCCTACTGCATCGCTGTCGCCGTTTCGTCGTTCGACGGCTTCGTCAGCGACGTGGCTCTCGACGAGTTCGGTGGGGTCAAGGAGGAAGTGATGGCGCAGTATAAGGCGGACTGGAATGTGGCGCGATTGATTCCGGGGGGCATGTGGATGGTCATGTGGAGCCGAGGGGCGAACGTCTTCCGCGACAGGTAAGCTTGGCGAATGCTCAATTTGGTGCTCGTTTCGGTCGGTACGCGTGGGCCGGTCGGTGACGGTGGGTATTCCTGCTGTGTTTCGCAGGTTCCAACAGGTGGTCGCGGAATACAACAGGATAACCGGAGCCGACCGCGCAGCTCTCATGTTGGCTCTTCGCCCGGCGGTGTGGTTCGGCGACCTTCCGGAGTCGACCGAGCCCGATAAGGCCGCGAAGAAGAAGGTGGCGAGCGACATGATCGCACGCATTTCGATGTGTGCCGCCTTCGCACCGGTGGCCGCGAAAGTGTTGCCCATTCCGGGCGTCGGGTCGGAGCGGTTGTCCGAGATCCTCGCCGGTACTGCGGCCGCGGTGTGGTGTTTTTCGGAGACCAATGCCACGGCGGAAGTAGCGGCCGGCGAAGGGGGGGCGGCAGCGACCGTGCGCGGAGCGTCCAACGAGTTCGCGAGTCGGTGTCGGACCGTCATCGAGGCGGTGCTTAAGCGGGCGGCCTCCCGGGAGGTCGTCGTAGGGGAGGTCGCCGAAACGGTGACGAAGGACCTGCGGGCGGCTGTGCTGAGGTCGCTGCCTAAGGTCGGAGAGGAGCGCGAGCACGACGAGCTGATCGCCCGTGTCATGATAGAGAACCTTGCCTTCTGGGGGGACTGCAATGTCGGAGGCCCGAAGCTCAAGGCTCGCGGCGTCGATTTGCCTATCGACCCCCAGATGAAGGTTATCATTCGGGACAGGGGGGCGAGGGGGCAGCAGCACAAAGGGAAGCAGGTCGCCGACGCCTAGGTCGACGAAGGCTGGCCCGCCTGCTCGTAGCATGGTCGGCGTGGGTGCAAACGCTGCAGGCTTGATGACCGCTGTTTTGTTGTTTTGTTGTGCCTCTCCGGCTTAGTGATGCTGAACTTGTTCGTCGGTAGTTTTTCAGAAACGTTGTGACGTAGGTTTTGTGGTGTGGAGTCGGTTTGATGCATGAACAACGGACAAACTTCAACTAATTTACAAGTCGAAACAAAGTTGCTAGTAAAAGAAAACCATATAGAGTCACTAGAACAGGTCGGACACGCTCAGCACATCCCCAGCCCACCCTCAGCCCGCCCTCAGCCCGGCCTCGGGCCGCCCTCAACCCACCCTCAGTCACACCTCGCTCAGCCAGCAGCACAAGTCGGACCCAGACGCAGTACCCTCAGCCCGCCCTCTTGCGCTTCCCTGCGCCGATGGCTCCCACCGTCGCCTCGGCCTCCAAGCCGGCCTTATTGGCCTGCTCATCCCACAAGTCGCCAAAGAGCCTCTTTCCCCAGTCAGCGTCCATGTAGCCCGCCGTGACCACGCCCCACGCAACGGCGAGCTTCCTCGCCAGCGGCTTGTCCAGACCCTTGATGCCGACCGACTTTCCGTCGGCTGTGGTGGGGACCTTGATGGGCGGGGTTGCACGGAGGACCAAGAGCGCGTCGCTGAAAGTGGAAAGCCCCGCTCGCCCCAGGTGGTCGACTAGCTTGATGACGGCGGCGGTGTCAGCGGCGTCGTCGCTCCGCCGCAAGTCGTGCACCGCTTCCATGATCCGCCTCATCCGGCGAGTGCAGTGCTGCAGCGCATCGTTTTTCCCCGTCTCACCCACCTCGGTCGTGGGACTAGAGCTCTTCGCCGACTTCGCCGACGCGGCGGGTTTGTCGCCCTTTTCGACCTTGCAGATCATGCGCGTGTGTCTGACGAGGAATCTGTGCTCGTCGAAACGTTCGCGCAACGGACGCGAGTCGAAGTTGGACGGGTTGTTCCACCAGCGCCATGCAGCCTCGACCGTCTTGGATGTGCGCCAGGGATGCACGACGTTGACCTCATACGTCAGGTAATCCTCCTGTTCCTTCTCGATCTTGACGGACGCTGCCTTCTCGGCGGCCGTCATCGGCCTTGACGGTGCGGGCGTAGACGGCGTCAGCCGTGCCTCGGCCAGCTTGAGAGCCTGCATCAACTTCGCGATCTCCGCGTCCTTCTCCTCCAACTTCTTCTGCATCTCAAGCTTCTCGATCGCGGCATCCTCCCTCTGGCGGTGCAGCATCATGGTGAGCTGGTCGACCTGATATTCGGCGTCGATTCGCGCGCTGAATTCCTGCGATCCAAGGGGGATGGTCGGCAAAAGGTGAGCCAATGTGGCAGGACGACTTGTTTTGCAGGTCGCCGGAACGCGCACGCCGTACCTCTTGGGGGTTCTCGCTCGGAGTACTGCGCGTCGCGATGGTTTCGAGGTCCACCTTGTTGACGCCCTTCGCCCATTTCTGGAAGTCGGGGTCGCGGCAGAGCTTGGAACTCTGGACGTACGGGTGCCACGGTTCGCGCATCAGCATGCACGCAAGATCCTCGGCGACGATTCGGCGGCCGAACTCGATGAGCGATTGCAGGAAGTGCACCCCGGCCGTGTTGGGCTCTCTCGCGGATGCGCATTTTACCGCCTGCGAGTCGAACACAAACACAAACACAATCAGCCGTCGGTATAATGTCGTTGTGGAAATGGTCGGCGGGTTGTCGGCGTTATTGCCGTCCGAAATGCTCACCTTGGCCAGTTCCGCTTCAGCCCACGGAAAGATGTGCTGGGCGATGAGGGCCACCACCTTGTCGTCGGGCTTCACCATGCTCCGGCCGAGGTGGTAGTCGTCGCGCTTGCCCGTGTAGCCGGCCTTTCTCAACACCGCCGCCTTCGGGATGGTTGTGATGTAGCTCTTCGCGAGCTTGTCGAGCGCCCAGTGGCCCAAGTCGGCGATGTCAGATCGCGGAACGCCGTCGTCGGCCAGCTCCTGTGCCCCACCCGCCCGGGCGGCGTGGGTGTTGCGCGTGATGAAGATGTTGTTCGTCCGCCACATCTCTTTCGTGATCCGAGAATGAGATGACGCCGACAGCTCTTTTTGTTCCTTGTCGTTCCGAGCATGAAAGAGGTGCTTGTGATACCAGCTGTACGGAGTCGTGAAGTCGAGGGGCGGCACACATCGAGAAGTGGGCGATCGGCTGAGCTGGTCGTACACGAAGTGCAGCCACAACAGTGTGTGACCGACGGCGCACATCTCTTGCTCCAGGTGTCTTGCCGCGTAGCTGTGATGCAGACGAGCATCCTTGTTCGTCTTGGAGTTTCGTGACACGACGACCATGACAACCGGCCGTCGAGTGGAGTGCTCGGGCGACGCGCTCCCCATTCTGTACAAAAACAGGTCGGGGAGCTCGATCGCTCGGAGACTGGCTCCGCGGAGAAGGGTGTGGTGACCCAAGAGGGTCATCGTCTTCATCAGCAGAAACTTCCACAGTTTCTGGGAGGGGGTGGCCGCTTTGGGTTCGTACGCCCGAGCTGCCCAGGTCGGCAAGACCTTGAACATGAGGTGGCGGATCTGGTCGGTGGTGTACGTGTCGCCGAACGTTCCGCGGTGCCGGTCGACGCAATCCCTGCACATCAGTTTCCACGAGGACTGGGTTAGCTGGGCGAACCGGGAAATAGGCGCGGGACGACTTGCCGACTTACCTGTCGTCCCTGTGCCACTTCTCTCTGACCATCGCGCGCACCTCCGAGCGGACCTCGGAGATGTCGTACATGATGTGGAGCTCCTTCACCCCGAAGAGCGTCCCCTCGACCTTGCAGGCTGTCTGGAGCGCTTTGATACGGATGAGCAGCATCGAAACCGATGTCGGCTTCAGGGGCTGGACACGGACGTCGGGATTCAGCTCCTCGAGCTCCTCGGCCTTTGCAATACCATACTCCCTTGCGATTGACAGAATGTACGCCCTGATCCGCGTGGCGTTGACGCAAGGACCGTGCATCCATTGTAGGTCGCCCTTGGCGGTGTGCCACTGATCACCCATGTCTTCGTCGATGTACCTCCCTATCTCGTCCTCGTGTTCCAGCACGCCGTCCCCCTTGACTCTGGCGGTTGGCTGTCTTGGAAGGTTCGCGCAGCACCATCTCCTGAAGTCGAGCAGCGCCCGCAGGTACTGAACCCGGGTCGTTCTCGCCTCCAGCGTGTCCAGATGCCGGAAAGCCCACATCATCCTCAGCAATCTGTTCTTCTTGGCGAGCTCTTTGTTGATGTCGAAGGCGGCTTCCGCAAAATCGTCGCGAGGAATGTTATGCAGGAAGGCGTCATCTTTCTCGTCGGCTGCCAACAAGTCCTCTACGGTCAGATACATGTAGTCGTTTTCTGGAAATGGTCCAATTGGCGGCGGCTGCTCCGTGTCCGAACGCGGCGAGTACCGGTCCGGCCCGGGTTCGGGAGCCCCTTTCGTCCCTGGCGGTAGGGGGATGGTCGGGTCGGCGGGAATTTTTGCCCTAGCGGCGTCTACGTCGACCACCATGTCAGCGGGAATATTTGCCCTAGCGGCGTCTACATCTTCCTCCATGAAAGGCTTGTTCAGGTCGGGAATCGCGCTGCTCCGCGCCGGCGGAGCGACGCCAGCCATCTCGGCGGGTAGAGTTGTTCCCGTCGGCCTCTAGTTGTCGCCGAAGTAAGGGCGGCGGATTAGTGTTCTGCTGGGTGACTTTCGCTTGTTGTCGACCTAGGTAGTCGTCCTAGTCGGAATGACTCTACGTCGGAAGCCCGTACAGTTTGCCGACCTAAACGCACTCTACACCGACGTGGCTCGTTGTCGACCCAGCACCACGCGTGGTCGGTCGGTCTCCGGGAAGCGTGAAAATGACTGAGGGAAATGTTGCGGAGCAGAATCAGAATGAATGCAACGCAACAAACAAGTGACGAAATGGCAACGCACCAAACAAGTGACGAAATGCCATGGACAGTTGGCCGTCATGAGGTCATAGCATAGAGAGGCACAATCTCGGTTCGGGCGGACAGGTGTTGTCGGCCGATCCGTGGGCAGGTCTCCAACCCTGGCAGAACGGCGGCGCAATGGTCGACGTGGCACGGGGCACGCATGTCTTCTTCGCAGCCGACAGTCCGGTGTTCCCGTCACGGTGAACCGTGCTTACACGTCGGCGTGACGCAGCAGTGCTCATCGCGTCGCCCGACGATGGTATCCCGCGGGCACGTTCCCGCCAGCAGGCCGGCGAAGGCTTGATTGCCGCGTGGACAGACGTTCGTCGATCGATGTTCGCCGCGTGGAATGTTGTGTTTCGGATGGACGACGTGTGGCTCTGCGCGCCAGAGCAGTGGTCGGCCAGGAATCGCGGTGGGCCTCACGTCGCAGTCCGCGCCGATGGCAAGGAGGACGTCGTGGCAAGGTGGCCGCGACCGGCGTCGTCGACGTGTCGACCTCGTACGGAGGGTCCGTTGAGAGGTGCTATCGGGGTTTTTCTCATCGGGATTGCCGGGCGACGCAGGGTGACGCTCCTCGCCCAGGACGTGCACTCAGTTAGCCGAACAGGATGACGCAGGGTGGCGGATCCCTTTCCCGAGCCGCGTCGTTTTTGCACCCGGATGTAGTCGGGGCGTTGAGATATACCATGCTGAAGTGGAAAAGAGCATCTCATCACAGCACTAGGGTTGCTGGAAGTAATTTATGATTAGAATCAAATGCTGCGCGTATTGAGTGTATTTCCTAGTTCGAAGCTATTTGTTGCGTGTAGTTTCTTGGATCTACCCTCCAGCAGTTCTCGCGGTGGGCAAGGGCTCCGCTTGCGATTAGGCGCGCACTGCGCGGCTTCCCCGATGCCTGCCATTTTTCCCTCCTGCACATCAGGCTCTGCTCTAGAAGACTCTCGGGCTCTGCGCTTGCTGGACCATTTCCCGCAAGCCTGTTGGTTGCAGGCGAGGCGAGGCGACGAGAGGAACATAGGGATGTACGGTACAGAAAATTTGCGACGGAGAGATGGTAACCCGGAGTGAACGTCGTCGCGAAGCAGGACAACATCGAAGTTCGAACTGCTTCCAACCAGCCGCTGAATGAAGAGGCCTGACAAGACGCCAGACCAGTCACCAGACACATTGACATTGGCCGTTTAGGGTAGATTATCCTAAATTCCGCGTGTGTTTCACTGGTAATTCTGCCCGACGGCAAACCAAGCGGATAAGGGATAAGGCACGAGACTAGCTCAACTGGTTTGCAGCGTGGGTACCCGTTGAATGTCCAACGCTGAAGCCCTTCAATTCTCTTTGTTGGTTATTCATCGGACGACTGAGCAAGGATTGCACGACCGGTCCAGCAATTCACTAGTAATTTCAATACCGATGGTCGCTTGACGTTCGCCACCGATGCTTCGTCGCAATCCCACGCGAATTGAGCTGAAACCGGAGGATCGGGAGGAGTATTTTGAAGCCAGACGACTCGCAGCCGCCGCCGCCGCTGCCGCTGCAGCTAGTGCTCCCGGAACCAGCGGTGTGGGAGGAGGTGCACCTTCGGTGAACCTTCTTGCAGCAGCGCGGTTGGATTCTGCGTTTCAGGGGAGCCGAGCATCTGGTGCACGAACGGGCCTCCAGAACTAGAGTTTGCCCCGTTTCATTCGGGCTTTCAAGATCCTAGCAATTGCGCTGGAATCAGCGATCTAGGGCTAGAGACTCACTCTTTTGGCGATTGCGAATCGCGGAGGCCTTGTCGGCAGCTGATTCGTGATTCAGTTTAGGTCGTCACGGATTCAAGAACTGATCTAGGTCATCGCACAGAAAATCTGCTGCTGCACATCCTCCTGCCGTGCTAGGCTAACCTCAGGCGTCCCGCTTTCCCCTTCCGTTAAGCTTGTTTGTTTCTTGGCGTGGTTTGCTATCGGCCTGCACCCATGTTCCCGTGCTCGAGTGCACGCGTCGCCCCTACTCCGTCGTACCTCTCGGGTCTCACTCCCTGTGCGCGAAGGTTACAGCGACCTGTTACTTCGCCGCGTCAGGTAAGTTCATTCGTGTATGTTGCTTCAGGTTTCGGGTAACGTCACAGACGTGTTTTTTCTAAGGCTGCAATGACCTGCGGGCTTGCCGCTTCAGGTAACCGCAGAAACGTCATTTTCGTTACAGGTTTGCACTGCGCCGGTGGTTCCGTTCTCTAGTGCATACGTCTCCCCACCGTCGTACCTCTAGGGTATCACTCCCTCGTCTCTCAAGGCCACAATGACCTGCGATTTGCCGCATCAGGTAATTTCAAAGATGTGTTTTCAGCTTGGATCCCGCACCCCTGTTCCATCATCGCCTCTCTCAAGCTCTCCCAACCGCTCGTACCTTTTTTTTTCTTTTTTTCATTCCGTTCCCGCTCGTCCCTCCAGCTGACAATGGCTCCTGCCTCTCTCTTTCCCTATTCCCCACTCCCTCGACTTTCTTGTTTCCCTCTTCTCGTCAGGGAGCGAGGAGTGGGTTGCTGCAGGTGGTGGTGCGGAGGAGCAAGGGGCCCAGCCGTTTGATGTGGAGCGGTGTTGGGGTGAGTGAGTGTTGGCATGGGTCCTGAATTGAGTTGTGAAGGGGAACGACGGGGGAAGGGGAGCGGAGGGAGTACTAGCCTAATAGGTTGCCGTGGATGGTATGGAGGAAGCAAGGCTCGGCTGTTTGATGTGGAGCGGTGTAGGGGTGAGTGAGTGTTGGGATGGGTCCTGAATTGAGGGGCGAAAGGGAACGATGGGGGGGCGGGAGCGGAGGGGATACTAGCCGAATAGGTTTCTGCAGGTGGTTTGGAGGAAGCACGGATCAGCCAGCCGTTTGAGGTGGAATGCTGTTTAGTGAGGGTTGGGGCTGGGGAAAAGACAGCGGGTTATCACTCTTTATTATGGCAACCTCTCCCTGTATTCCGTTCCTTCTTGATCCCCCTTGTATCTCCCGTGCATTATGTAACTCTCCTCACTTTTCTTTCCTCCCTTCTCAACCCCCACCGCATCTTACCCTCCTCTCACCCTCCTCTCACCCTCCTCTCACCCTCTCTCACCCACCTCCCACACTCCCCTCACTCCCTTCTCTCCCCCTTCCAGACCACCCGGTGCCATGTAAGCCGCACGGTCTTCCCAGTGCGCCGCCTGCTGCCCCTCCGCTCTGCGCTCTCTCACCGACCGACCTCTCACCCCCCTCCACCCCTCTCCACCCTTCCAGACCACCCGGTGCCATGTAAGCCGCACGGTCTTCCCAGTGCGTCGCCTGCTGCCCCTCCGCTCTGCTCCTGGTGACAGCGCAGGCATCACCGCAAGGGATGACGCTCCCGTTATTTTTAACGAGGTGGAATATTCCCCGGACGGACTCGCCGTGCTCAAGCACGACCCGCTGCTGGCGTCCCACGAGCCCCACCTGCGCTACCGCTACGCCCAGTTCCTCAAGCTCAAGAGGGCACTGGAGCAGCATGAGGGAGGGTTGGAACAGTTTTCCCGAGGTGAGCCATCATGAGATGATAGGACAAGATGGAGGGATCCATGGGTCTTCAACTTCCCTTGTTTTCAGCGAGGTGGAGTATTCTCCCGATGGGCTTGCCGTGGTCAAGGCCGATCCGCTGCTGGCCTGCCCGAGCCCCATCTGAGCTATTCCTACGCCCCGTTCCTCAAGCTCAAGAGGGCGCTGGAGCAGCACGAAGGGGGGCTGGAGCAGCACGAAGGGGGGCTGGAGCAGCACGAAGGGGGGCTGGAGCAGTGCTCCCGAGGTGAGCCATTAGCAGAGTTCAGACAGAGCCCACTTTGGGGACAGAGCAGTTTTCTTTTCTCAAGGTGAGACACTCATAAGTCGGTGTATTCCCTGGCACCTCCCTCACCCTCGCCCCCCCGTCCCCCCTGCTGGCCTGCCACGAGCCTCATCTGCGCTACTGCTATGCCCACTCCCTCAAGCTCAAGAGGGCGCTGGAGCAGCGTGAAGGGGGGTTGAAGCAGTTTTCTCCGAGGTTGTTGCTCTGTATAACATTGGAAAGCTGATTCTCTGTTGTGGGTCTTGCTTTCGCTCTGCTTGTGGTTTGCCTGTGGCTGTGCCTGGCTGGCAGGGTATGAGACGATGGGCTTCACGCGGGAAAAGGACGCCATAGTCTACCGCGAGTGGGCTCCTGCGGCCACGTGAGTTGCAAGGGGTGATATGGACTTTAAGGCCCTGCTGCCGCTGCATGAGTTGCAAGAAGTGAACTGGGTTAAAGGCCTTGCTACCGTGTGAGTGAGTTGCAAAGGGTGATCACCACCCGGTATGGGCAGGGTATGAGAAGGTGGGGCTTCACATGTGAGAAGGACGCTACAGTCTACTGCTTTTGAGTCGACTCAAAAGCACACCATAGTCTACCGCGAATGGGCGCCTGCGGCCACGCATGTTTTGAGAACTCATGGGCTCCTCTTGATTGATAGCACACAAGTTGGGTGAGTGGCTGCAGCAGGCGACTCGAAACGTGGCTAAGCTGGTGGGTGAATGCAACAGGTGGCATGGGTGGAACGGGTGGCACACGTGGAACGGGTGGCACGGGGGGCACGGGTGGCACGGGGGGCACGGGTGGCTAAGCTTGTGCTGGTCAACATCTAATACCTCCTTCCCCTTCCGCCTTCCCCTCACCCCGTCTTCCCCCTTTTACAATCACGGTGCGGCCCGGCTGGTGGGTGACTTTAACGGGTGGAATGAGAAGATAGTTGGTCCACTAGAAACACGCATGATTAACTCCCCCCTTTCCCCCCTCCCCACCCCCCCCTTTCTTTACAATCACAGTGCGGCCCAGCTAGTGGGTGACTTTAACGGGTGGAATGGCGAGTCGTGCTGGATGGAGCGCAACCACTTCGGCGTGTGGTCCGTGCGGCTACCAGACAGAGACGGCCGCCCGGCAATCGCGCACGGATCGCGCGTGAAGATCCGGCTGCAGAAGGGGGACGGCGGATGGGTGGAGCGAATCCCGGCTTGGATCAAATGGGCTACAGCTGAGCCGGGGAAGATGGGGGCGTGCTACGATGGCATCTACTGGGACCCTCCGGCTAAGGAAAAGTGAGTTATGAGAATTAGGTGGGTGATTCTTGAAAGTCGGGCAGAAGGCTGGTTCGGAAGGGTGAAGATTCGGGTGCAGAAGGGGGACGGCGGATGGGTGGAGCGAATCCCGGCTTGGATCAAATGGGCCACAGCCGAGCCGGGGAAGATGGGGGCGTGCTACGATGGCATCTACTGGGACCCTCCGGCTAAGGAAAAGTGAGTTATGTGAATCAGGTGGGTGATTCTTGAAAGTCGGGCAGAAGGCTGGTTCGGAAGGGTGAAGGGAGCCGGCTGCAGAAGGGGGACGGCGGATGGGTGGAGCGCATCCCGGCGTGGATCAAATGGGCCACTGCTGAGCCGGGGAAGATGGGCGCATGCTACGATGGAATCTACTGGAACCCCCCGGCCAATTAGAGGTGTGTGAATAATGGTTTGCGTGAGCTTATGTGCTTGAGGGTAAGGTGAGTCTGTGTGCTTGTGTGGTCCAAGGGGAACTGCGGGTGGGCGGAGTGCATCCCTGCTTGGATCCGATGGCCAACGGCCGAGCCGGAGAAGATGGGTGCGTGCTATGATGGCACGCATCAAGGCTCCCAGCTAGAACACCATCCAGCTCATTGCAGCCTCGTCTCTCAACAAGCCCTTCTAACGCGCATATTTCAATTACCACACACACACCCCCTCTCCCTCCCACCCCCTGTCGCCTCTCCCCGGCCCCTTGTTTCTGCTCCCTGCACTGCAGGTACCAGTTCAAGTGCCCGCGCCCACCCAAGCCTGACGCCCCACGGATTTATGAAGCCCACGTGGGGATGAGTTCGGAGGAGCCTCGAGTGGCCTCCTACGTGCATTTCGCCAACTCTGTACTCCCACGCATCAAGGCCGCCGGCTACAACACCATCCAGCTCATGGCCGTCGCTGAGCACTCCTACTACGCATCCTTCGGTTGACTTTTTCTCCTCCCCCATTCCCATCCCCTCCCGTTTAACAGGTACCAGTTCAAGTGCCCGCGCCCACCCAAGCCTGACGCCCCGCGCATTTACGAGGCCCACGTGGGGATGAGTTCGGAGGAGCCTCGAGTGGCCTCCTACGTGCATTTCGCCAACTCTGTACTCCCACGCATCAAGGCCGCCGGCTACAACACCATCCAGCTCATGGCCGTCGCCGAGCACTCCTACTACGCATCCTTCGGTTACCACGTTACCAACTTCTTCGCCGTCAGCTCCCGATCCGGCACCCCGGAAGATCTCAAGTATCTGGTGGACACGGCGCATTCCCTCGGGATTCGCGTGCTCATGGATTTGATTCACTCCCATGCGAGCAACAACGTCTCCGACGGGCTCAACGGGTTTGATTTCGGGCAGTCTGCGGCCGATTCGTACTTCCACACGGGCGAGCGGGGGTATCACAAGCTGTGGGACAGCCGGTGCTTTAATTACTCCAACTGGGAGGTGCTGCGGTTTCTGCTCTCCAACCTCCGGTATTGGCTTGAGGAGTTTCAGTTCGACGGGTTTCGCTTTGACGGGGTGACGTCTATGCTGTACCACCACCGGGGTATCGGAATGTCGTTTTCTGGAGAGTATCACGAGTATTTCTCGACGTCTACGGATGTTGATGCGGTGGTGTATCTCATGCTGGCAAATGATTTGATTCACGGGGTGCGGCCTGATGCGACGACGATCGCGGAGGATGTGTCGGGGATGCCGACGCTGGGCCTGCCGGTGCCGATTGGAGGGGTGGGGTTTGATTACCGGCTTGCCATGGCGATTCCTGACCGTTGGATCGAGTATTTGAAGGATCGGAGGGACGAGGAGTGGAGCATGCGGGAGATTGTTCACACGCTGACGAATCGGAGATATACGGAGAAATGTGTTGCCTATGCGGAGAGCCATGACCAGGTGAGAGGCATGAGCAGGCAAGAGGCACGAATGGGTGAGATTCTCAAGGCGACGTTGTGCCTCTCTTGTCGTTTTTCCACATGGTGGCTTGAATGGTCTTGACACGTGTTGCTGCCCATCAATCCCATCCATCCCTGCTGCCGTTACTCGTCTTTCAATTCTTGCCCAGCGTGTCCTGTGTTGTGTTCCCCTCTTTCTCCACCCTCATCCCCCACCTCGCTCTGCTCAGGCCCCCCTTCCCAGTCCACCTTCTCCCCCCGTCCCGTCCTTTGTGCGTCACCAGTCAATGGTGGGAGACAAGTCCTTCGCCTTCCTTCGCCTTCACCCCCGCCCCTCCGTCTTTGTTTCCCATCAGTCCATGGTGGGAGACAAGTCCTTCGCCTTCCTCCTCATGGACTCACGCATGATCCTCCACATGTCCGTGCTTGAGAGGCCAACCCCTGCTCTCATTACCCTTGCCCCTTGTGCCCTATGCCCTGCTCTATGCCCTCCCCCTTTCCACCCCCCTCTCCTCTCGCCCGCCACTCTCCCCCCAGTCAATGGTGGGAGACAAGTCCGTCGCCTTCCTGCTCATGGACTCACACATGATCCTCCACATGTCCGTGCTTGAGAGGCCAACCCCCCCTGCCGTCCTGATCCTCACACCTTGAGCCCTGTGCCCTGTGCTCTGTCCTTCCACCCTTTCAAACCCCCTCTCCTCCCCCACCCCCGCAGTCCATGGTGGGAGACAAGTCGTTCGCCTTTCTCTTAATGGATTCAGACATGTATTTCCACATGTCTGTGCTTGAGAAGCCCACTCCTGCTGTCGTTGCCCTCACTCCTTGTGCCCTGAGCCCTGTGCCCCCTGCCCGCCCTCTCCCTCCCAGTCCATGGTAGGAGACAAGTCGTTCGCCTTTCTCTTAATGGATTCAGACATGTATTTCCACATGTCTGTGCTTGAGAAGCCCACTCCTGCTGTCGAGAGAGGCGTTGCTTTGCACAAGGTGAGCTGCTGTGGGAAGAAGAACTGTGCGCGTGAATGCGTGTATGCATGCATGCACATGTGCATCTCACATGTCTGCGCTTCAGAAGCCATAACGCGATGTCGCGAGGGGCGTTGCCTTGGCCAGCACAGTTTTGACAAGCCTCCGACCGACCTCCAGCATGTTCTTCTAGCATAAGAATAAAAATTGTGGGTAATGAGGTGACCTTTGAGTCGACTCAAAAGTCACCTCCTCCGACCTCCAGCATGTTCTTCTCCAGCATAAGAAAGTAGTTTCGACCTAGATCCAGCAGAGCTAACTCGTTCTAATCCCTTCTATGTTCTTTTATTGCCGCCATTTTCCACCCTCTGCGTCTTTTCTAATTTCTCGAGCGTTGCGGGTTAACTCAAACGTTCTACGAATCCACACACCTTTTTATGCCTCTCCTCTCCGTCCGTCCCCACTCTCCCCTCTCCTCCCCTCCCCCCTCTCCCTCCCCGCCCCACCTGTTCCCCAGATGATCCATTTCATCACCATGGCTTGGGAGGCGTTGGCTACCTCAACTTCAGCCCTCCCCAACCCTTTCCACTTCTCTGCCCGCCCCTCCTCCCCTCTCCTCTCCCCTGCCTCCCCTCCCCTCTCCCCTGCCTCCCCTCCCCTCCCCTCCCCTCTCCTCTCCCCTGCCTCCCCTCCCCTCCCTCCACCAGATGATTCATTTCATCACCATGGCGCTGGGAGGCGATGGCTACCTCAACTTCATGGGCAATGAGGTGTGGAATATGGAATGGATGTGGCTGATATGGATGTGACTGAATGGATGTGACTGAATGGATGTGACTGATATGGATGCGACTGAATGGATGTGACTGTGACTGGAACAGATGTGGTTGTTCACTGCTGTAGCACACTTGACAGGGATGCGTGTTATTAGTGGTTGGCAGGCGATGGCTACCTCAATTTCGAGAGCAGCAATGTATGGGATGAGATTTTATATCTATATACTGTATGTATTGGAGTGTGACTGTATATATGTAACTGGCCAATATAACTGTGCGATGTGCACGTGGGGGATCTGATTTTCTGGAACGTATAAGAAGAAGAAGAAGAAGAAAAAACCTGCTTGTACTCCTCACCTCCTCTCCTCTGCCCCATCCTCACATCCTCACTCTTCATCCCTCATCCCCCATCAGTTTGGGCATCCCGAGTGGCTTGACTTCCCCAGGGAGGGCAACAACTGGAGCTACGACTGTTGCTGCCTATATCCCTGACCTATCTCCCCCCATCCTCATCCCTCATCCTTCATCCCTCATCCCCCATCAGTTTGGGCATCCCGAGTGGCTTGACTTCCCCAGGGAGGGCAACAACTGGAGCTACGACCGCTGCTGCTGACACCCCGGACCCTGGGCTATAACCCTGACTTTATGTTCACTCTGCCCCCATCCTCATCTCCCATCCCTCATCCCCCATCAGTTTGGGCATCCCGAGTGGCTTGACTTCCCCAGGGAGGGCAACAACTGGAGCTACGACTGTTGCTGCCTATATCCCTGACCTATCTCCCCTATGCCCCCATCCTCATCCCTCATCCTTCATCCCTCATCCCCCATCAGTTTGGGCATCCCGAGTGGCTTGACTTCCCCAGGGAGGGCAACAACTGGAGCTACGACCGCTGCCGGCGGATGTGGCACCTCCGAGACGACAAGCTGCTGCGCTACCAGGTGGGTGCAATGCGGTGCCAGGTGAGATATGAGTGGTGCGGTGTATGTCGTGTGTGGTGTGGCACACTAGTTAATAGTTGCTATCAGGCACAGGTGGTTGGAGGTTAGGGATTCTCACCACTTCCAGTGGATGTGGCACCTCAGAGACGACAAGCTGCTGCGGTACCAGGTGAAAACAATGCGGTACCAGGTGGGAGAAATGCGGTTCCAGGTGAGAGCAACGCGGTACCAGGTGGGAGCAATGCAGCACCCTACCTGCCCACCCTCCGTGTCTCTCTTCCCTTCTCACGTCTCCCTTCAACTAGTATCGTCACACATGCCCTTCCTCCCTTCAACTAGTATCGTCACACATGCCCTTCCTCCCTTCAACTAGTATCGTCACACATGCCCTTCCTCCCTTCAACTAGTATCGTCACACATGCCCTTCCTCCCTTCAACTAGTATCGTCACACATGCCCTTCCTCCCTTCAACTAGTATCGTCACACATGCCCTTCCTCCCTTCAACTAGTATCGTCACACATGCCCTTCCTCCCTTCAACTAGTATCGTCACACATGCCCTTCCTCCCTTCAACTAGTATCGTCACACATGCCCTTCCTCCCTTCAACTAGTATCGTCACACATGCCCTTCCTCCCTTCTCTCCCCCCCCCTTCCCCATCCCCACCCCTCTTTTGTTACCCCTTCGTCCCAACTCTCCTTGCAGCACATGAATCGGTTTGACCAGGCAATGAACGCTCTGGATGAGAAGCATCACTTCCTTGCTGCCGACCATCAGATCGTGTCCAGTGCAGACGAGAAGGACCGGGTGAGTGAGTGGGAGCGCGTGAGTGGGAGTGAGTGGGAGTGAGTGAGTGATTGAGTGGGAGTGAGTGAGTGAGTGAGTGAGTGGGAGTGAGCGAGTGATTGAGTGGGAGTGAGTGAGTGATTAAGTGGGAGTGAGTGAGTGAGTGTTTCTTTGTATTTGAGAGCTGCAATGCCCTCTTGGTCTTTGAGAAATTTCGAAAGCGACCCATGAGCTGAAGCCTTCTTATATCCTGTGTGCTGTTTCATTTTGTCCAACCTCCCTCACTGAATTTCATGCAGGTGATTGTGTTTGAGAGGGGCGATCTCCTATTCGTCTTCAACTTCCATCCCACCAAAACCTACGAGGGGTACGTTCCTTGCTGCTCTCTCATGCACCCTCTCTTTCCTCCTTCACCTCTTCCCCCGTCCTTACTCTCCTAGTCTTCAACTTCCATCCTACTAAGACCCACGAGGGTGCCTCTTCTGCTGTTCTTTCATGCTTCGTTCCCCTATGATCTGTGAGGCGAAATTCAGTCGTTGCTTGTGCGTCCTCCTTTTGAGACACCTCATTAGTCCCTCGCTGCTTGTGCTCCCTTTTCACTCTCCCCGCCCCCTTCTCCTTTTAGCCTTCAACTTCCATCCCACTAAAACCTATTATGGGTACGTCTCTCGCTCCCCATGCACCCCTTCTCGTGCAGTCTCCTCCTCGTTTCCTCGGCCTGGCTTCACAGGTACAAGGTCGGATGCCCAGAGCATGGCAGGTGGTGAGTGGTGCACGTGCGACTATCTTTCACTCACTCTTTCAATGCTCCTCTCATCCCGCTCTTGTCCCCATTCCCTCGCCTGGCTTCACAGTCACAGGCACAAGGATGGATGCAAGGAGCCTGGCAGGTGGTGAGTGGTGCGCATGCGACTATCTTTCACTCACTCTTTCCCATACTCCTTTCACCCTGCTCTTGTCCCCATCCCCTGCCCCCACAGCTACAAGGTGGGGTGCAAGGAGCCTGGCAAGTGGCGAGTGCGTGGTGCTTGCAAGAATCATCCACTCACGATCCTCCCCCCCTGTAATCCCTGTTCCCCAAACTACCCACTCTTGTCTCGCTCCCCTACCCCCACAGCTACAAGGTGGGGTGCAAGGAGCCGGGCAAGTGGCGAGTGGTTCTGGACAGTGACGCCATTGAATTCGGGGGCCAGGGGCGGGTGAGTAAAGTGGGTAGAGGAGCGGCGGAGTGAGTTTGAGGCAGTAGAGGGAGTGACAAGGTGGGATGCAAGGAGCCTGGCAAGTGGTGGAGAGTGGTGCTGGACAGTAAGGTTTTTGGGTAGAGAGAGGGGAGGGGGAGGGGAGGGGAAGGGGGAGGGGGAGAGGGAGGGGGAGGGTGGGGAGTGGGCTTGACAGTGATGCTCTCGATTCTTGGAGCAAGGGATGAATGGGTGAAAGTTCATGGTTTGAGTAGTCAGTTTGGAGGCAGAGAAGAATGATTACGGAGCAGGAGTGTAGGTTTCAAGTGCGATCTCTCAGTATTCGAAGTTATGAGCAGCCAGGCTTTACTGGGAAAGAAATGTATTCTTCCTGAGCAGGTTTTCTTGCAAACATTGTGTAAACAGTTAAGATGGGGTGGTGGGGGGAGGGGGGTAGAAGTGGAGAGAAAGAAAGGGATTGGTGAAGAGTTGGAAAGGCAGCACCACTGCAGCACAGTTACAAGTGGAAGAGGGTGAGGGGTCGGATGGTGCCGTTATATTAGTGTGACTTTTGAGAATTCTCAAAAGTCACACAGATATAGCCGTTGTGAATGGTGATGGTGCAATGTGTGGTGCTGTGGAGAGTGTGGATGGGGAGGCAGGAAAGACAGGCCAGGGGTTCATCAATTATTAGTTTATGAGAGGGAGGTATGCCACACCATTTCCACGCTCTCGGCGGATACTCTTTTCGTGTGCTCCCCCTTTTGCCATCTCATTTTCCCGTTCCCTTCCCTTGCTTTCCGGCTTTCACACCTGTCCTGTGTGTTGCTCTGTTTCTTCCTTTTTCTCTCTTTTTTTTCTTGCTCTGCCCGAGTTCAGGTAGGCCATGACGTGGACCACTTCACATCACCCGAAGGCATTCCAGGCCGCCCGGAAACAAACTTCAACAACCGCTGCTGCTCCCTCCTAGTTCTCTCACCATCTAGAACCTGCCAGGTGAGCTACTGTGTGTACTCCCTAACACGTGCAGGCAATTTTCTTCCAGCGGCATTGCACCTTGGAATGTTGAGCTTCGGTCCATAAAATGCATGCTCATTTTTTGCCCTGTCTTGCCATGGCAGGTGTATGCGCGGGTAAAGGAGGATGACCCCCCTGCCACTTTACCTTCAGCAAAGAGTGCTCTCAAGTCCATTGTTCCTCCCAGTCCGCTTCAGCTTAAGTGAAGTAGTTGGTGCTTGTAGGCTGGTGTGTAAAGAGGTTCTTCACCACGCTTTGGTTATTGGTGTCAAACTACCAGAGTTGCCACGGATAAAATTCCTTAAACCTTGATCACTATTTTCTCATACCGTATCTGAAGTTGATTTTAGTGGTAATATGATTTTCCTTTTGAGACCTACCATTGTAACTTTGCCATAACTTTGCGACCGTCGCAGCGGCTGCGAAGTCGTTAAGTGGCTGCACGAGCTCCCTGGTTTCGTAGCTTCGAGGTTGAATCTGGAAATGGAAACAGATGTTCCCAAGGTCCCAGATGTTGTCAAAAGTTGATCGACTCTTGCAGCTCAAGTGTCAAAATACTTTACGCTCTAAACCCTAGCCAACCACTGCATTGTATAGACGAACCGTTGTGCAGCGTAACACATCTGATTGAAGCACACCAAGTATCACCCCTTCTCACACTTGTGAAACAAGGCTTGTCTGCCTGGTTGGCACTGATTGTCCCAAGGCTCGAGGAAGAGATGTTAGAAGTCGACGCGCCGCGACGTGTCGAGTAGTAGGGAACTTTTTAGTGACTCTCGAGAGCTCTTAGGTATATCGTAAACGGCCTTGCCGTTTCTCGCCGAGCGAAATGGCTTCCGCATCGGCTTCCTCGTCGTCTTCCTCCTCATCAACAGCCATTTCCGCTTCCGCAGGAATCTCCGCTTCCGGTGGGACTTCCACTTCCGCCTCCTCTTCACTCGCAGCGGGGCTTGCGCGCAAGTTGCGCAAGGTCCTCGACACGCGCACGGACTCCCCCGAGCTGCTGGCAGCACTGGGCGCACTTTCGGGCTTCTACCGCGAAAACTCGTTGGCCAATCGGCGCGCTTTGAAGTCCACGATTGAACGTAGAGGATTGGCTATTAACGAGGAATTTCTTCAGGCGTCGGAAGCTGCTCAAGAGGTACCAGATGGTGTTTATGATGCAACTCAGAAGGCCTGGATTCTGTTGCTCGGGACAACAAGCTATCATGTTGCCAGTAACGAGTCATGATGGCAGTACTGATTTATTGGGACACGAAAGATTGCGGAAAGTGCACCAAGATTCATCGGATGAGAATCTGCATCTGCATTTGAATCTGAATCTGCATATGCATTTCCCTCATTCCGTCTCCCCTCCTCACTCCCCGCACCACTTTTCCCCTTCCGACCCCACCTAATCCAGGCGCTAGATGTGGTAGAGGCGGAGGTTCGGGGCCTTGCAGAGTGCTGCGACAGGTGAGCGTGTGGGGGAAGAGGCGTGTGTGTGAGGTGGAGGTTCTCTTGCCTTTAGACGATTTTTGAGGCGCCAAAAAAGTAATACTGCTCGTAACACGTGTCGTGCTTCGTTTTCACCTGGTAGTCCTGGTATCATCCACTGCACTGCACACATTGTCAGTCCTGGTAGGCAGTAAGTATCAAGACTTGGTTGGTTGGTTAGTTCAGCGTTCCTGGTCCTCCGCTTCTGAGAGGTGCTTCGTACAGTCACATTCAAGTGGCATTGTAAGGTTTGTTGTCCAGCCACACTTGTTCAACAGTAACTGCTAACCTGACAGAGGCTGCTAAACTGACCGAGACTGCTAGCCTGACGGAGGCTTCTAAACTGACAGAGACTGTTTACCTGACAGAGGCTGCTGAACTGACAGAGACTGCTTACCCGACAGAGGCTGCTGAACTGACAGAGACTGCTTACCCGACAGAGGCTGCTGAACTGACAGCGACTGCTTACCCGACAGAGGCTGCTAAACTGAAAGAGACTGCTTACCTGACAAAGGCTGCTAAACTGACATAGACTGCTTACCTGACCAAGACTGCTCATCTGACAGAGAACGTTAGTGCGGCTTCTACCCTCTTTCGTCCCTCTCTACCCTCGAAATGGACTCCGCATGACCACATGTATGCCGACCACTATAGAGTGCTGCTAGCCTGACAGAGATTGATAGAGGCTGACAGAGACCAACGGAGAGTGGCAGAGGCTGCTAACTTGATAGAGATGAGTAGTCTGACAGAAACTGTTTCGCTTGTCCCTGTTTTCTTCTTCTGCTTTCTATCTGCTTTCCCTTGCCACCGACACAGGATCGGTGCAGCACTGACCACATGTGCGTCAACAACAGGGGACATGGTGCTGGCCACAGAGAGGCTCAAGCTGCCATACCATATCCTTTGTCGCTCTCCTTTTTCCCCTATATTTTTTTCTCTCTCCTATTCAGAATCGGTGCAGCACTGACCACGTGTGCGTCAACAACAGGGGACATGGTGCTGGCAACAGAGAGGCTCAAGCTGGAGCTGGTTACCACTGTGCGCCGCCAGCAGCTCGTCGCCGCCTTCCTTAGAAGCTACCAGCTCTCGCCACAGGAGGTGAGACTGTGAGAGCTTCAAAAATTAGTCTGGTTACCACCATGACCTGGTTTCCATCATGAGCTGGTTGCCACAATTAACTGGTTACCACAATTAGCTGGTTACCATAATTAGCTGGTTACCATCATGAGCTGGTTACCACCATTGGCTGGTTACCACCTGTGCCACCAGCATTTCGTCACAGCCTTTCACAGAAGCTACCAGCTGTCTCCACAGGAGGTGAGATTTGTGTCTGCTGTCAGAGCTGGTTACACCAGAGCTGGTTACTATCACATCTGGTTACCATCAGAGCTGGTTACACCAGAGCTGGTTACTATCACAGCTGGTTACCATCAGAGCTGGTTACACCAGAGCTGGTTACTATCACAGCTGGTTACCATCAGAGCTGGTTACACCAGAGCTGGTTACTATCACAGCTGGTTACCATCAGAGCTGGTTACTATTGAAGCTGGTTATCACTGTGCGTTGCCAGCAGCTGGCCCGCCATTCAACCTGTAGTTTCCTTCTCTTTTTCTCCCATCCTTGCCCCACTCCACCTCAGGTGCAAGCACTGCGAGAGGACGAGATCAGCGAGAAGTTCTTCGAGGCGCTGAACCGAGTGCATGAGATTTATGGCTGTCATACCCATTCCTATCTTGCTGCCTTGTGTTCCTGTTTCCGTCTCTCTTGCTCCCATCCTTGCCCCACACCGCCTCAGGTGCAAGCATTGCGGGAGGACGAGATCAGTGAGAAGTTCTTTGAGGCGCTCAACCGAGTGCACGAGATTCATGCCAACTGCAAGCTGCTGCTGCGCACCCACCACCAGGTATCCCCTCTGCTGTGTGCTCTGCGATCACTATCCTCTTTTTGAGGCGCCTCAAAACTTAACCCCTCTGCTGTGTGCTCTGCGATCACTATCCTATTACCCACCTTCCATTTGTCACCGAATATGCACTTCGTGCATATGCGATAACAGTTGGTGCGCAGGTGTAGATGCAAGTGTAGGTTCAGGTGTAGTCTTTGTATGATTACAATTTGTGGGTGAGTTGTTGGGGAGTATGGGGGGTTGAGGCGAAGTTGTTGGGAAGGGTTAGAGGAAACATCGAGGGGTGGGAATCTAACGAACCAATCTGAAGAAACTGGGCCTGGCTCGAGGCGCACATCGAGAAGTGTGCGACTGAGCCAGGTTCAGGTAAATTCAGTACCAAACACCCTCTCGTTGCTTTTCTCCTGTTATTCTCTCATATTAGTGGAAAGCTGTTACCTCAGATCTAGCATCCGGTGGCACGCCACTATGGGAGGACCTACGGGATGAGGGAGGAAACTCTTTCATAACAGGAGAAAAGCCGAGAGAACGTTTGGGCAGTATGGACTGCCACGAGCTGCGCTGGCAGCAGATGTACTCGCGTCGGGAAACGCCGCCGTCGCGGAGGACGCGCTCGCAACGTAAGGAGAAGGAAGGCAAGGGAGTGACAAGAGGAAGAGCAGGTTGCAAGGATGAGGTGGTTCTCCGACACATAATGTTTTTTAACACTATCTGTGAAAATTCTTGAAGTTTCGCCCTTTCCAAAGGTAGAAAGGCTGACAGGCGGGCTGAGGAGATTGTACTTTTTGGGCACTATTCTCCTTCCCTGCCAGCCTCTCCCACCTTCCCCGCCTCCCCTCTCAGAAGCTCATTTTGTGCTCATGAATCCAACGGCCAGATGCAACGCATCTGGATCTCACCATCAGGCATGCCAGCATTTGCCCGTTCTCCTGCTTTTTCATCCCTCCTTTCTCCTCTTCCCCCCAGAGGGCGGGGCTGGAGCTGATGGATCTGATGGCGGTGTACCAGGAGGGGGCGTATGAGCGACTGTGCAGGTGAGATGAACGTGGGGAAGAGCGGACGTGGGGAAAGGGGAGGAATGAGGTGCGCTAAGAGCAGGAGCTGATGGATCTGATAGCATTGTACCAGGAAGGGCGAGATGAGCGAATCTGCTGGTGCAGGCGGAGTGTTGCAGCCTGGGCGACAGGAGTTCACACCAGATATTGGCTCTTTCTCACAGCTGAAGCATGTGCGTGAGATGCTTGCCCTCCTCCCTCCATCCCTCACGCACCTTTCCTTGGTCTCCAGAGTGTCGCAGCCTGGGGACACACCGGAAGTGGGCCCTTTCTCAATCAAAGGACATGCATACCTGCCCTCCGTCCCTCCCTCTGTCCGTCCCTCACCCATCCCTTACACAGATGGGTGCAGGCGGAGTGTCGCAGCCTGGGGGACAGCGATGGGGACACACCGGAAGTGGGCCCTCTGTTGCGCACTGCAGCGCATTGCCTCAAGGACCGCCCCGTGCTCTTCCGCTACTGCACAGAGGAGGTGAGGTGATTGGCGCACTGAGGAGATGAGCTAGTGGGCCGAACCCCTATGCTGCACACAGCGGCGCATTGCCTCAAGTACTGCCCCGTGCTCTTCCTCTACTGCACCGAGGAGGTAATGCGTGTTTGTGGTTGTGCAGTGAGGAGGCGAGGTGCTTCACTGGGGAATCGTTCCAGCAACGACATGTTGTGCTATCCTACTTCTCGCTTCGTGTCATATCGAGACTGTATATTCACATAGTGCTACCCGCGTGCACACCTGTGCTGCCCTGCTTCTCACTTCCTGTGACTAGCTGGTTCACCACGCCACTCTGGTTGAAATAAAAGCCTTCATACACACACTCTCAAACGCTTTTAGAACTTGCAGTGTGAGTAGTTTGCGAAGTGCACGTTTCAAAAGCGTTTGAAAGTGCGGGTATGAAGACTTTTATTTCAACTGGAGTGGCGTGGAAACTGTCACATTGACTATTGCTGTTATCTTTGTATTTTCTACTCAGTGGTCACATTGCATATTGCTGCGCTCATTCCTTCCACCCCGTTCCCACTTCAACCCTTCTCTACCCCATTTCACAACGCACTCTTCCGCCGCTTCATCGCTGCTCTCATCCCCCTTCCCTTCTTTACCCTCCATGATTACACCAATGCCCCCCCTCCTCCCCCCCTCCCCGCCCCTCCTCTTCTCTATTGCCCTCTGTTCCAGGTGGCCAACACACGCCACAACGCACTCTTCCGCCGCTTCATTGCTGCTCTCACCCGCGGAGGGCCGGGCGGCATGCCTCGTCCCATTGAGGTGCATGCGCACGATCCGCTGCGATACGTGGGCGACATGCTGGCATGGCTGCACCAGGTAAGACAGACATGCTGACGTGGTTATACCAGGGGAGAAGGGCATGCTTACGTGGCTCTACCAGGTGAGTCAGACAAGCTGACGTAGATGCAGCAGGTCCTCCATGTTGACGTGTCTGCACCACAATTGAGGCATGCTGACGTGTCTGCACCACAAGTGAGGCATGCTGACGTGGCTCACTCCCTCCCCTCTTTCCTCCCCTTTTTCCCTGTCCCTCCCCCAGGCACTAGCCTCAGAAAAAGAGCTCGCCGCTGCTCTTTTCGCCAGCACAGATAAACCCTCTTCCACGTCAGCAGAGTCTGGACCATCAGAAGGAGCCGGATCAGGAGAAGGAGGAGCAACGGCAGGAGGAGTGGATGCTGACGTGGCAGCAGTGCTTGACCGCGTTTTTGAGGGCGTGTGCCGGCCATTCAAAGTGCGTGTGGAGCAGGTGCTGACGGGGCAGCCAGGGCTCGTGCTGTGCTACAAGCTCTCCAGCCTCCTCTCCTTCTACTGTCACACGGTGAGTTGTGCTCCTCTTGTTGTCACATGGCTAGTTGTCTCTTCTATTGTCACACGTTTTTTTTTTCTCTCTCTCTCTCTCCTTTATTAACTGTCGCGCAGTAGGCTTCCCACCGGGTAGCACCTCCTTTTATTCTCACGTCCTCCAAACCTCTAGTCCACCCCCTTCTGAGTTTTGTCCTCATTCCTCACCTCAACCTTTCCTCACTCAGGTGGCAGAGCTGCTGGGAGAGCAAGCAGCGCTGTGCGTGGTTCTGAGGGACCTCAGCGAAGCAGCAGGGCGGGCGTTCCTCGACGCAGTCAAGCTCAGGGGAGACCGTGTGCTGCGCTTCCCCCCAGCAGTGCCCTCCGACCTCTCTCCCCCGCCTCTGGTGGGGGAGGGAGTGGCGGTGGTGTTGGAGCTGCTCCAGGCGCATGCGAGTATGATGGTCCCTGCTGGGGCTGCCAAACCGGATTTTCTTCCCGTTGCTGCTGCGCTGCTAGACCCCCTTGTGGAGGTACGTCGTCTTCCCGCTTCCCCCCGGCAGTGCCCTCCGACCTCTCCCCCCCGCCGCTAGTGGGGGAGGGAGTGGCAGTGGTGTTGGAGCTGCTGCAGGCGCATGCCAGCATGATGGTGCCGGCTGGGGCTGCCAGACCCGACTTCCTGCCTGTTGCTGCTGCTCTCCTGGACCCCCTTGTGGAGGTGAGTGAATGGTAATCCCTGCTGTACCCTCAGACACCTTTCCCCATCCTCTTATGGGAGGGAATGGGGAAGGCGTGGCGGTGGTGTTGGAGCTGCTACAGGCGCATGTCAGCATGCATGATGGTGCCAGCTGGGGCTGCCAAACTGGATTTTCTTCCCGTCACTGCTGCTCGCGCTCTTGGAACCCCTTTGTGGAGGTGAGTGAGTGGTAACCCCCGTGCTGTATCCTTTGACCGCTGTTTGCACCCGCTTGTGGGAATGGGAGAGGCGCATGTGAGCATGATGGTGCCTGCTGGGGCTGCCAAATCAAACTTTCTGCATGTCGCTGCTGCTCTCTCCTGGACCCCTTAGTGGAGGTACGTCCTGACAGCAAGGCCAGCAGTGACTGCTCTCTTCTCGGGCTCCAGGACGGAGCAATGGGCAACGGGCTCCAGGGCAGGCTCGAGCAACAGAGGCCTAACCTGATGAGAGAGCAGGCGCTGCTGGTCTTGTTGTCAGGACGTACCTCCAGGACGGGCTACGCCTCTGTTCCGCGTGCCACGTTGCACTTGTGTGCTCTTGAGACGACTCAGAAATAAGATCTCCACCTGCCTGCCCCACCTCCTCACCTGCAGGTGTGCACGCGGGCAGCACAGGCCCTCACAGCAAAGGCCGTGACTGCTCTCTCCTCGGGCTCCTCCTCTCTCCCTCGTCGCGCCTCTTCTTCCGCATCCATGTCTGCAGCAGCAGGGGGGGACAGCCAGCCATTGGGGAGAAGAGGGTCTGTGCCTCTGGGCAGGCGGGCTACTGATGGGCAGGACGATGGGTCGGACAACACGGTGAGTGTTTGTGAGAGCGAGGTGTTTATGAAAGCGAGGTGTTTATGAGAGCGAGGTGTTTATGAGAGCGAGGTGTTTATGAGAGCGAGGTGTTTGTGAGAGCGAGGTGTTTGTGAGAGCGAGGTGTTTGTGAGAGCGAGGTCAGCACAGTGAGCAGCAGGCGAGGGGTAAGGGGCGGGAGAGCAGCCCGCTGAGGGGGAAGGGCGTCTCTTCCGATGGGGAGAAGAGGGTCGTTGCCACTTGGCAGGTGGGCTACTGAGGAGCAGGACAATGGGACGGAGAACACAGTGAGTGTTTGTGAGCTGGTGAGTGGTCTCTGCTGTTGGGCAGGCAGGCCACTGAGGGGGAGACTGAGGGGGCTGAGAGCACGGTGAGTGCTCATGGCACGGTGAGCAGTATGACTCCCCTCGAGCACTCTTCCCCACCCCACCTCGCCCACTTGCTTCCCACCTCCTCCCACCCCTGTTCTTCACCATCCTTCCATCCTCCCATCCCCCCCCCCCCTCTCCCCCCACCAGGCGGTGGCAGTGGCACGGCACATCTTCCTGGCCAACTGCCTCGCAGCCCTGCACGCGCCACTCGCACCCTTTCAATGCTGTCAACAACCTACTGTACCCCCTCTAATCACCTGTGTCCCCCCCATTCCCATCCGCCCCACCTGTCTCCCCTCATCAGGCGGTGGCAATGGCACGGCACATTTTCCAAGCCAACTGTCCCACGACCCTGCACGCCCTCTGCCCCCTTTGCTCGTGCTGTGAACATCATACCCTGTCCCTTCTTGCTGCCTGCATCCCCCTGCTTGCCACACCCCCACCTCTCCCCCCACATCAGGCGGTGGCAGTGGCACGGCACATTTTCCTTGCCAATTGCCTGCCCGCTCTGCACGCGCCCCTCGCCTCCTTCCCAGTGCTCGCACCCTACTCCCAGGGGCTGGCAGGGGCGCTCTCAGAGCACGTCACAGCCATGGTGCAGCTCGAAGTAGCTGCCATCCTCGACCACTGCATGCTCTCCCCCATCCTCCTTTCCTCCTCTAAGCACCTGTATTCCCCCTCCCCCCACATCCCCCCTCCCCCCACACCCCCCGCCAGGCGGTGGCAGTGGCAAGGCACATTTTCCTCGCCAACTGCCTCGCAGCACTGCACGCACCCCTCGTACCATTCCCAGTGCTCACACCCTACTCCCAGGGGCTGGCAGGGGCGCTTTCAGAGCACGTCACAGCCATGGTGCAGCTCGAGGTGGCTGCCATCCTCGACCACTGCATGCTCTCTCCCATCCTCCGCCTCATTGCTCAAATCAACCAGGCCTCCCAGCAACAGCAACAACAGCAGCAGCAGCAAGAAGGCGCAGAGGTATCAGCAGCAGGAGCAGCAAACCCCCCGCCACAGCAGTACCCGCCCCTGGCCCAGTTCCCAGAGGCGTCCCCCTCTGCTGTGGCGGAATCCCTGCAGCGGCTCTTTGCGCTGTTGGCAGGGGCGGAGGGGCGGTTGCCGGAGTTTGAGGCTCTGGGAGTGGCGAAGCTGAGGGCGCAGGCTGCAGGGCTGGTGGCGGGGGCGCTGGCAGATGCTTATGCAGTGGTGTATGAGGCGGTGTGTGATGGAAGGAACCAGTATCCTGATGCTGGGGGGTTGTTGCGGCACACGCCCGAGCACATGCGCACGATTCTGGGCATTTGAGACGTGCTTGGTAGGTGTTGATCAGGGGTTGTTGGGTTGGGGGTTCTAGGACTGATTGGGGCTGCCTGAGTTAGAGGCGCTGGGGGTGGCGAATCTGAGGGCACAGCGCAGGCTGCTGGGCTGGTGGCAGGAGTGCTGGCAGACGCGTAGCAGCGGTGTATGAGGCGGTGTGTGATGAGCAGAGCTAGTATTACTGGATATTTGGGGAGGAGTTAAGCTACACGCCGGAGCATATGCGGATGATCGTGGGGATGAGACATGCTCCCCATGTATTGATTCGTCTGAGTTGATTTGAAATTGTGGTTGATAGGAGCTGGTTGATGCATAGGATGCAACTATGAAGGTATTGTATGGATTCAAGAGCGTCCTGTGGCCCAATTAAAAGTGCTAATACATTCCGCGCTGGTACTCTGTGGTCACATTGGGTGTTGGAGCTCTTACATGTGTAGTATGATTGTAGGCCTAGATCAGAGTGCTATTTTGCATTCCGATTTTCCTAGCTTGCTGGACAGTCAAGGAACGGATGATTTGGTAGCGAGGATAAATTGCGGCCAAGGCGGTGGCGAAGCGTCGTGTGTGATGTGGTGTGCGACGGTGCGAAGTCGAAACCCCACATGGCGGCTGCGAATTTATGAGAATGTCAGTCAAAGAAGTCGCAAGCCGAACGGAATCATCCCAACAAGTCCCGGCAGGTCCATCCTGTCGGTTGTCACAAGCATCTTTCGCTTGCCTCGCATCGCTTATTTTCTCGTCAATCCCTTGGCTTACCGACCGAGACAACTCTCACCAACTAGAATGCGCATTCAGCGTCGCCCGCGTCCTAGGGTTTCGCGCATCCTCCAACACGCCACAGAATTCCAGCGTGTGCGAAAACTTCCCTGACTTTCCTGGCTTGAATTCCCTTGAACCTACCACTTCGCTGAGCTGGGCATAACAGAGAGAACACCCGACCGACCCAACACACCACCGCCACCACGGGCAACCCACCCATTGAACCTTGAGCTACAATTATTGTAATATGTACGCGGTCTAATTCGTTTCGTCGCGGTGCAAAACGGTGAAAGTTGACAGCCGCTTTCAACCGTGTGGAACCGTCCTGAGCCATGGAACCATGGAGGATATGTTTGCTCGTGTGTCCACACGGATGCGTGGATCACGCTGTCGCTCGTCCCTTCAGTTTCTTGGTTTGCTGGCAATAATGGTGACGTGATGCGCACGCGTAGCTTGATCTTGCTGCACGCTTTCTCTCGACTATCGAATCCAGCTGACAAAGTAGTACCGTCATTTTTGGAACCCTGAGGGCGGCATCCGATGTTCTCCCGTGCGTTTAGAGAATTTCTTTCTCCACAAAACTAAGCCTAGATGGACAAGAGGCTGCATTCTAATTTGATATGCAGAACTGGAGCGCGAATGTCTATCAGCTGATTCTTAGTCGGTTCAGAGAACTTTCTCGTAGATAACCTAAATAGTTCCCAGCTCAACTCAGCTTCGTCACCCGCCGTTCCCAATAGTCTCCATATTAGAGTTGTTCAGGCTTAGCTATCCGTAAGTGGTATCCGCAAGGAATCTCTTATCCTTCAGTACACGTATCGAAGAAATGCGGCGAATTCCGGTTCTTGGAGTATTTGCTGGGCTGTTGCTTGTAGCTGTGGCCTTCGAGTCGGCTCCGGCGTTGGTATATGGAGCGAGTTCCAAGCTACATTCATCGCAAGGTAATGCAGCTTGTTTCTTAGGTGTATGAGTTAGTTCTTATGGCAGATTCCGCACTACGGAGATTAGCTTGCTATTCCTTGATATCTCAAACTTGTCCTTGGAGCAGATTTTCCGTAACACTGATTGTCAGGTAGTGTAACGCTTTGTTCCTGGGGTATTGGAACTGGTAGCGTGAAAACAGATTGAAACTACTCATCAATCGCTGTGCTAGCTGTTCCGGCCAAGGCCATGGGGTGTCACTCTCATCATAATCGCACACCCACTCGTTGAAGCCACATTTACTCTACATCTCACACCCTTCTTCCTCATCAGTCCCAGTGCTAGCTGTACTGGCCGAGGCCATGGGGTCGCACTCTCAATATAATCACACACATGGTTACTGTCGAAGAACCGGAATTCATTCCACATCTCACACCCTTCTCCCTCCTCAGTCCCAGTACTGGCTGCACTGGCCGAGGCTGTCGGGTATGACTCTCATGATAGTCACACACACCGTTACGCTCGTCTGAAACCACATTCATTCAACATCTCATACCCATCTCCCTCATCAGTCCTGGTGCTAGCTGCTCTGGGCAAGGCGTGGCGTCGCACTCTCACACGCAGTCACACTGGTTAAAGCCACATCCACTCCACATCTCACACCCTTCTCCCTCACCAGTCCCAGTGCTAGCTGTTCTGGGCAAGGCGTGGCGTCGCACTTTCCCCAACTGCTCGCCAGGCACCGGATTGACGTGTGATGGCAAGGGCATGGTCATTGAGATGTGAGTGTTTAGAAATAGATTCTTCTCTAAACTATCAGTCGTTAATCGGCTCGTCGTCTACCTAGTAACTATTTTCTCCTGGTCATTCAGATGCTGCTGCCTGGGATGGTCGTCGAGGCATGGCATGTCATGGCATGGCCATTCTTCTAGCCCGTGTCGGGAAGCAAGCAGCAAGAAGAGTGCTTCATCAAGACTTGTCCCAAGACTTCTCCTAAGCCATCTCCTCCTGTTGCCCGTAATCGTACATGCCCGCACGTGCCTGCACATGCCCGCACGTGCCTGCACAAGCCCGCACACGCAGTTTGCAGAGCAGCACTCTCCATCAAAGTCGTTCTTTACAAGCCTTTTCTCATGTTGTCGCCCTTTCCTCCTTTTGCCCACACACATACGCACACACATGCGTGCACGAGAGCAGGTCGCTCAACAACACTCAGCTAGCGGGGTCCATTCCATCTGTAATCGGCAATCTCTCACTCCTGGCTCACCTGTAAGTTGCAACACACGCTCCTACTCCGCCTTCCGCCCGCCCTCCTCCCCTATAGTCTTTGAACCAGCTCCCCTCCCATTCCAGCGCAATCGCTAGTCTATCAGGCAGTCTCTCCCTTTCTGTCCCCTTCCCTCCCCAATCTCCGGCAACCTTTGGTGCCAATCAGCTAACAGGAGTCGCTCCAGAGTCCATCAGGAATCTCACCAACCTCTCCTACTTGTTAGCACTGCCGTACCCCTTATCCGCTTCTTTTCCTTCCGGGGCTTTGCCCCCACTCGCTCCAGCAACCTCGGAGCCAATCAGCTAACAGGAGTCATTCCAGAGTCCATTGGGAGTCTCACCAACCTCTCCTACCTGTCAGTGCTGCCTTATCTCTTATCCACTTCTTTCCCATCCTGCACTCTCCCCTCCCTCGCTCCAGCAACCTAGGAGCCAATCAGCTAACAGGAGTCATTCCAGAGTCTATCGGAAATCTCACCAACCTCTCCTACCTGTCAGTGCTGCTGCCGTCTCCTCTCTCTCTCATCCCACAGTGTGGATTTCAACCCCGCTATTATCCTCCTCCTTTCTATTGCTTCCTTCTGTACCCTATTTCCTAATTGATTCTGCTCCTAGCCCATTCCCTGTTTCTCCCCACTTGTTTCCCTTGTGTTGTTGCTGTCCGCTTCCCCTCCTCCTCACCCAACACTTCCGCCTTCGCTCCCCCCTTCTCTTCCCCCTCTTTTCCCTTCTCTCCCCCTCTCTCTTCCCGTCCTCTTCCCTGTCCTGTTCCTCATCATTCTTTTCCGCATTTCTAATAACAGTTCCCCTTTTTCTCCCCCCATAATTTTCCCTTTCAATTACAGAGGGCTCTATAACAACCAGCTAACCGGTTCGATTCCGCGATCCCTTGCGGCTCTCGCCAAGCTGCAAACGCTGTAAGAAAGACCAGCGCCCATCCGTCCAGTCTCCTCGATCTGGTCGATCTGGTCTGGAATTTCTTCAAAAGCATTTTCAAACTCCAATTCGCCCTGTTACGCAATCCCTTGCAACCCTCGCCAAGCTGCAGACCTTGTAAGCACTTTTGAGCTGATTCTCTCCTCTTGCGCTTGATGTTCTCAACCAACCTTACTCACCTTATCAACTCTCCCTCCTTCTCTTGACCCCGTCTCTGCTCTCCCCCTTGCCATAGAACTGGACATTCTCTATGCTTCGCTCTATGCTTCACAAGTTACAACCACATTTTCCAGCTGTCATCTCACCTCCTCCGCTCTCCCTCCTGCCACAGAACTCTCTCCGACAACCGTCTCAACGGCACCCTTCCTAATGCCCTCGGCAAGCTCACTGCACTCCTCAGACTGTGTGTCCCCCCATCCCGTCTTTCCCATGATTCTCTTTCATCCCTGCTCTCCCATCCCTGCTCTCCCATCCCTGCTCCCCCATCCCTTCTCGCATCCTACTCCCCCCGCCCTTCTTCCCCCTCCCTTCTGCCACATGCCTTTTGCCATTGATGCCGTCCCTCCTCCCTTCTCCCTTCACTCGAATTAGCTCAACTTAATTTCACGAAGCAATCTTTCAAGACGGATAGAACTTAGAAGTATGTTATCATTCACCCACCCACCAAGGCACGCACGTCATTCTCTGTGCTTCTCTCGTGCGTCTCGTTCCAGTGCCCCTTTCATCTCAATGTCCGCCTCTCTACGCTCTCCATCTCTCCACCCTCTCTTCCTCCTCCCGTCGCACCATCAGCAATCTGGACAACAACTTGTTGGCAGGCTCCCTCCCATCAACACTCTCTGCCCTCTCCTCCGCCACTTACCTGTACTCCCCTCCCTCCTTCCTTCCACCCCTTACTCATATTCTTGTTCCTGTACCCCCTCCTCTCACCCAGTTTTCCGTATACTAGGTGTGAGACGTCCCATACATGAATTGTCCCTTGTATACCCATTTGTATGCCTACTCTTTCCCTCTTTGCATGCATCATCATTTACACTTCTCCTACTCCAACATAACCACCACTCTTCACCACTCTTCAACCCTCATCCGTCCATTTTCATGCACCCCTGCACTGCACAGTACCTACTACCTCCAGTCCATATGTGTTCAGACCATCCCTCTCTTTCTTGAATAGCCATGGTTTGGCAGCAGCAGCAGCCCATATCAGAACCCTCTCGTTGCACTTATTGAACCATCTACTCGACTCAACCCCAATGCACCCTCTACCACATGGCACGGGCAAGCACCACTTGATCCCACCGTCATTCACAGCACTTCATCACTCTACACTCCTTTCCACCGCTTTTTATCCCTAACTTCAGGAGCATCTCTGAAAACCTCATCAACGGCACTCTCCCTGATGGCATAGGCGCCCTCTCTGCTCTCCAAAGCCTGTACTACTCACCAACCGTTCCTTCTTCTCACGCTCATCCTTCAAAGCATACTCTTTACTCCCATTTTCATTATATTCCACCATCCTTTCGTTGCAAACATCCATCCCCTTCATTTCTTTGTCTGCCTGCACTGCACCTACTCGCTCCATGCTCTCCCTCTCAATCGCTCTTCCTCTCCATACTCCTACTCCCCTGCGGTCTGCTCAACTGCACTCTCTCTGGATCGCTTTGAGGCGTCTCAATCCCTCCCAATCCCTCTCAATCCCTTCTCCCGCTCCTTTCCAGCGGTTTGGCCAACAACTCTCTCTCTGGGTCGCTCCCTGTGTCGCTCAACAACCTCACCAACCTCGTCACCTTGTGAGTCACACCAAGAGTGCCACACCCACAGCCACACACCCACAGCCACGCCAACATTCACAATGAGAGTCGCTATGTGATTTTCATCGGTGGCTGCTGTTGCTTTCTGCCTCGCACCAGCAACCCCTCTCAAACCTTGCCAACGCCCTGGTTGTTGAGCGAGCTGTGTGTGGCCATTGGTGAGAGAATTCCAGCACTCTCGAAAAAACACCTGTAAAGACAAGGTGTTTGTCTGGTTACCACATGTGATGTGCTGACAGCCATCCAGGTTCTGCCATGTGTCATGCGCCTTCCATCGACCACAGGGCAGTCATTCTATCCATGCTTCGATTTCCCATGCCGCCCTAATCGCCCCCTCCTCCTTCTTTCCCTGCCTCACCGTCCTCCCTTCCATCACCAGCAGTGTCTGGTCAGAAACAGCCCCCCTGGTGGTAAAATCTCTGAGTTTTGACTGTCCAAATTTGATGTTTGTCCACTTGACGGTCCTCCCACCAACCCAGGGGTTTGACGAACAACAGCTTCTCTGGTCCCCTTCCCTCCTCCATATCGTCCCTTGGGAAGCTTGAAAAGCTGTGAGTGGCGCGGCGTGCACCCATGCCCCCCTCATGCCCCCAATGCACTCACATGCCACCCATTCATCACATGCACTCTGCTCTGTATGCCCCCTCATGCACTTGGGAGCATATGGAGTGAATGGGGTGGGGTGTATATGTCGCACTTTTGATGTGCCACCATGCATGCACCCTTCTGCACCCATCCTCACCACTATCCTCACATCTTCCTGTCCACCATCTCCCCTCCCGCAGCAATTTGGGCTTTAATCTCTTCACAGGCACCCTACCCATTAGCATCAGGCGCATGACTGCGCTAACCAGAATGTGAGTGCTTTGGATGCGATTCATCCCACTCTCTCACCCACTTTCCCCCGTTCGACATAACTTATAAAGACAAAACTTCAGTGAAACTTACTGCATGACTGCACGAACTCTAGAATGCGTTGGGGGGAGAAGCAGAGGGGCATGCAAGGGGGGAAACTGGGGGCTTAGGCCTGAAGACGGGACTCGCCCCTAGTCATCTGCACAACACATTTCTCTCTGGCCCCCTCCCACCGCGCATAGGGGAGCTTTTGAATCGCCTTGCGCATCTTTTTGCTCTGCTGCTCTCCCTCCTTCGCTCCGTGCCTTCTCCCCACAGCCGCCTGCACAACACATCTCTCTCTGGCCCCCTCCCACCGCGCATAGGGGAGCTCAGGAGACTCAAACAAGTGTGAGTGAGGGTGTGAGTAAGAGTGTGGGTGAGGATGAGTGTGGTTGGGAGCTTTGACACATGACCACGTAGGAGTGACGTCCCCTCATGCGTGACGAGACGACCATGCATGGTTTGGGTAACAGTATATCCTTACGATTGTAGGCTGATGAAGAGGCTCTTAAGTTTTTTACATTGAGGTAGGTTTTGAGAGTTCTCAAGAATCGCCTAAGTTTTGCACATGACCACACACGAGTGGCAATGGGCAAAGAGTCTAGATGCTGACAGAGAGACCGAGTGAACGTGAGGGTACCAGCATGGCATGTGCTTTGATGATGGGCACCGGACAAGTAGGGTGGACGTGGCTGTGTGTGGATGGGATGGGTGGCATGGGTGGCATGGGTCGCATGGGTGGCATGGGTGGCATGGGTGGGATGGGTCGCATGGGTCGCATGGGTGGCATGGGTGGCATGGGTGGGATGGGTCGCATGGGTGGCATGGGTGGCATGGGTGGCATTTCATAGGTTCAAGGTTGTAGCATGGGTGGCATGGATTGGAACCGCAGCAAGGTGAGAGAGGGTGTCGTCCTTCAAGATTTTTCTCCTCGTTCTTCTCCTCTGCTGCCTACCTTCATGCAGGGACCTGAGCAACACGGGCATCAGCGGTGTTCTTCCTGAATCCATGGGCCACCTGGACAAGCTCACAGAGCTGTGAGTGCCACGTGTCACTTTCTCTCGGATGCCTCGTGTCAATTCTCACACGCGCCATGTGTCACTTCACTTTCTTAAACATTACATACCATGTCTCGCTCCTGCAAGCCGTACCATACCATTCCACACCGTACTGTATCCGTTCGATATGCCTGTCTTAAACAGCTGCAACTGTCCTTCATGTTCAGGTTCGTTAGCCCTTTCTTCTCGTCCCACAGAACTTCCTTTTGCCATCATGTGACACTCTCATAGCGATATTAATGTTAAATCCATTCAAAAGGCGCCTCTTAGACCCACAACTCTTTTCTCTGGGATGCGACCGCGTCACTACATTGTAACACGGTGACTTATTCGTATGTAAGTGTCACTTTTTGAAATTATCATAAGTGATTCCACACAGAAGGCACCTCCTTATCTCCCAGACCTGCCTATCATTAATTCCTTGTTCCTCCTTACTTATCCTCTCTCTCCACCTCCCTCCCACCAGCCACATGCACGGGTGTCAGCTCAATGGATCTCTGCCCGTGCTTCTAGGGAACCTTACAGCTCTGCAAACACTGTGAGCTCGCTTGGGGGCGTAGACGGAGGCGGGACGGGGGTTGGGGAGGGCATGGGAGGGGATGGGGGGTGGGTGGGATGGGCGGAGAATGCCCCATGCTGTAGCGAGGTATGATTCGACATGGAGCACGTATGATTCGACATGGAGCACGTATGATTCGACATGGGGCACGTATGATTCGACATGGGGCACGTATGATTCGACATGGGGCATGTATGATTCGACATGGAGCACGTATGATTCGACATGGGGCACGTATGATTCGACATGGGGCACGTATGATTCGACATGGGGCACGTATGATTCGACATGGGGCACGTATGATTCGACATGGAGCACGTATGATTCGACATGGGGCACGTATGATTCGACATGGGGCACGTATGATTCGACATGGGGCACGTATGATTCGACATGGGGCACGTATGATTCGACATGGGGCATGTATGATTCGACATGGAGCACGTATGATTCGACATGGGGCACGTATGATTCGACATGGAGCACGTATGATTCGAGATGGGGCACGTATGATTCGACATGGAGCACGTATGATTCGACATGGGGCACGTATGATTCGACATGGGGCACGTATGATTCGACATGGAGCACGTATGATTCGACATGGGGCACGTATGATTCGACATGGGGCACGTATGATTCGACATGGAGCATGTATGATTCGACATGGGGCACGTATGATTCGACATGGGGCACGTATGATTCGACATGGAGCATGTATGATTCGACATGGGGCACGTATGATTCGACATGGAGCACGTATGATTCGACCCAACCTCACGGAGAATGCTCCATGTAGCACCAAGGTTGGGTTGACTTATATGTGCTGTATCTGTATGTGCACGTATGAGTCGACCCAACGTCACGGTACCTGAAACGCTGTGAGCTGTCTGGGTGAGAAGGGGGACACTTTTCGTGGTTCACTGGTGCTGCTGTGGAGTGGATGCCCTTTTGGAATCAACTCTCTCGACTCAGCTGTGCAGCTGTGGATGCAGACAATCTAATGTTGACACCATGCCATGTTGTTGCATGCACTAGACACGCAACACATCACGCACGCAGTGTCACCCTCTTTTGAGGCGCCTCAAAAGCCCTCTTTTGAGGCGCCTCTAATGTTGACACCATGCCATGTTGTTGCATGCACTAGACACGCAACACATCACGCTGTGTCACCCTCTCATCTCAACGACATACGACTTCACAACTTCACAAATCTGCAAGTTAGGAAGTTTGCAGCTCCCGCTCGCTTCTTCTCTCCTCACATGCAATACTGAGGTGACTTTTGAGTCGACTCAAAAGTCAGCAAGTTTGCAGCTCCCGCCAGCTTCTTCTTTCCTCGCATGCAATACTGCACATGCGGTGTGTCATGCTCGCCCACCCACTCTGGTTCGCCCTTCCCCCCTCCTCCTCCCCATCCCACCCATCCCCCATCAGCGATCTAGGGAGCAATCATTTCTCAGGGGAAATTCCCCTATTTATCAGCAGCCTCACACGCATAGAGACTCTGTAAGCCATGGGGCAAAGGAAGTTGGGAGGGGGGGACTTTGGGCAGAGGGGAAAACTTCAACTGAGTGTGGAGAAAGTCCAAAGGGGCGCATGAAGTAGAAGTCAGAGACGTGGAGGAGAAGAGAGGGAATATTGAGGGAAACAGATTGATGCGTAAGGCACAATTGAAGGAACAGGCGAAGGCACCAACAACCACAGCCCCTTCCTTCTGCATCCACTCCCATACAGTCCGATTCAATGAGTTTATTACAATCCCATCCTGCACATTGCACCCACCCATCCATACCTGTCCATACCTATCCACACCCATCTATACCTCCCCGTATGCACACCGTTCAATCTCATCAGGGACCTCTCCGCCAATCAGCTCACAGGAGTGATCCCGGATACTGTCAGCAGCATGCAGCGACTGCAACAGCTGTGAGTACCATGCCGCCTGTGACGTCAGAGTCAGCACACTTACACAACGTCACCACTCTGCTGTGGCGTCAGCGCGCTGGAGTGACGAAATCAGGGGCACTACTGGCGTGATGTTGTGCCTCTCAAATTAAAGCCTTTGGGTCGGTCGATCCCAGAGGCAGTTGGAGCGATTGCGACTTCGGCAGTTGTAAAGCAGGTGTGATGTGAATCACTCCTGCGTCCACGTCGTCATGTTTTGAGTCGACTCAAAACAGGTGTGAATCACCCCTGCGTCCACGTCGTCATGCATGCATGGTATCCCAAAGTCGTCACACACCATTCCCAAAGCACCTCCTCACACGTCGTCAAGCCTCATGAACTTCTTTATATACCTGCCCTCCGGTCTACTGCCCCACAAGGTGACTTTTGAGTCGACTCAACAGTCAAAAGTCACCTTTTGAGTCGACTCAAAAGAACTTCTTAATATACCTGCCCTCCGGTCTACTGTCCCACCTCTTACCTTCACCCTGTCTTCCCAATTCTTTCCTTCTCTCTCCCACCCCCCCCCACCAAATAACAGTGATCTCTCTTTCAACAGCCTCACAGGCTCTGTCCCTTCCACCACTACCTTGCTCACCAACCTCACCTCGCTGTCAGTTTCTCTGCCTCCTCCTCCTATTCCATGCGCTTGCACGGCCGTTCTGCCTCCTCCTGTGCCACCAAGTCTACCTAACATTGCATGCCTCCCCGTTTCTTATCCCCTCGCCCCCTCTCTCTCATGTCTCCCGTCTGCACTTCCCTGTCCTCCCCCCTACTTTTGCTTCTGCAGTGGCAGTGACCTGTCACGCAACAACTTAAGCGTCCCTGAAAACAATTGCTCTTTCTCCCCCTTCCCCGTCCTTCTCCTGCTGCTGCGGCAGTCATCTATCACACAACAACCTCTCAGGGACGATACCGCCTTCCTTCTCCACCCTCACCGGTCTGCAGGCGCTGTGAGTTGCCACCCTCACCAGTTTGCATGCGCTGTGGGTTTCCACCTGAAGCTGCTCAATACATAACACATGATTGGCACTGCTGTTTTGCAAACCAACAGCAAGATTTGGCGAAAGCGATGCATGGATGCGTTATGTTTTCACAGTGCATCACCCACCCCTATCACGCATGGTGCCTGCTCATTATCCAGTTGCTCCTGACAGACATCATCTTTACTCCTAACCTCTCCTCTCCTCTCACCTCCCACGACCTCTCCTTCTCTTTCTCCCTTCTCCCTTCTTTGCAGGGATTTGAGCTACAATCCTCAGCTTAGCGGGTCCATTCCTGCTTCCCTGGGACAGCTCAGCAACCTCACTTTGCTGTGAGTGGAACTTCTCCGTGCTGTGAGTGAAAATTCACCGTGCTGTGAGTGAAAATTCACCGTGCTGTGAGTGAAACTTCTCTGCGCTATGAGTGAAACTTCTCCGTGCTGTGAGTGAAACTTCTCGGTCTCTACCTGCTGTTTTCTCTCCCTCCCCTCCACCGCAGTGCAACCAACGCCACCAGCACCACCTGTCCCCTCCCATCAACACCATGCGAGGTGCCCCAATCACCGACCTCGGCCTTCTGCCAGGCCTGCCCGGACTTCTGCTCCTCCTGCTGCTCCTCCTGCAGTGAGTGTGTGTGTGAGGATGTGGATGTGGGTGTATGACTATAAGTCTGCATGTGTGTGTGGGTGTGTGTGTGGATGTGGTTGTAAGGTTTTGTGTCTGCGTCTGCCAGGCCTGCCCAGACTTCTGCTCCTCCTGCTGCTCCCCTTGCTGCTCCTCCTGCTGCTCCCCCTGCTGCTCCCCCTGCTGCTCCTCCTGCTGCTCCTCCTGCTGCTCCTCCTGCTGCTCCTCCTGCAGTGAGTGTGTCAGGATGTGGATGTGGATGTAAGTGCATGAGTGTGTCAGCGTGTGTGTGTTAGGGTGTATGAGTGTGTGCATGACATGAGTGCGTGTGCGTGTGAGTGCGCATGTGCGCGTGCACCTATGCATGAGTGCGAGGTACCCCAGTCATCCACCTCGGCCTTCGGCCAGGCCTGCCCTGACTTCTGCTCCTCCTGTTACTCTTCCTGCTCTAGCTGTGTACGGAAGTGGGCGTTCGATTCTCATGTGTGCGTGCACCCCTGACCATCCAAACCCTGCACCAGCTACACTTCCCACCCATGACTTGACCATTATGTTCCTTTTTATCCCTCCTCTCCCTCTCCCAGCCGACCCCTGCACCAGCTACCCCTCCAACCCATGCGGCCCAGGCGACTGCATGCCCGCCTCCTAACCTCAACCTCTGTGTTCCCGTTTCTCCCTCCCTCTGCTCCCCCAGCTGACCCCTGCACCAGCTACCCGTCCAATCCATGCGGCCCAGGCGACTGCATCCCCGCCTCCTCTCCTCCCACTCCCGCGTCTGCTTCCACCAACAAGGCCCCTCGACCAGCCTCCACCACAGCTCCTAACAGCTCCTACACCTGCCGCTGCTCTGCGGGTGCTGCTGCTGCGGTGGGAGCCAATGGGCTGCCGACATGTGTGACTTCCCCCCCACCACCACCTCAGGAGCCATCCAGTGCAGTTGGTGAGTCCGTGTGTGCTCGTGAGCGAGCAAGTGAGTGAGTGAGTGAGTGGCCACGAGTTAGGAGGATCGTCAAGTGCTGTGGGATGTTGTCTGCATGCTGATTAGTAAGTGGCATTGAGTTTCTTGCTGTGTCTAAGGATTCGCACGGGTTGGTGCACTGTCACTCATCCCTCACTTCCTACAGCTCATGCGGACACCTCCCTCCTGTTCCCCTGTCCAGCCACATCAAGTAGAGCCATCATGCCTTGTCTTGAGACATCTCACCACCATTGCTTGCCATTCCATCTTCCATCCATGCCAACAGGAGCCATCATCGGCATCGCAGTCGCATCCTTCGCTGTGCTTGTCTGCCGCTACGTGCTCATCAGTCGCTTTTCACTTTTGAAAGCCTCATGTGTACATATCCTGTGCATGACCATTCCCTCCCCCCTCCAGCCATGCCAACAGGAGCAATCATCGGCATCGCAGTCGCATCCTTCGCTGTGATTGTGTGCTGCTTCACGCTCATCTTCCTCTGCTGGCGATGGCGCCACACCAGCCAGAGCCGAGAGCTGGTCAACCAAGGTACGCACAAGTCAACGCAAGTCAACACAGGTCAACAGAGGTCTAAAACCAGTCAACAATTACACCCTTGTCTGCTGCCTCACTCTCGTCTTCCTCTGCTGGAAAATGGCACCACACCAGCCAGAGCAGGGAGCTGGTCAACCAAGGTACACACAGGTCAACACAAGTCAACAACGGGTTGACACAAGTCAACAACGGGTTGACACAAGTCAACAATGGGTTGACACAAGTCAACAACGGGTTGACACAAGTCAACAACGGGTTGACACAAGTCAACAACGGGTTGACACAAGTCAACAACGGGTTGACACAAGTCAACAACGGGTTGACACAAGTCAACAACGGGTTGACACAAGTCAACAACGGGTTGACACAAGTCAACAACGGGTTGACACAAGTCAACAACGGGTTGACACAAGTCAACAACGGGTTGACACAAGTCAACAACGGGTTGACACAAGTCAACAACGGGTTGACACAAGTCAACAACGGGTTGGCACAAGTCAACAACGGGTTGGCACAAGTCAACAACGGGTTGGCACAAGTCAACAACGGGTTGGCACAAGTCAACAACGGGTTGGCACAAGTCAACAACGGGTTGGCACAAGTCAACAACGGGTTGGCACAAGTCAACAACGGGTTGGCACAAGTCAACAACGGGTTGGCACAAGTCAACAACGGGTTGGCACAAGTCAACAACGGGTTGGCACAAGTCAACAACGGGTTGGCACAAGTCAACAACGGGTTGGCACAAGTCAACAACGGGTTGGCACAAGTCAACAACGGGTTGGCACAAGTCAACAACGGGTTGGCACAAGTCAACAACGGGTTGGCACAAGTCAACAACGGGTTGGCACAAGTCAACAACGGGTTGGCACAAGTCAACAACGGGTTGGCACAAGTCAACAACGGGTTGACACAAGTCAACAACGGGTTGACACAAGCCAACATACAATAGCACAAGTCAGCAGCCGGTCATGCGAGCACATCAATGCTCAGCTCAGAAAATAACCTCAATACTTGCTTGCTCAGCCCGATAATTTGCTGAAGGAGCACATCAATTCTCAGCTCAGCACATAACCATGGATCTGAGTTCTGAAACATCACTTCTGGCTCATGGAAACATGCAAGACCATTCGTAATGATTCACTGTTGTTGCCATTCCACCTAACGCTTGCTCCCTCAATGCACCCTTTGCCCTCCCTGCTCCCCGCTTCGTGCCCACAATAGGTTGGCAGGCAGAAGCAGATCGAAGCTATCGCAAGGATGAGTATTTCTGAGATTTGTGACTTCGCTATTGCAAGTACCGCCAATGTTGAGATAAGACTGAAACAACTACGGTAGTGTTTCAGAAATATGAAGCTAGTGTCCCTTTCGCTCAAGGTTCTTATAAATGTGTCACAATGCTTTGCTAATCATGCTGTATATGCTTGATAGTTGTACCGGTAACAATTGTCTAGTAAACAACAATAGTTTTAATCTAGTGCAATTTTCCCTTGTAGTTACTGTTCCAGCAATAAAATAATGAGGCAACAAGTAAACACAGACAAGCAACACACTACTCACAACTATCATAATCTTTCAGATGTAACTTGCAATCATGGTAACAACCCCCGGGTAGCTTATGCAGTGGGTGCTTTATTGGACCTCGTTCTTTTTAGTATACCCCTTCAGAGGCGAAAGCAATATACCGTATGGAATATGGATGCAAATTGACAGAAACAGCCATTTGCTCAATACACAGGCGGAGGACAGTTCACAGGCCTCAAGCCTGATTTTTTTTAAGAGAGAGAGTGAAAAAAAAAAAAACAAAACACGGTTCACGGCCCAAACGCCACGAAGCAGCCTGCGCACAGCCCGCCGACTCCTGGCCATGAACCCGCCATGCGAATGACGATTAAGGCTGTGAATACCCACTTCTACCTGCCACGTTCTTCAGATGCAGCGTTGCTTGGAAGGGCAGAAGCACGTGTGGGTGAGCGAGCGCCCACCGCTGCCACGCCTCCACGGCCTTTGGGTCTGCCATACACGCAGTCGTAGTTATGGCTTTCTGTGACCATACCAGCGTGCCTGCTGCCCACGAGGGAGGGTGGGAAGGCGATGTGGAACGGAGTCACTGGCAGCACATTGCCCACGCCTCGTGGAACGGAGACTGCCTGCTGCCCACGTGGAACGTAGTCACCTCACCGCCGTTTACTCACAGCACCGATGGCAGCACATCGCCCACCCACCCTCCTTTGTGCCCGTGCCTGCAACCACCCCCGCCACCTCCCCCCAGACTGACGCACCCTCCGCCTCCACCGCCCCACTCCCTCCTCCAGACCCCACGAGCCGGTGGCGGGTCGTCTCAAAACGTTTCAGGCCGCACGCCACGAGCCAGTGGCCTCAAGCAGCAGTGACTTTTGAGTCGACTCAAAAGTCAACACGCCACGAGCCAGCGGCCCCAAGCAGCAGTGAGGGCGCGCCTAGACGCCACTCCAGGTGACTCCGAAGCGACTTTTGAGGCGCCTCACAAGGTGTTTCAGGGCTCAGGCCCCACGAGCCAGTGACGGGGAGCAGTGAGGGCTCGCAGGCAGGCAGCAGCGCGGACGCGCCTAGATGCCACTCCAGGTGACTCCTAAGCGATCGATGGCTGCGGGCTTCTCGGGGTCGCAGGCGCTGGGAGGAGGCTGCTTTTGAGGATTCTCAGCAGCCTTGGGAGGGTTGAGAGGAGGCGGCACGTAGATGTCGAGTGGGCGCAGGGCGTAGAGCGCAGCAGTGCGCGAGAACCCCGAGGCTGGAATGATGAAGGAGTGAGACGATGCTATGAGCGCCCACTCCGCCACTGTTTCCCTGAAGTGCTGCAGGCCTCGCTGCGCCGCGTCACGCTCAGCCGGTGAAGATGATGATTGGAAATCTGTGTTTTCGTGCTGCGTGGCTTGGGCGGAGTGCCAGGGGATGAAGTCTGTGGCCACCACCTGGCAGGTCACGAGGCCCAGCACCGCATCGTGCCCAGGGAGAGTACAGCACATGCACAGGGGGGAGGTGCGGCACATGCACAGGGGGGAGGTGCAGCACATGCACAGGGGGGAGGTGCAATGAACGAGGGGAACAGGAGGGCAACAACGCTCATATTACGATGCGAGATCTGTGTGCTCGTGCGGAGTGGCAGGGAATGAAGTATGTGGCCACCACCTGGCAAGGCCCAAGACCCAAGGCCCAAGGCCCAAGGCCCAAGGCCCAAGGCCCAGCACGGCACATGTGCCCCGTGCGTGGTGTGGCGTGGTCCACATGCGCCCAGGGGCAGTGCATGTGGTGAGGCGTGGACCAGGGGCAGTGCAGCACACGCACAAGGAGGAGGTGCAGGAGCAGTGCGTGAGGGGAAAGAGGAGGTGTGAGGCAGGACAAGAGCGAACGACGAAGGAGAGTGGAAGAATCGAAAGAAATACAAGACGAGAGAGAAGTGGATTGAGCGAAGGAGAAATGGTGGGGCAGATGGCAGGAGGAGAGGGTGGGGATGGGTGGAGTCTGAGTGTTGCCTAGGAGGGTCAGGTCAGTGCACAGCACACCTTGTGTGGGTACTTGGCTTTAAGCGCTTGCTTGAGCAGGTGAGAGTTGGTGATGATAATCCACTTCACCTTCACGGGAGGCGGGTACCAGAACTCCTCCACCACCTGCCATGCCATGGGGGCGGGGCCACATGGAGATCACTTTTCAGAATTCTCACAAGTGACTTTTGAGTCGACGAGTCAGAAGTCAGCTCGGTACCAGTACAGTACTCCTCCACTGCCTGCCATGCCATGGGGACAGGGAGATTACATTTGAGAATTCCCACAAGTTGTAAGAATCCACTTCACGTTCAAGGGAGGCGGGTAACAGTACAGTACTCCTCCACTGCCTGCCATGCCAAAAGTGAGAGGCGGGGGAGAGGAGGCCGGTCCCCTTCCCATGGGGACGGGGAGACAGGGAAGGGGAATGAGAATTCTAAAAAATTCTCACATTTGAGAATTCTCACAAGTGCTGAGAACCCACTTCACGTTACGGAGGCGGGTACCTGTGATGTGATTGATGTTCCTCCGCCCCCTGCCATGCGTCGAATTTTGTATCGACTCAAAACTCGACTCATCACGTAACGGAGGCGGGTACCTGTGATCTGATCTTCCTCCACCCCCTGTGCATTGAGGTGTATTTTGAGGCGCTTCAAAATACACCGTAACGGAGGCGGGTACCTGTGATGTGATCTTCCTCCACCCCCCCCTGCCATGCCAAGGGGACGGAGAGCGAGGAAGTCGGGAAGGGGAAAGGGGCGAGAGGAAGGGGAAGGGGGAGGTGATGGAAGCACATTGGCATGACGTGACAGTTAGTGGCAAAGCACATGCATGACGTGACAGTTAGTGGCAAAGCACATGCATGACGTGACAGTTAGTGCCAAAGCACATGCATGCCACACACACATACTCACTGCGGACCCCCCGGGCAGCACCTTTCCTTTTTTTTTTTTCTCAATGCACTACATTATTACATGTGTACATCATCACTCGTAACTGGTTCTAAGGACAGGATGTAACAGAACTCAATTATGCTCCAACCTGTGTGCATACTACATACCCCAGGGCTGCACACTGCGCCTCAAAAGTCACTGCGTACCCACCCACCTAAAAGGCAGCACCTGGGCGCACTGCGGTGTGCTGTTGGCCTTGCCGAGTAGGTCTTCCAGCTGCTGTGCCGTCATGTTCTGGGCCGTCATGCCATCATTCTGCCACACCTCACGGTCCGGCACGAGAAGTCGTGACTGGTTCTGGAGAGAGGTTGTGACATAACCCAATTATGCTAACCTGGGCGCACTGCAGTGTGCTGTTGGCCTTGCCGAGAAGATCGTCCAACTGCTGCTGCGTCATGTTCTGGGCCGTCATGCCATCATTCTGCCACACCTCACGGTCTGGTACGCGTACGTGCACGGCCACTCGCACCACGCCCTCTCCCCACGCCTGCTCCTCCATCCCCACCAACAGCTGCCACACCTCTGGCCGCGGGCTGCAACAAGGGGAGGAGGGAACAGTGGGAGGAGGGAACAGTGGGAGGAGGGAAGGAGGGAACAGTGGGAGGAGGGAACAGTGGGAGGAGGGAACAGTGGGAGGAGGGAACAGTGGGAGGAGGGAATGAAAAAAGTGGATAGAAGTTGGCGGACGGTGGCGGGCAGTACCTCAAAATCCCAACATTCACAGACGATTGCAGGTGAGAGAGAGAGAGAGAGAGAGAGAGAGAGAGAGAGAGAGAGAGAGAGAGAGAGTGTGTGTGTGTGTGTGTGTGTGTGTGTGTGTGTGTGTGGCACAGGGCACGCAAGGCGGATCTGAAGAGGAACCTGAGCATGCACCTGAATTTATACAAGAGTTGCTTCTAAAACTTTTGAGAATTCTCAAAAGTCGCACCTGAGCATGCACATGAACTTACACAGAAGTTGCTTCTAAAACTTCTTACCATTTCGTACCTGAAGAGGAACCGGAGTATGCACCCGAAGCCGTACGCGACCTTAAAGCCCAGCTGCCGCAACGCGGCGGCCCACGGGCCCTGGTCGCGCAGGAGAGTGGTGATGAGCATGCCCTTGTTGTACCGCACGCGGTAGTTGCTCAGCGCGCTCAGCTGCTGCAGCGCCTCCATCTCAAACGTGTGCCGCAGCAGGTCCAAGCATGGTACGCCGCCGCCGCCGCCACTGCTGTTGCTGTTGCTGTCCGCGCGCACCTCCGCGGCGGCGCCCAGGTTGCCCTCCAGCCGCTCGCACGGGGGAGCGTGCCACTCCACGTCGGCACCGCCGCCGTCGCCGGCGCTGGCGCCGTCGCCGTCGCGCGCGGTGGCGGTGGCGGTGGCGGTGGCGGTGGCGTCCACAGGCGTGGCGCGCAGCAGCGGGCGCCCCCCCATGGGCACGTCCGGGGAGAGCGCGGTGTCGATGTGCGGCGAGCGGAACGCGGCGTGCATGCACGGCTGCGCGACCACCAGCGCGCGGCGGTCGAGCAGCGCGGCGGGGAAGAGCGACACGAGCCCGATCAGGTAGTCGCCCAGCCCGCCGCACGACCCGTACCAGTCGTACGTCAGGAACCGCACCGCCGCGGCGCCCGCCGGCTCCACGGCGGGGGGAGAGCCGTCCGCCAGGCGCCTGCGCAGCGGATCAGCTGGCTGTGGCGGCGGCGCAGCGGGCGGAGGCGGCGGCGCGGCAGGCGGAGGCGGGGTGGCTGCAGAGGAGGAACGGGGAGCAGAGGGGGGAGCAGTACGTTGTACACTTGAACGGGGAGCAGAGGAGGAACGGGGAGCAGAGGAGGAACGGGGAGCAGAGGAGGAACGGGGAGCAGAGGAGGTACGGGGAGAAGAGGAGGTACGGGAAGCAGAGGAGGAACGGGGAGCAGAGGGCGGAGCAGTACATTTTTACACTTGCACCCGTACGCGGCGCTTGCATGTCCTGTCTGTCTCTCCCCGCCCGTGCAACCATGCGTGCGCCCCTCTGGAACGGCCATTTCTCGCGCAACTAACACTCAAAACCGCATCATCACGCGCTCCGCCCCGCCGTTCGGCGACGCTCCTATACTAACTTGCTTAGTACCTGGCGGCTGTCGCGCCCGCCATGCGTCTCTGCTGGCGGCTCTGATGCGCGCGTGCAGCTGCGCGTACTCGTCGCGCCACGCCGCCCCGCACACGTGCTCCGGGTACTCGAACCCCGCCAGCATCGCCCCCGGCTGCGCCGCTCCGCCCTGCTGCTGCGCGCTGCACGCCTGCGCGCGGAAGCAGGCAGAGGATTTGAAGGGGGTGGCGGACGGGGGGTGGTGAGTGAAGAGAGATGGCCGCATGGGACGAGCGTGGCGCTGCGACGCTTTAGAGGGGGGACGGCGCGGCGCGGCACAGGGGCAATGGGTACTACTTCTAGTCGGCGCAGGCGGCGCCTGAGGGGGGGAGGGAGGAGGGGTAGGAGGGGGGAGGTTGGGGGAGGGATTGCGAGGACGGCGTATGCTTACAGCGAGGCATGCTGCGACGAAGACGAGACCGAAGCGACGAGTTACGCGAGCAGACGGAGAGCAGCGGGTGAGGCAGCGGCGGCGAGTTTGGTGTAGGCGGCGCGTGGACATGGCCTTTGATTGGTAGAGGGACGGGGATTACCTGGACCAAAAGTACAGGGCGGGCATTGCTTGCCGTACATTGTTCCAGTAGTGGTACTGAAGTACCACGAGACTCTTGAAGCAGCACTTCACCCTCACGATGCCGTCCGCGAGTGCTTCATTCTGTAGTGCAATACTAGTAACTTGTGTTTGGATGCTGCCGTCCGCGAGCTTGTGTTAGGGCGGGTCCGAAATGTACGAACTCGCGACAGTACTCTACCCAACCATATCGGTTCTTAAATAAAACGCTCTGGATCATACCGAGCCGTATCCAACCGCATTGGGGGAAGGTACATTCTCGTCAAGGGCTGGTTGGATACGATTTAATACTGTTAAATGGTACTTTTTAGGTTTCCAATGCTTCAATTGCACATGAGGATGAACTTTTCACTACGAGCCCAGAAAGAAATAATGTATTACTCTTCCTTAGACGTCCATGATCATGGGATGGAGGGGAGGCGGGGTCGGGGTTTCAGGGGGGGATGTGCTCCCATGCAAAGGAATAACAATACTGGATGTTCGCTTAAGGCCATCGCACTCTGATGCTGTCATAGAGAGAGATATACTCCTTAGCAGCCTTGTTCCAGCTGTTGTCGATGCTCATCACTGTAGACGTCAGCTGCTGCCACCACTCAGGGCCTGACATATGGCAAAAATTAGTGGGACAAAGGTTTAGGGAAATAGAATGGCAAGGGGTGGATGAAACACAAGGGACATAAGCCAAATCACACAGAAATTGCAGGACAATAATACATACGTTCCAGTGCACACGTGTGCTTGTCATGGGTGGGGGGAGGAGAAAAAGAGCATTTTGACATTGTAAAGAGAGCAAAAGGCAACTTACGGTCTCGAGAGTGAGAGAGAGGAGCGAATTAAGACATTTGGTGAGGCGCCTAAAGAAACCTCCAGTCCTTGTAGGGAGAGGGGGGAAGAGGGGGAAGAAACTTACGGTCCTTGTAGGGGGAAGATGGGACTTACGGTCTTTGTAGTACTTGACAGCGCGAGAGAGGGCTGAATCGAGTGCGTCCTCACCGATTCCATCAAACACAAAGCTGCAGGCAAGGCGTAGGAGGAGAGAGAGGAGTGAGGAATATAGAACTTGACGAGAAGGCCTGACTGCCTCCCTGCGGGAAAAAGAGCATGCCACAGATCATCCTATCCTAGGGAAGACTATACAAATCATGCTGCTTCTGGCATAAATATATGAATAATGATGCCACTCACCCATTAGCTTTCTCTTTGTTCCCCCCATCGTCCACATCAAAGACTGTGTCGGCTAGTCCCCCTGTCCGCCTCACCACCGGCACCTGTTGACATGAAGCGACAAGAGACACCCAAGAGAAGATAACGGTTGAGAAAATAACTTTTCACACATCTCATGACAAGTCTTGAATTCCCCTACCCACCCTCTCGCTCTCCTCCCCCACCCCCACTCCCCAGTCACAGTGCTGCAGCGCATTATCTGCGTGAGTCCACACGGCTCAAACATGGAGGGCACAAAAAAACAATCACTCACTATTGCCTTAAGCACCATGCATTGCCTCCCTCCTCATACCCACCCCCCACTCACCGTGCCATAGCGCATGTGTTTGACCGCACAGCTCAAACACGGGGGCACGAGAGCCACCTCCTCAATCTTATACAACAATTATTCCCTCATCCCTCGCCCCCCTCCCCTCCCCACCCCCACACTCACCGTGCCATAGCGCATGCCGATCATCTAAGTGAGTCCGCACGGCTCAAACATGGAGGGCACAAGCACCATGTCGGCTAACGCAAACAGCTGGTGAGCCAAGCTCTCACATGGAGGGCACGACCTACCTTCTTACACGTCTCATCAACAGTCTTCAAGATTCCCCTATGCCTCCTCTCCCCTCCCCTCACCCTCGTCCCCATCCCTCACTCACAGTGCCGTAGCGCATGCCGATCATCTGGGTGAGTCCGCACGGCTCGAACATGGAGGGCACGAGGACCATATCCGCCGCCGCAAACAGTTGGTGAGCCAGGCTCTCACTGTCACCCACACTAAACGCACAAGGTTAGCTGCTTATAACGAGGATGTACTCATGAGTGTAAAAGTCTGGCAATAAACGGCACAGAAAATTGCTGAAGAAAGGAGCAAACGCTTGGGTGCATGAGCAGGAGATGGTGGTGGTGACACATGAACAATTGATTAATCAATTAAAATTTGAGCATGTGGTGGTGGCGCATGAGCAACATGACGCATCGAGGTACGACGATGACGTGGCGAGTTACCTGTACGTAAGAACAAGACGAACACTGCCGCCATCTTGGAACTGAAAAAAATGACAAAAACAGAAAATGAAAAATACATGGAGAAAGAAGATCAGACGCAGTGGTGTGCATGCAAGACAGGGGCCAAGCTTGGCATGAAAAAAATAACATATACTGTATTCTCAGCAGGTTTTGAGACATCCCCAAACTCAAAGTCTCCCTGCACTCGCCCTTTGCACAACAGCACCCTGCCCACAGTCCAGGTGTCTTACTCTCAGCATTTCAACCCATCCTCACCTCCTCTGCAATCTAAACAAAGACTCTCTGCTTCTGGGCATCGTGCGGCAATCTGAAACTTGTATTGAAACAATCATACGGGCACTTATTGAGAACTCAAAGATGGCCAGAAGCTTTTATGATCTAAGACTGCCATCCGCTCGCTCACCTCTTCTGCGATCTTGACAAAGTCTCCCTGCACTCGGCCATCGGGCGATGAGCCAAGCAGAATGAACTGCCCGCCCTGTTGTGTGGGAACACGGAGAGACGAAAGTGGGGAAGGGATTAAAGAGTGCGTTCATACAGAGGTTTGCACGATGTAGAGGGAGGGGTGTGTGAGATGGAGATAGAGGAAAGGGTGTGAGAGATAGAGAGGGGGGTGTCCAAGATAGAGAGGGAGATTGAAAATGTGGGAGGAAAGAATAGAGGATGAAGGACAACACAGGCATTTTCATTGATGCAATACTGCTCACAGGCTGTTGACACTTAGAGCTCATGGTCCTAGACTCACATATTTGTGTTAACAGAGCAAGACAATGAGTAAGGCTCACATGGTTGTTTGTCTTTTCAGGTATTACAGGTTAATAGACGCTACGGACCTAAAGCGACGTATTTGTGCGTTTGGTAGAGGACCAGAGAATCAGGTGGACACCTCTCTTTGAGCCTCTACGCGAGTCATGCACTTTAAGGCGAGTCAGAAACTAAAGCATGAAGGCTCACGTATTTGTGTGTCTGGTAGATGGCGTGGCGAATCAGGTGAATGCCTTTCTGGGCCACCAGACGAGTCACGCACACCACCAATGGGGACCGCTCCCCTGTGACCAGCTGAGTCAGCGCCGAGTCAGCCACGGGCCCTGCTGACGCATCAGCTGCAAGCTTCTCTGCAGCCTCGGGTGTTATTTCAGGTGTGAGGCCGAGTCCCCTCTGCACATAGTGCTTGCACAGCATCTTGCCTGCCAGGCTGGTGGCTGGAGGAAGGGAGTCGGAGGGAAGAGCGGGGAGAGAGGGGAGGTGGAGCGACGCTATACTTCATTGTTTTGCAGGAGGGAAGGAGGGAAGGTGGGGCGTCGGGAGAGGGAAAGAGGGGGAAAGTGTCGGCGCCCAGGTCCCGCTGCTCGTAGTGCACAGAATCTTGCCTGCCGCGCTGGTGGCTGGAAGGGGAACGAGAAAGAGCAACGGCAGAACAATAGGTAGGAGCAAAGGCATGGCTCGGCTCCTGAGCAGGGCACGAGGCATACATGAGGACCGACCAGATGAATCATTGGTTTGGACGAACTATTGGTCTGCTTTGACTCTCCACTTGAGGGCAAGACAAGAGGCGTACGTGAGAAATGGGCGGGCAGATGGGGGTCGGTTTGCGGGTCCCACATCTCCGTGTCGATCCCGTTCAGCACACCAAAGTACCTGCCAGCCATAGTAAAGCCATCCATCATACAGTGAAATTGAGACTTAAAGAAATACAAATACAAACGTTAACACATATATATACACATATTCCCCTTCGCATCAGCTTTTTTTTTTTGTGGAAAACGAGCCAATAACTGACACTGATGGCTACTAAACTAACAAGTAACTCAACTCACTTGGTGCGGTATTTGAGAAGCGTGTTGGAAAGCCATCCATTGCAGAGAGTCTCGCTGGCATAGGTTGGACTCACGGTGCTGCATGCATGCCACGGAATATGGAATGCACTCATGGGTGGCGGTTTGGTTGAGATTCCTCGAACGTAGTTGCGTTGCGTTGCATGTGCATGTGAGTGTGCGTGCATGTGCATACAGCAGTGTGCGACTGAGAGCAGTTGAACCAGTCGCATGCGGTTTTGATAAACATACACTTGATGGCATGCAGCCTTGCATGTAATAGATGTCGTATGTGTATCAGATGTTCAGACATAGTGACATGTGCGACAAATCGACAATGAGTCAACTAAGTGAAACATGATCTCATGTGATACATTATCTTTCTGTTGTATGGAATCACGTTACAGAATTAGCTCATTTGACAGTGTTGACTCGTGTTCATTCAGGTTACAAGTACACGATCCCTCCCTTTCAGCATTGACATTTTGAGTCGACTCTAAAAGGTAACTTCTGAGTCGACTCAAAAACTACTCACGTGACAATGTTGGAGTATACGATCCCTCCCTTCAGCATGGACAGCCTCTCAGGATTGTGCCCCACTGTGCGGTCATCCATGGCCTGATGGGCCGTAAGGGTGGTGATGGTGAGGGGCAGGGTGAGAGGGGTGTGGCGGCAGAGGATATGACAGGAGAGGGAAGACAGGGTTGTGCCCCACTGTGCGGTCATCCATGGCCTGGTGGGTAGGGTAGGAGGGCAGATGGGAGAGGCGGGAACTGAGGAATGAGAGTAGGGAGAAGAGCAGCATGAGTATTTTGAGTGGAGATGTAACAAGCAAAGACGGCTTCTCAGGGTTGTGCTGTGCCCCATTGTGCGGTCATCCATGGCCTGATAGGGGAGTGCAGAAGGAAAAGAGAGAGAGCACGAGTCACATGCGAACCACATCCCGGTCATGCAGCAGATGATTGTAGATATAATGCTGGGTGGTGGAGAGATATTAGCAGTCCGTAAGGCAAAATAAACAGATAAAGGAAAGGAGAACATCAATGCGAAACAGAGCAAGGAAGAATTACTTCGTGAGCAACTCTCTCCATCCTGCCTGCCTTCCCTGAAGGTCATTTGAAGGCAATCATTCCCTGCATGACTCAGCGAAATCTCAGAAACATTTTCACAAAAGTGGATCACATGTAGCCAATCTGAACTCGCATGAAAAACATTCCTTTCAAGATAATTCCCGCATTGATACTTTGCCTACGAACCTTCTCGGTGTCGAGGTATGATTGTCCATCCAGACCACACATGTCCAGCTGCTCCCATCTGAGACAGGCAGGCAAGGCCGGGGAGCAGTATATACAGGGTGCAGCAAAGTACAAGGCAGCACAGCATAGACAAGAGAAGATCCAAGCCAAGTAGACAGAGGAAAACGGCAGGCAGGGAAATGTGTTTTCTCTCCAAGGAGTACTACCAAGGACACTGACGAATGATTACTACCTCACCATGTACCGACCTAGTTTACAGTAAGAATGGAGTGGTTCAAAATCTTCTATACGTTCTTCAGGAAGCAAGTAGTGGGGTCACAACGCGTTTTGAGTGCAGAGCCCCATCTCTTCACTGTTTCTCACCTTTACCTGGCCTCCCCATGCCCCTCACCTGCACTCCCCATGGTGCTCCATGTTGTGAATGGTGAGGATCAGGCGTGGCTTCTGCAATCGGGGAGGGAAGCAGGGTGGGTGGACGAAGGGAAGAGGATGAAAGGCGAACAAATAGAAGCTCATTCGACCGGGTAACATCTGGGTCAACCCTACATACCCTACATACCTGACATCATTCAAAAGTCTCACACTGTCTCAGCGATCAAAGCGCCACATCTAACAGACTGCTACTTAGCAACAACGCACCTGCAGGTTGAGTTGGTGGTACATGTCCCAGTAGAGCAGTGCGACCGCTGCTGTGACGTCTGCACGCCCAGTACGCAGCTGGACTCACAGCTGCACTCCTTTAGACGCTTCATCATATGGAATGACGCACCTGCAGGTTGAGCTGGTGGTACATGTCCCAGTACAGCAGTGCGACCGCTGCTGTGTGCCACTCGTGGACGTGCAGAATGTCCGGCTGCGCTCCTGTCACCTGGTGGTGGGATACACATGGAATGGATACACGTAGGCACAGCATACTATGTTAAAGGGTTAATGGAATCGGGGCAGACATGGCGTGGCATGGCACACAGATCGCACAGTTGTGAGTGTGCCTATGACATGAGCATGTCCCAACACTTGAGGCGCCTCAAAGGCATGGCATGGCATGGCATGGCACACACGGCCGTGTGTATGCCCATGAGCATGTATGCCCCAACTCAACCCGCACAGCCCCACGTCCATTCCCTGCACGCCCCCCACATCCTGCCTACGTGTGCATCCCGCCACATCCCGCCTCACCTGCAGGAACTCGAGGCTGGCGCGGCTGAAGAAGAGGTAGGCCTCGAGCTCGTTGTAGGAGCCGCCGTAGATGCGCCCTCCCCTGAAGAAGTGGTTCTCAGGCTTCAGCAGCACCACTGGCACGCCTGAGATCTCCCCACTGAACGCCTGCAATAATGGGGGGTGGTATGTGTGCGTACAGGCATGCATGTGAGTGAGAAGGGGAGTGAGACAGACACAGATGCGCCATCTCTTGAAGAAGTAGTCTTCTGGTGGCTCCACACCATTACAATCCAGGCCCAACTCGTCTCCACACCAGCGCAGCCGCACTTGGAGAAGGGGGCAAAGGACTGCTTTTTCTGCAGGTTGGAATTCTGCTTCTTACCTCTCTGCCTCACACCTGCACAGGGAGCTGAGGTACCACCTCTCTGCCTCACATCCACTCCAATATCTCACTTCCAGCACACTCCAACTCACAGTCAGTCCAGCTCAACCCCACTCCACTCCAACGCACCTCCACGCCGACCCGGTCTCCCTTGAAGTAGGAGCCAAAGGAGCGCTCGAGCTGTAGGTTGGCGATCTGCTTTACTCATGCACACTGACCTACCACCTCTCTGCCTCGCGTCAACTCCAACCTATTACCACCAAACAACTCCAACCAACGCACACCTACTCCAACTCAATCCCACTCTGACGCACCTCCACGCCGACCCAGTCGCCCTTGAAGTAGGAGCCGAAAGAGCGCTTGAGCTGCAGGTTGGCGATCTGCTTGGTGTCCAGACACTCATAAAATGGCAGCATCACCTCCACCGTGTGGCCCCGCGCCAGACAGGCTCGGCCTAAACCTGCAACATGAATGGACGGACAATGAAGAAGTGCAACAGCAGCATCACTAACACTGAGTGGCTCAGAGCAAGAAAGACAAGCTTAGCTCAAACCTGCAGACAAACTACTGGCCTGTCACAACGACTTTTACATGCATCATGCTAACAGTAACGCCTGACTCACCTGTTACCACATCCCCAAGGCCGCCGACTTTCGCCAGGGGAGCCATTTCTGCAGTCACGTGCACAATGTGAATGCGCTCCGAGTCCCTCTCTCCCACCACTCCGTCCCCTGTTGACCCGCTGCTCGTCACCCCTGCTGCTGCCACGTATCCTTCACTGGTTGGCCAGCGCATCCAAAACGGCAGCTCCTCCTGGGGAGACGGCCAGATAATCTGCTGGGCGGCAGTGGCTGGCACAGCTTGTCTTTTCTGAGCTGTTCCTACGGCCTCTTCTATAACTTCAACAGATGATGAGGCTGGTGCTGCTGCTGTTGCCTGAAACAGCGGGAAGGGGATAAACATGCAGGAGAGCTTTCAGCGCAAACAGCAGGAGATGTGCTTGGTTGTCCCCGTTAATTATTTCCTCTGCATCTATCACTGGATAAATTTCTTCAATTCGAAACATTTCTTGTTCTTGAAAGCATGAATTTCAGTTTCTCCAGCATGGGTATTGTTTTACCACGCACATACATCACACAATACACACCACACCACCATGGTTCACCCATGCCACCTACTACATCGCTCACCACATCAGCGGCGACAGCAGGCGAGCCAGGAGCGCCGCCTCCCTGCATGGCCAGCGGGAGCGCCCCTTCCAGCTCCTGAGACGTCTCACTTGTCACCTCCACCGTTACCCACTCACCACATCAGCGGCAACAGCAGGCGAGCCAGGAGCGCCGCCTCCCTGCATGGCCAGCGAGAGCGCCCCCTCCAGCTCCGCCAGGCGCGCTTTCAGCCGCGCGTTCTCCTCCACCATCGCCTCCAGCCGAGCCTGTGAACGGGTGCACGAATTCACGTAGAAAGAGGGACGATTTTGAGAAGTACGGCGGGTGGAGAATGCATGCACTGTAAGGCTGCGGACGCTCCCTTCACTCAAGCCTCCCCTCCACCCCTCCCACCCCCCCCCCCCCCCCCCCCCCGCCCCCCCTTTCTCCTTTTCCTTTTCCTCTTTCTCCTAAAACACGAGGGTGAGGCTTGGAAGGTTGGCATTGTCCATTTGTATTTAGACATGCAAGGAACTGCTTGATTTGGTTGGGGGACTGTGACAAAGCGTAAGCGCGCATGAAACGCTTACTAGAACGAGACAGTTGCCTGAAAAGAACCGAAAGACTGGAAGTTAAGTTGTTGCAATTTTTGTGAGAATTGGAAACCAAGCCAGCCATCATGACGTGACATACATCGTCATTTCTTTTCACACCAAGGCGCTAGGACTAACAATAACTTATTTAAAAGAACGAGACTGTTGGTATTCAAGTTGGCGTCATACCTTCTCAGAATCGCTTGAAGCGCTTGTGTTCGCAGCAACCTGCAGAGAAGCAACGGGAAGGTCGTCTTACTCGGAAAGCTTGACAAAATCCGTCAAAATTGTGCGAGATAAAAAAAAAAAAACACAGCCGAATCTGATGCTCGACAGAGTCAGCCAACTTTCGTAAGAGAATGATGGCTCAAACCAGCTGGGTGACGGGGAGGGACATGCCTGAAGGGCTCCATGATTTGGGGAACCTGCTTTGCGCGAAGCATTTCGAGACCGCTGGCGAAGAGAATTCCCGAAAATTCCCGCCTGCATTTGCATTATCAAGATAGGTTGGTAACCTCATTTCATACAACATTATAGACAGGGACCAGGTTTGCTCTCAGAGCATATACATTCAAAAGCTAAGCATAGAAAGTGATTAATAGAGAGGATAAACGCAATGATGTATTTCTAACGGAAACATTGTACCTGAGTGGACATTAGCGGAGTGAAAGAGGAGGCAACAGAAAGGCTCTCGTCCTTGAGGCAAACTGAGGAGACTGCTGGCAACAGGCCTGCAGAGGCGGATGTCGTTGTCATGGCCGCCATGTCGTCAGTGCTAGGTTACCGCTCCTCACTCCCGCTTTCTCCAGGACGAAGCGCGCCCTGACAGCAACGCTAGAGCTCAGCCTAGAGAAAAATGGAGGTCCTAGGTGACAGGGAAGGCTGTTCTCCCAGAGACTCTTGTGTGTTGTGACTTGTTAGTTGGTCACATAGAGAATTCATTCCAGCCACATTTGCTTTCTCGATATCCTCGAATTCTGCGAATGTGCCTCCCTGCATATGCGAAAGATTTGCTGCGGACGAAGCCCTGGTCCGGCGGGTAACCACTTTCGAGTATCAAAAGCAAACAGCTGCGGGGTTTGAAGGCGGATGGTCAGGAGCGCGTGTCCCAGTCAATATGACAATGGAGGAAGGATAGCCCTATGATCCTCGCCACGTGGCAATCAGTCACCAGGAGGGGATGAAGGCGTGGCGGAGAATCTCCAGCTCAACAGATCCCGCTCCACGTGCCTGGCAAGTGGGAGCTACTAACAAGTGTCTAAAGCCATGATATTAAACCAGACTACAGAGCATGTATAATTGATGAACAATGAATCAAATACATATGAAGAAATAATTTGAAGTGTTGTCATTTACCAATAACTGCAGCTGATTATATACCAGGATCCCCTCAGAGGCAATGAAATATCGTATCTCAACTAAACCGCTGAGGGAGTGTGTAGCACAAACTGTACAAATCCATACAGGAATGGGAGATAGCCATGAACCAGTGCCTGTGGCATTAGCGGCTGCCTGAGCCAGAAGGTCCCGCATCAGCCATGGTCCTCTTCTGAGCTCGCCTTGCCCTTCGGCCCAAAACTCCCTCCTTGGAATTCTGACCCTTCTGAGCTGCACCGGATGAGCGGCCAGGGGCAGGGCGTGCCTCTATGCGACCCCGGCGGACATAGCCATTCTCACCCCATCGCCTGTTGCCTATGCGCAGAGTGTTAGCATAATAGTCTTCTTCCTCGTTTTCTTCATAGGCATCCAGCTCTGGTGGGTGCTCTATCTCATTTTGGTATTCGAATTCCACAGGAGTGTACCATGGAGCACGGAGAAGCAAGCACACTGATTCTTCAAGCATAAAATCACTCACGCTGCACAAAGAAAGGCAGGAGGTCACTGGGTGAACGTTCGAATGAAGTCACAAATGGCAAGTTAGGTAACGGGAATAGAAATGACCAGGATGCGTACAGATGAAAGAAATTTCCAGCATACCTTCCATCCAGAGTTTTGTACAGGTAAAGCGATGAAAATGGCAAGCGACACTGGGGACACCACGGATGGGTCTTGTACGAAGCCCATTGAAGAATGCAGTTGATGCTGAGATGAAAGGAGAGAAATTGCCATCGTGAGGAATCAGCAACATAGAGAAGGCAACCTTGGCTTGCAAGAGCAAAAAGGGAGAGCTCGCTGACCAGTATGAGTGATCGCATCCCTTGATGAAACCCGTCTCTTGAAGAATGATGCCCTCGTGGCAGATTGCACACACGTTGCTGTCGTCCTGAAGGGGAATCAAGATAAAAAAATCGCGTTTGACGCTGAGAGCCATGACGAAAGCACTCCTTTTAAAATGCTCATCAAATACGAACATACCAGGAACCCAACAACGGTCTATCAACGGTCCTTTCATGACTACCGGACCTTGATTTGAGAACAATCGGGGAAAGCACATTCGTCCTCAGCTTCAACAATAACCGTTTCCAACTTCTTCTGGACCCCGTCAACCTCGCTCGCGAATGCCTCCACAGCTGGCGGGGATTCCATGGAGCTAAGACGGGGGAGGCAGGTACAATCCCTTACCCTTGAACCACACCGGTTCGTCCTTCCAATTGTACCAACTCGTTCCCCCGAACGTGGGGTTTCCTCCCCTACCGCGCTGCCTACACGCCACACATGACACGCTCTGCTCCCGGAGGATAGCAGGCGGCAGTTGGAAAGCAGCAGCGCGACTAGTCGGAATTACCTAGGTGAAAGCTGTCGCGCTTGGTACTAGGGTTAGGAGGAAGCATACAGAAGGAAAACTGTTCGTTGGAATCGACTATGCGGGGAATATGCGAGGGAATCCAATAACTGCAGCAAAGAACGCATCGCTAAGGCGAGAGAGTGAACTACAAGCACCTGCTGCTGCTGCTGTTGCTGTATAACATTGAATTCACTAAAATTAAAGAAAAGAACAGAATGAAATGGAAGACTAGCATTTGTCACCCTCGACGAGCTGGAAAATGAATTATACACGTCCCGTTCTGAACGGGAAAAATTATTCAGCCATTTTCCAGCCACAGCAACACTCCTATATTGTTGTAAGCGAGTGAAACATTTGGAAAATATTTAAAGTCCTGACTCCAAGAATGGCTGTAGACGCTATCTTCAATTTTTTTTATATTGCAGTAGGTTCTACTACGGTGCAGAACGTAGACGTCCGATCTGATTGCAGGACGCGGATTCTTCCACGCCCAAGGGCCCTGGATTACTACCTGCAAAGCTCAATCCTCCTCTCCTCCGCTGAATCTACCCAACTCCATAAACATCCACACTGTGGACACAGCTGCAGAGGGGGAAGGATGGAAGAGGCATGCACCCAATACCATTAGCAAATCCAAGACTACAACTGAAAGGTCAAACTGGGATTGCATGCACAATCTGTTATGAGCAAAAGGCTTGGGAGTACCATGTACCGATTGAGATGTGATATTTCCGAGGCACCTAAAAAAACGTTCAAACATATATAAATATACATACATATATATAAGGCCCTCAGAAGGAACAACTTACAAGCGAAGAAGCATGGTGCAGCAAAGTTCTTGACTGTCATGGTCTTGTAGACGAGCAGCTCGATCAGAAAGTGCAGGAGGGCGAAGACGAAGGACGCCAGCGTGGCGAGGTAGAGCGGGCGGCTGTCCAGATGCAGCGCACAGAGGATGCAGAGCGTGCAGGTGACAGCTGTCCAGACAGCAAAGGTGCGACCGTGCACGTCAGACACTGACCGGACACAAGGGGGAGGTGGGTAGGTGATGGAGATGGGGGATGGGCGGAAAGAGGGTGAGATAAGGGGTGAGGTATGAGGTGGAGCGAGATCATGCATGTGACAGCTGTCCACGCAGCAAAGGTGTGACGGTGCACATGAGACGCTGGAGGGGGAATGGCGTGAGACAGGACAGTGTGAGTGGCAGAGCGAGAGGAAGCAGAGCATACAGGTGAGAGGTGTCCACACGGCAACGGTGTGACGGTGCACATGAGACAGAAAGAGTTTCTTGACTTTGATTTCACCGCAAGTCAGAGCTCACTAGTGCGTTTGGAGTAGACAGCGACCTGCAGCGCCCAGAGGTTGAAGTAGCCAAAGTAGACCGAGGAGAGACGTGCAAAGGCCACCAGCTAAGGCCGCCAGCAGCATCTGAGCCACTTTTGATAACCCGCACTCAGACCGGGGAGGGGAGTTCCTCGGCAAGGATTTCACCAACTGCTGCGTTTTGAGTAGACTGCGACTTGCAATGCCCAGAGGTTGAAGTAACCAGAGTAGACCGAGGGGTGGCGAGTTCTGGCGTGGTGTGCTCTGGTAACACCGAGACTTGTGGCTGAATTACACGTCACCTTCTTATCACAACACTCACTGGTGCGTTTGGAGTAGACAGCGACCTGCAGCGCCCAGAGGTTGAAGTATCCAAAGTAGACGGAGGAGAGACGGGCAAACGCCACCAGCAGCAGCCAGTAGCCCAGCGGGTCCATGCTGGTAGTGGTGCTGGTGCTGCCGCTGCAGGGATGGGAGAGAGAAAGGCGAATGAGGCACGACAGGAGGGGCATTGAGGAGAGGCTAGCGAAGCCCAGCAGCAGCAGCCAGTAGCCCAGAGGCTCCCATGCTGGTGATGCCGGGATGGGACAGGGAGGGGAGGGGAGGGGAGGGGGGGGAGGGAGGGAAGAGGGAGGGAGGAAGGGGGATGAGAAAGGGGAATGAGGATGCCAGAGGAAGGGGACTGAGGGGGGAGGAAAATGAGGGGCAAGGGGGTGAGGGCTGAGGGGAGTGAGGAGAGAAGGGAGTGAGGGGCGGGGGAGTGAGGGATGAGGGAATAGAGGGGCGACAGTAATGAGGAGAGGGGGGAGTTAGGGAAGAGGAGAGTGAGGGATGAGGGAAGTGGGGCGAGGGGAGTGAGGAGAAGGGAGTGAGGGAAGAGGAGAGTGAGGGATGAGGGAAGTGGGGTGAGGGGTGCACGGCAATGAGCAGTTCCTGCGTGCGCGGAAGATGACGTGTGGCGGAGGGCGAAGGGCGGAGGGCGAAGGGCGGAGGGCGAAGGGCGGGGAGTTGGGCGCGGGAGGCTCTCTTCCTCCCAGTACTACCCTGTCGGCTAATAGCGGATCCTGCGTGCGCGGAAGATGACGTGTGGCGGAGGGCCGAGGGCGAAGGGCGAAGGGCCGGGAATTCGGTGCGAGAGGCTCTCCTCCCCAATACCCTGTCGACAAAGAGCGGTTCCCGCGAGCGCTGACGAGGCGTAAGGCAAGGATTTTGGCGGGGTAGCGCGGCGACGGGGAAAGGCGAAGAGTAAGTCCAAGTCTTTAATGAAATAGGCGGGAGTTTTCTGCCATTCCATAGTGACTATTAGCTTTGCATCCTTAGGACTTTGCCTGGTGTAAAGCCGCGATGGAAAAGTGTGCGGAGCGGAACGTTGAAGGCCACTGGCGTCAGGGAGGAGCAATGGGCTAGAAGGGTTGGGAATGAATCTGTTTTTTAGTCGACTGAGAAACAAACTCATCACGAGGAGCAATGGGCAATGCTCGAAAGGTTGGGAACTGCTCGATGGGTTTGCTGCGCTAATTCGCAAGACTATTTCGTCAGGGAGATGTGTTGAAGACTACCGCAACGCGAAAATGCGACGCTCAAATAGAGCCTCACCTGCCGTTGCGCGGATGCGGCGGTGGTGGCGGAACGGAAACCAAAGTTAATATAGGCCGCGGAAAGGCAAAGCGAACGCGACTACCTAGTGAAATCAGCGGGAGAATTACGCGACTTAGTGGATGGGTGACTGTTTGCGAGAGGCGGTCGTGATGATTGCGTTGGCTTGGAGCGGAAGCATAGAACATTCTTCTGATGAATTCAGTGGTTGATCATGTGCGACGGTAACCATGTTTGTGAGGATCCTTGATCCACATCGCATGCCTCTTTATCTTCGCTAGATGCTCTTCGCGAATGTTTCGAGCCATAAAATGGTCGGCGGTAGTAGGATTTCGTGCTTTCAAGACTGACATAATCCAGGGTTTAGAGAGTTACAGAAAGGTTCATATAGAATTTGAAACCTGTGGTTCTCTATCGAATGCTAAGTTGTGCCAAAAGTGATACAGAAAACTCTATCTTACTGTAAGGAAAATCCCTTTTCCTTACTTCACATCCCTGCTCAACGCGTACATCACTGTAGCACCTCAGTCAGCACCGTTACCACTCGCGATCATCGCATCGACAATCATCCCGCCATTTTCGCACATCGCATCCCGACCTCACGGCTCGGCTGGTAACCCGCGCTCCGGGCCTACGCTTCGACATTTTCCCAACCTCAATCCCAGGATCGTCGCGCGACAACCACAATTCATTACCGTTACCACTGTAGTTTCGCTATATATTCTTCGCTCATGCCTTCGCTCATTTGTATTCTTGCTTCAATAGTGCAATTCTCGTTCGTTCACTCAATTGCACTCGTAACACTTGGTATCAGAGCCTACGATCTCATCTCGGACCGCATCCACACCTTCGCTTCCCCACTATCTCAATTTTTTGGGAGGGGTAGACGTCTCTCAGCGACACAGCACCGCCGCTCGTAGTGCTCTCTCGTAAGCACTCACGGCCACGACCGAGGCTCTCGCTGAGCTTGCACGACACCCCCGCCATGGCCGATTTCACGCTCGCCACATTGACGAAGGAGCAACTTGATCGTCTCGTGCGTCAGCTGGAAGAATCGGCGCTCGAAATCGCGACGCTCACGGCGGAACGTGACTCCGCCTGTCAATAGTCCACGGTGAACATTCCGGCGACATCACACGCACCAACAAATGCATCCGCACAATCGGACGAGCCGATCATCATCTCGTCCGGCACACCAACACAACACGACAGCATGGGACAACGCTCAGGCGCAGCCAGTGACGGCGTCGCCCAGCCGATGCCCGGCATGGGAGGAGGCAGGATCGCACCAAGCCCGCGGGAGCCCCGAGAAGCCCGCCGGCACGTGGAATTTGCGGCAACAAGTGGCGAACATGCCATCATGGCACCAATGCCGCTCAAGCCGCAACGCCCGCCCTGCTTCGACCCAAGCCAACGCGGGGGTCCGACGGTTCAATCGTGGGTCTTCACGATGAACGTCTTCTTCGACGCAAACTACGTTGAGTCGGACGCCGCGAAGATTCGGTATGCAGTTTCGCTGCTAAGGGGCCCCGCCATGGACTGGTGGCGAGTCATCGTGACGTCGCCACGCGCCTACGAGCCACCGTCGCACGAGGAAGGGCCCACGAGTCCAGCTGTCACCTGGAGTTCGTTCTGCGAGACCGCCCAATACAGCACGTGGGATGCGTGGTGCGCAGGGCTTCGAGCGCGCTTCGAGCCGATCGCGGCTTCGATTTCGGCGCGTCAAAGATTGCGCACTTCGCGCCAGCTCGGGTCGGTTCAAGATTATACAAGCGGTTTTCTCGCACTTTGCGAGCAGGTCGGCTACATGCACGAAGCGGAGCGGGTGGACCGTTACGTCGGAGGACTGAAGCCGGATATCTCGCACGAAATAATGCTGCGCGGACTCTCTAACTTCAACGAGATTCTCGCGCTCGCCGAGAAAATCGACATCCTACGCCGACCGAGACCGGGGTCCTACTACGGACATCGTCCTCGGGGACCGACCGAGCACGCCACTGTACATGCCGTTGCAACAAATGCAGCTGCCGCACCGTTTAAAGGGCGCTGCTTTGCTTGCAACAGGCCGGGCCACCGCAAGAGCGAATGCCCAGAGGAGCTGAGGCGCCGCAGATCAGAGCAGGGGAGGGAGTCTCCGAGGCAGGGAAACGCCAGCAGTGAGTAGAAGTTGGGCCAACTACTGAAGAGACTGCCTGCTCGCCCAACCACACCGACCCTCACCGAGTCACAGTACCGATTCACGCCATCGATCGGGCTCGGATGAATAAGGAGGGTACAGCGACGGATTGCCCAGTACTGATCTACGGGAAGATACAGGGAGCAGCAGTCAAGATTTTTATTGACGGAGGAGCAAGCCACAGTTTAGTTAATACCGCGACCGCACGGAAACTGCAGTTAACACTTAACCGTTGCTTACCTGAGATAGACGCACGTTTAGTCGACGGCACGCCACCGGCCATACGGGAAAAGGTGGAGCGAGTAAAAGTCCGCTGCGGGGGAAACTTCGGATTTACACAGGAAATGCTCGCAACGACACTGGATGGGCACGACATTTTATTGGGACGTGATTGGCTGCGACGGTATTGTCAGATGATTATATTGCTGATGCATATATTTAGGCTGTAGTGGGGTAGCCCATAGGGGGTACAACCCAATTAGGGTTGGTACTTGTACTCGTTTCATTTCATAGTGCATCATTCCTCGCCTCTATCTCAACATGGTATCGAGCAGGTTCCCTAGTGGGAACTGTTCCTAGGGCCCACCTACTATTCCGTCCTGCCCGGAGCGCGCTCTGCCCTAGCCCGAGTCGCGCTCGGCTTTTTTTTTCCCCTTGGCGGCCCGATCGCGTCGAGCCGCCCGCGAATTTTTGTCGCGCCGCCACTAGACGGCCGCGCCGCGTCGCGCGTGCCGCCCTCCAGTCGCGCGCCGCCCTCCTCTGACCCTCGCGACGCCGGCGCCGTCTCTGACGGCCCCGCGATCGCCTGCGACGGCCCCGCCGTCCCCTCTACCGGCCCCTCCGCTGCGCTTGACGGCCCCGCCGTCCCCTCTGCCGGCCCCGCCGCTGCACCTAACGGCCCCGCCGTCCCCTCCGACGGCCCCGCCGCTGCGCCTGACGGCCCCGCCGTCCCCTCTGACGGCCCCGCCGCTGCACCTGACGGCCCAGACGTCCCACCTGACGGCCCCGCCGCTGCATCTGACGGCCCCGCCGTCCCCTCTGACGGCCCCGCCACTGCACCTACCGGCCCCGCCGCTGCACCTGACGGCCCCGCCGTCCCCTCCGACGGCCCCGCCGCTGCACCTGGCGGCCCCGCCACTGCACCTACTGGCCCCGCCGCTGCACCTGACGGCCCCGCCGTCCCCTCCGACGGCCCCGCCGCTCCACCTGACGGCCCCGCCGTCCCCTCTGACGGCCCCGCCACTGCACCTGCAGGCCCCGCCGTCTCACCTGCCGGCCCCGCTGCTGTACCTGACGGCCCCACCGCTTCACCTACCGGCCCCGCCACTACCCCTGACGGCCCCGCCACTGCATCTCCCGACCCCGCAGCTGCATCTCCCGGCCCCGCCGCCCCAGCAACTGCGCCGCCCCAGCAGTCGAGCCGCCCCAGCAGCCGAGCCGCCCCAGCAGCCGAGCCGCCCCAGCAGCCGAGCCGCCCCAGCAGCCGAGCCACCCCAGCAGCCGAGCCGCCCGAGCCGCCGAGCCGCCGGAGCCGCCCAGCAGCCGAGCCGCCGAGCCGCCCGAGCCGCCCGAGCCGCCCGAGCCGCCTGCACTGCCCTGTCTGGTGAGCACTGAGCTTCCTCTGCGCACTGCCCTCGCCCTACTGCTGTCATGGCTACCCCCAGTGTCCTCACCTTTGACGCTGAGGGCAGAGCCATCGACTTTGACGTGTGGGTAGACGACCTGCTACTTTTCCTACAGTGCGACAGAGCTGACGGCCTCTCTCTCTTTGATCTCACTTCTGGTGCCTCTCCTGCCCCTGCTGCTACTGAGGATGCCACTATTCGCTCACAGTGGGCCACACGCGATGCTGCTGCACGTCTTGCTGTGCGTCGCCACCTCCCTCCCTCTGAGCGTGCACACTTTGGGTCGTACAAGAGTGCTCAGACCTTGTACGACGCCGTTATTGCACGCTACTCCACCCCTGCCACTGCTGCACTGAGCCGCCTCATGCTACCGTACCTCTTTCCCGACCTTGCTTCTTTTGCCACAGTCGCCGACCTCATTACCCACCTGCGCACTAGTGACGCTCGCTTCCGCGCTGCGCTTCCTGCTGAGTTCTGCGCCAAGAACCCCCCCCCCCAGTACTTTACTCTCTACTACATTGTCACCCGCCTCCCTGACTCCCTTCGCGGAGTCAGGGACGACTTACTCTCAGTCTGCCCCACCACTCTCACTGTTGACCTCCTCGAGAAGTCCCTCCTAGCAGCCGAGAAGATCATTCTCGCTGTAGGGGCCTCTCGTGGTGACCCGCGCACCCCCATCTTTGAGGGGTGTTCCCCCTCCCCCCTCCTGCCCTCTATCGCCTCTGCTGCTACGGCCGACCTAGTTGGTTTTGAGTCGGTCGGTGCGGCGTCTTCCCCCAGTGGGAGACGTCGCTCTTGCAAGGGCAAGGGGGGCAGGGGCGGTGGTGGAGGCGGCGGGGGCTGTGGAGGCGGAGGTGGAGGCAGCGGAGGAGGTGAGGGTGGTAGCGGGAGTGGTGGCGGGAGTGGAGGTGTCAGCGGCGGCAGTGGAGGCGGCGGCGGCAGCGGCGGTGGTGGTGGGAGTGGAGGCGGAGGCGGCGGTGGTGGCGGCGACGGTGGGAGTGGCGGTGGCAGCGGAGGTGGTGGCGGCGGCGGAGGAGGCGGCGGCGGAGGTCGTGGCTCGTCGCGGAGGAGTGGCTCCGGTGGTGGTCAGCGCCAGCAGCAGCAGCGTAGTCAGGAGACCCTCTCCCCCCAGCAGCTCCGTGAGTGGTACGCTGCACGTCAGAGGGGTGGGGGTACTGGTCCGTGCACCTACGTCCTGCGCACTGGCGACCGTGCGGGTGAGCCGTGTGGTGGTCCACACTCCACCCAGCGTTGCTTCGGCCGCCTGACTGACGCTTGGCGCTGCCAGTTTCCTGACGCCTCTGAGATCCCTCGCTGGGACCAGCTGTCTAGGGCAGGAGTAGCTATCTTTGATCTTGACTTTGATGCTATTCTTCGTGCCATGTAT